GCTGCAGGCTCAGGCACTTCAGGCTCAGGGGCTGCAGGTGCAGCAGGCCTAGGCGTCGTCTCAGGCGCTGCAGCAGCAGGCTGAGGTGTCCTCTCAGGTGCTGCTGCAGGTGCGGCAGGCCCAGGGGCTGTCTCAGGCACAACTTGCTTTGTGGAATCCGTCTTGAATCGTTTCCAAAATTCCTTCCCTGAGGGGTTGGGACCACAGTGGGCCACAAGAACCTCATGACATTCACTATCACTTAGCTGGAAATGGGCTTTCACCTTTTCAAAGTTGCTCCAAGACACTTCAAAGTCCAGGTCAGTGGGTGGCGGGCTCGCCTGATTCTGGGGGGTGGCCTGATTGGTAGGGGCGCTGGTACTCCCTCTTCTGGGTGCTGTGGCCTTCCCCTTCTCTGATGCTTTGGTTTTCGCCATGAAAACACCGACAACACGCGTGAAAAGCTAAGATGATCCGGAACAATGGCTTAGGAAGTGAAAACTAAAGCAACATCAGCATGAAAAGTAATGGTTTTTTGCAAAAAATGTTTTCACGTTTTTCACGCTTAAACACGGCCATTCAACGGTTTTTCACGTCCAATAGCACACTTTTTCACGGTCAACTTTTTTTTGACGAGCACTCCCCTTTACCGGCATGAGAAGAGGTAAGAACCAGGTTTCACACATGTGAATGGTTTCACAAACGTGGTTTTGAGTTTCACACAAATTCACACACGCTATTCCATGTGAAACTTGGGCACTAACTACCATCCAGTAAGTTGCATGATGCCACGTGGTGGTTCACGTGCCCATGGCTAACCCTAATTATCCTTTGTTGCGCGGCCATGCGCCACACATCATAGACACTTCAGCCCGATGCAGGCCATGTTGTAGAGACTTGCGCGAGTACATCATCCTAAGACCAGGGGTCGAATGGTGATTTGCATTTTTTCATGGATACCAAACAAATCTTTGGTGGTTTCCAAGACCCACAGCTCCCATTCAGGATGATACACTGTAGTGACTGTAATACTATTGGAACATGTTGGAATTGAAACCACAAAACCAGGGAAACAATTACTGGGGTAAGGTTGGGCAACCAAGTAACCCAATTGTTCGGAACCAAGAGATATTTGCTTCGCCCAAGGTATTGCACGACGTCGGCCACATTCGCCTGGAGCGGCGGGTATCGTGGTGTGTGAACCCAGAGGGATGGGACCCCATGAGCCATATTGCAGGGTATTTACATAGGAAAACTAAAGATAGCAACTATGTGTCTATTTTCCGGCACCCCGAAGATGAACAAATATCCTACTGTACATCGTACATAAACAGGATACAAACGGGAAAGACACATTGGTTGAAACTTTGCTGTTGTTTTGACAGGATCATAAATTCCCACCTGGTCCCACAGGTCGTTGTTTGACATGGGTAGGCAGTAGCGGATGAATAGCTCACGGTCAGAAAGTCCACGGGGCACGTGCATCGGTGCTTTAGGCCCAGGTAGGGGTACCTCACACCGTTAATCTAGCATACCCACTGGTGGGACTGTTTGGTGGGAGTGTGGGAATATGGTAAACGTATGAACATATCCCGCAAAGTAAAGAATGAGCATGAACAGCCATGAAATTGTGGAAAGGGTAGTGTTGAGGGGACCCTCAATCCGCCATGGTCAAATATGGTTTTTATGTTTCAAGACAAGTGAGTATACAGCTATTCATGGTTCAACCGTTCCGTTTGAAAGCTGCTCTACAAACACAGATCAGGGTTTCACGTGGATGTCTGCATGTGCACACACGTGTGAACTTGAAACATATACACATATAAATGTGGACGTATAATGACAATAGGTTGGGGTATAAAAAGATTTAAACATCAATTTCGATGCGGACATAAAGACAGCATATATGTACATATATCAGCATCTGGCACTGTTCCATGTGCAGAAACCAACCGTAAAATTGAAATAAAATAAACCATGAATATGAAACACGTATATATATATATATATCTCTCTCTCTCTCTCCTCTCTCTTTCTCTCTCATGGGTAGTTTTATGCCCAAAAAAAAAGATTTTTCCAAATCGATTTCTATTGGGGTTGGTTTATGCTTGGGTAGGCCGCATTACCCCATTGCTTCATTTCAACAATAATGGAAACATATTCATGTTTGTTTTGTCATGGTAAGGTGGGACGACGAGGCGTCCCATGGGCCACAAGACATAAACCCACGTGAGCCCAACAAAATGAGCTGATTGCTTCATCTAGACACATCCCTGCGTTCAGCAGCCAGGTCTGCGATGAACTGCCCAAATTCTCGAGTGTAGTGCCTGGTCATCTAGAGCTGCCAGACGTTGCGTTTGAATAGTACTACCCTTTCCCCGTTTTATTCAACCACATGAATACCCGTATTGATGGGAAAAAAATCATCGTTTACATTATTGGTCGATTATATGCATATATATGTATATACATATATATATATGTGTGTGTACACTTTTATGTGAGCATCATTATTTTAAGAACTAAGCATAAGGGCCGAGTCTTGAAGCCAAAAAACTATAACTAGAAACTGACCCAGGTGTTTGTTCATCAATGGTTTCGTGCTGTGAATTGCAGGCCAGAATGAATAACCCCAACAGTATGAGCTGATGCTGGACCAAGTGAACGGATGATTGCAATGGTGTGGTTGATCCTCTGGCGATGGGTACCATTAGAAATGATATTGGTTTTCCCAGGTATGATTCCTTGCCATTGGTTAAAGATGAGACCCTTGGTGGTTGGTGTGCATGTCCCCAATGACTTGGATGGGGAATAAGATGGAATAACTATCTACCCTTTTTTAAAACAATTTTGGGCCTATATGGAAGGACCATGATCAAACATGAACTAAGTTTACAGGTTGCTGTAAGGGCCCCTTTCCTGCACCTGTTGAAGTACCCCGACCAGCTACGTCGCCCTAGGTCTCTCCCAACCCTCGAAATGATGCCAAACGAGGCGCTGACTGTCCTTGAGGGCGTTTTTTATGCCAGTTCTGCGTTTGGCCCCTCGTTTGTCTACATACTTCACAGTAGTAGAACCAGTGCATTTTCGCTGGTCATCCCTCGACATGTAGCCAGCCTTTTGGCAAATAGCATCCACCAAACCCTTATCGTTGCTGTACAGGATGTGAGGTTTGGGCGTTGCTGCCCCGAAAACACCCATCCAAAATCGCCCATAGTATACCTGTCGAAAGTTGGTAACCAGTTTCTCAAACCATCAAAATATCATTGGTTATTCTTGGTTTGTGAAAAGAAGCCCCCGAACATACATAGTACAGTAAAAAAAACATTTTCCAAATTTATAATCTAAGCATCTTCAACGATGCTCAAGAGGAATTGGAACTCGGGGACGTCCTCTAGATTAGAACCACTCGGCTGCTCAAGCAACCATCTCAAACCCATGAACGACGCTACAATGCACATGAGGATTGTGCGAGCAGCAAGGCAATTGCCAGTAGCCACAAAGTTCAGCCCTTCATGTCCATAGGGAATGAAACAGCACCTCCCCGATGTGTACCGACACCTTGGGTTCCGACTGGTGGCGGTTGGCACTAAATATATCCTTCCCAAATCTCCCCAAAACATTTTTGCATTAACACGCACTATTTTCACAAAATGGATTTCAAACAACTTGGGAAATGTTCAAAGGGTAAGGGTACCCAACCACTACCTATATATATATATACATCTTGGCTTAGTGACATTGTAGAGAAGCTCTTGCACACAGGAGCAAACACCACCAGCGATCCACGGGTGCAGCGTAGGATCTCATTCAACGCCAGCCTGGGGTCGCCCAAGGATCCCTGAAACCACTACCAGCCACCATGTAGTTTTCAATGGTTGACTTACGATACATTACATGAACTACCTGGTTAACTGAAGTTACAATCATCTTATTTTGGAAAACCATGATGAACCACTCCCGAAAACATGATACGATTGGGCATACCCATATTTTCAGTGGTTCCACGATGGCCAAACATTTCATTGATGGAAGGTTTTGTTATTGGACCCATCACATTATAGCTACATAATATGAGCCAAAAAACGCAAATGCTGCAGAACCGGTGAGGTCCCACACTGTGTTGTCGACAATGTCGATGGCAGATCCTCGCAGTCCAGCCTTGCATTCAGGCCAGCTGTGCGCCGACGATGAAACAGGCTCATGGACGGCTGGGTAGAAACGGGGTCAGACCACAACCAATGGGTAGTAACGTTGACAAAACATACTTAAAAGCTTTTTTTCTCCAGGAAACAGCCCGCAAAGCCTTGGTGATCTCAGCGTGCCCTGAAAAGACTTCTAAGAACTGCCGCTCCTTGGGGGGCTTGAGTAGACCCAAACATGTGATGGGCCAAGAAAATTACAAGACCAAACAAGTTGCATGAACATAGATTGATAAAAAATAGCCTCAATAGTAGACAAAGCTCAATGGTATGGTTGAGTTGGCCTTGCCACTGAACCAGGAGACAAACCAAGATCAGGATGGCCGGGGCCCGCCAACGGAGTAGACCATAGACCACCATTATAGCAGTTTCGAAGCACAAGCGATTGCTCTAGAGAGATTGCAAGTTGGGCCATGTGCTAAGACGTATATATATCAGCTACATCACCCACAAGTACAACATTGAAGTCATTGTGTTTTGACTGACCATAGGTCCAAATTTCCAATAATCATTTAATATGATTTTATGATGATAGGTACATGGGTTAGACATCATGGATTAGACATCATGGGTTCCATGGTGTACTCTTTCGGAGCAAAACCTAAACAATAAACGAGTTTGATTCAAATATGTTTTCACCATCCAGAATCAGCAAATTGAAAAGTAAACTGCAGCTCATATCTTCAGCATCGCCCGAGTTTGCAACAAAGTGGTATTTTCTCCTGATCGCAGATCCAAAGCCCAGGTGTCCCCCCACCTAGGTTCCGCAAGTTTGCCAGAACAGCTGTCTATGTATGCAAAATAAAATGTTTCGCACCATTAGGCCTTTGTTGCCCAAGGGTTGGATGTTGACCCCTTTGGGACGAATTTCCTTTTCTTAAGTTCCTGCAGCGAAGCGCTACCCAAAAATGATGCCTTCTCAGAAGAATTGCCCCAAAGCGATTTCGCTTTGGAATAGGTGTAACCTTCAGCCTTCTTTTGGGAAATGAAATTATCACGGATAGACTTGTAATCACAATCGGATTTTTTCTTTGGTTTGGATTTCGGTGCCCCATTGGGAGGTGCCACTTCTGCAGCCTCTGCCTCAGACTCATGCTCGTCAGGGGCCTCAGCATGCTCAGCCTTGGCCTTGGCGATTGAAGATACGTACTGATCCTGCAAGCGAAAGGGCTCCACTGGCGCAGCTGCTGCTGCAAGACCACGCAAGACCTGGGCTGGTAATGTACTCCTACTATAGATATATCGGGTTGAAAAACTGCATGGTGCACCACAAAAACTAAAGTAAAAACAATAATTCAAACCATAAAATATATCCACATTGGAATCATTCAAGTGACAAAGTCAGGTATCACGTGTTGGTTCTTTGGATCACCAATCACCGACGGTTTCTGTGGTGCATCACTGGTCACCGATACGTTCGTCTCCGATGGGTTCTGTGGTTCATGCTTGGTGACCGGTTCCGAAGTTTTTGGACCCCCGTGCTTGAGCTTGGCTAAGACATACTTGACCTTTTCAGAATCCACTTTGTCTGAACTTGGTGTTGGTGGTTTTTCCTCACTCACAGGAACCACTGCACGATCAGGTTGATCACACGCCATCTTGACTTTCCGCAACTGTTCCACAATCCTTTCCAGTCTAGCACTACTCAATGATGATGACGATGATGTTGTTGATGAAGCAATGTCACTGCTGAGATCGCAATCCTTGCCCACGCTCCCAGGCCCTGCAGGGAGCTCGACGAGGCCTTCTGGATCACCACATCCAGGTTTCACCTGGGCTGAATGCCAGATTTATCGGAATGGAAAAATAAATAAGACCAAGCGGATTGTCAACCACTTCCACATTGATATGTAGATCAAAGCGTTCGGAACCAAGTTTGTAAGGCCAAATGAGCCATGGGTTCTCATATTTACTGGTCTGATTTAACATCACCGTGGGACAGTCACCTTTGATTTCATACAGTTCACTGTGGTGGCTATGTATATATATATATTTGTATGTATATGTATATATATATATACATATATCTATATTCAAACATATTGATAAATATATACATTTGTACATGTATATATATATATTTTAAATATATATATATATACATGTTTGATAGATAGATAGATAGATAGATATAAATTTATATATTTACATAAAATATGTTTATGTATGTATATAAATAAATATATGTATGTATATATATATAATATTAGTTTATATGTATATATATATTGATCAATACATGTATATATATATATATATGAATATATATATATATATTGTTTTTGTAATATTGGAAACACCTGTAACATATAGCAAATGAAGATCTATCAAAAAGATATGTTTCATAAAAACATATCATTATTCCTATCGGTGGAATTTCGGAAACGAGCACGGACAGGTGCCTGGACAGAGTGAGGAAATGAAACCCGAATCAAATGGTTTTGGGTTTGACCTTGGAACCACAGGGTTGCAGGTGTGAAAAAAATGTCAAAGATTGTCAATGTCAAAGTATTCCATTTGGTTGAGCTACAGATCCTGAACTGGGCGAAACGTCCCATCCCCGGGCACGACATGCTTCCTTGATCGCAGTCATCTTCTTGTACTTGGACTTGGAAGAACGCTTCAAGAGGCGACGGAGTCGGGATACCTTGGTTTCGGCTATGTTCATTTGAATATTGGTACCATCGATGAACATCAAAACGGTTTCCTGGGTTCCACCTACAAAATTGAGAAATATAGCCATGACAAAAAAAACACGCATATATAATCCAAATCAGATCTACCAAGCGAGAAAGGGCAATGCCGTTCTTAAGCGACCAATCTTGAACAGCCGGGATCTCAGCCACAATACCTTCTGGAAATATGCGTTTCCGGGTGTACACATCCAGAAGTGCACTTTTCACCGTGTATGGACTGATCCGAGGTTTCCCATGACATCCTTCCACAGCAGCCAGAACCACCTGACTGAGAGGGAAAATGGTGAAAACCGATTATTTCAATATATGTTTGTACAACCATATTCAACAGAAAATTAGTTTCCCAACCCTGCCTCCTGATTGCAAATTATGTCCTTTATGGTAGGTGCCTTCTTGCCGAAAAGCTTGCCACTGTGGTTAATCAAGATCGACATACCCACCTGAGATGTTTTTCAAAGTCTATCACTTCACCATGAGATATCAGTGTTCTATTTTTGTGATCAACCCAAAAATCCCAAAACATGTCAAGTTCATAACTTTAGATGAGGGGTTGAAACCTTGCACCCAACAGAAAAACAAAGCAACATAGTGTATTTTGGTGACCAGAAACTTTCACAAGTCTTGGGGTAATCTTCTCCAAAGCTGCAATCAAAAATGCCGGTGTTTGGACACTTGTCTCATCCAAAACTTCACCCCCACTGTCAGACGACGACTCATCATGAGTATCCATTTTCACTGATCCAACCTATGGAGTAGAGCCAAATGCCTGCTATAGCACCATATTGAGCACATGGGATGATGGTTTTTCATGGTTTTTCTATTTTCATGCCTCCATGGGTGGTATCTAATTACAAAGATCGACGTGGTTTAACTAGTGAACCACCCGCAACGATCACCCACCCAGAGCAGAGCCAACGGGGGTCTCGCACTGGTAATGTGCTGGAAGTGCACCTGGCAGGCCGGTGATGATGGTGAGCCGCGGATGAAGACATACAAACCAACCAGTGGGGACGGTGGAAAAAACACATGGGTCAACTGTTCGTTGAAAGCTCGTCATTTCAAACCACCACCCACCAGGTGACATGCAGTATCATTCCGTATACTTGCTTTGTGCGATTCGCTGTTCTAAGAATGGCTATCAAAAAACAATGCCAGCAGGACCATATCCGGCAGCTTGCAGGAGGCCACACTGTAGGTACAGCACCTCCAGAAATATGATGCAGTTCCACAGAGATATCATGAGTACTTTTTGTGATGAGAAAACATTTCAGGCATCCAGATCACCCACACTATCGAACCCATTTGATTTAAGGCGCAGTCATTTTTGTAAAGTGATGACGACTAAGGGTTGGTTCAATCCAAATGGAAACATCCAGCTGGGTTATAAGAGACTGTTTCAGGCAGTTTGTGCCTCCAAAAAAGACTCAGAAATCGCACTTTGCAGCCACGGCCAGCATTGCGACCGCGCAGGGCATGCTTCGAAGCGGTGAAAAATCAAAGACTGTTGACGTGATGAGATGTGAATATATATACGCAGTAAAAACATTTGCAGCTTGAGTAGCATTTTATGGTATCCAATGGTAACAATTATTGGGATCAAAACAGTATTGTCAGATATTAACGGCTCAAATATGTCTCGGTTATGTTGATGACAAAGACCTATTTCTAAAGAGCTCCCACTTTGTGGGCCCTATTTACCAAAGCAGCGTTTGCGGCCGGCGAGTTCAAAGATCAAAGGGAACCATGCAAACGAGTTTGCGTGCCAAACCAAAAGAACACACAAAAAAACACGTCCCACCCGCCCACCCTTCTTGGACGGCACCTTATTCACTTGGAAACACACCATGTTGCATACACACGGTCTTTGAATCCACGTGTATGCTCACATTATTTATGCACACGCCGTACACATGTTCATGTAAAGACATTATATAAACTTTTTTTTTGCGCATTGCACCAACGGTGAAACCAGGGCTGTGATGACACCAGCCAATGAGCATGTCAACTTCATGCTAGCAGCTTCCAAACCAAAAGCAAGCTGTAGTTGTAGCCGTGCTTGTTCTTGCAGCCGTTGTTCTTGGTTACAAAGCCGCGCGTTCTTGTGTGAACACACACATTGGTTTCCAAAGAGACACGTGTTCAAGCTTCAGTAGATAGCTAGGACGACAAACGCTGGGATCCTATGCATAAACACAAGGCATTCCTACACTAATGGATTTTCACGGCCAAATCCTTTTTCACGGCCATTGCCTTTTTTCACGGCCATTGGCCTGAACGATCATCGATCACCAAATATGCGATCAATCCGCTCCCCAGGAAGCTGGAAATTTTCATGTTCAAGCCAGGTCGAAGCTCTTCGAACGGGCACCAGAGATCGTGCCGCAACAGGCTCTGGCGGAAATGCGCCATACAACATCTGCTCCAGCGCCGGTGGGTCCTCCAGCTCTGACTGCTCAGGCCTGGCTCAAAACCGAGGTGACAGGCGATGCTCCACATGAAGATCAGACGGAAGGATTGGTCGCCGTGAGTAGACAGGCGGGCATCGAGCTCAACGAACGCTCGTTCAATGTTCGTCATTCGAACCAAGGTGAAGCTGGTCACGAAGTGGACGAAGAGCGAGACAGGGCTCGCATGGATCGCAGGTTTGCTCGCTCTACAGCCGGGCTGACCCCTATGATCTTTGCGGAGGAGATGCAGCGCCGCTCCTACAACACTTCGACGGCCAAGATCGAAGAGGTCGATGAGTGCCAGGGGCCTCAGCAGCCGCTCGGCGCCCGAACACCACGTGCACAGGCGGCTCGGTCTGAAGCAGCTGGTGGCACATCAGCTCCTGTGTCGTACGGTCCAACCACCTACGATGCATAGATCTGTGCAGTGGTGGGTGTGTTCGGCATTGTGGCATGATGCCTGAGAGCTCTGCAGCTAGATCGGCGGCAGAAGCGACGATCAGTTTTTAACCACAGCCATTGATCTGTGGCGGTTTTTCAATTGCACAGTTTCTGAACTTTATTCGATGAAAAATTTGAGTGAGTTGATGGATTGATCTCCCTGCCGCTCAGCTGTCCTGATCGTTCGATCTCTTATTGAGTTCTTTTGAATCCAGCTGTGCAGCCGGAGGGAAGGGGGGGAGATCCAACCCTCTTGACCAATCGCCAGGGTTGATCACACCCGGTTGATTAGTTCTTTCCTCCCATTGGGCGATCCCTGATGATGGTTAACTGTTCCTAGTTCTGGGTGACCCTTCCTCCCCGTAGGATAGGTTCCCCCTCTTTAGGATGCGGTTTCCTTAATGGGCGATCCTCGATGATCCTTAATTAGTCCCTAGTCCCCCTTTAACCCCAGGTCCTGAGGTTTAGGTTGATCATACCACTCAGGCCGGTCCAACCTGATCGGCGATCCCCGGTCGGGGTGGTTCACGTTGGGGTAGGGGTTCATGGGGATTTGCGGAGACCATCATTGGGGTTGATCAACCCCAGCCAGATCCGGTCTGTAGATCCCAGTGGCTAGATCCCAGCCATCGGGGCCACGCTGCAGGCTAGATCCTCAGCCAGCGGTGTGTGGTTCGGTGAGCACAGATCGCTCCGGGCCCTCAGCTTTCAGCGATCAAGCCTGATGTTTTAGATCTGATGGATAGGTCAATTGCTAGGTTTTTGAGTCTCCCGATTTTTGACGACCCCTTTCGGGGAGTTTTGAGATCTTAAACTGGATCACGTAGAGTTCTGGCTTGCCATGTCGGATGATGATTTCGACTCGGCTGATGAGCGGCTCTCTGCACTTCTACCAGCTCTCACTAGTGATCAAGATGTTTTGGATAAGATTCTGGTTAGGCTCGAGATGGTTAACATTTTGGCTGACATGGTCACCCGCTCAGCTAGCAGGGTGCAGGCGGAGATCGCCTCTGATTTGGGGTATGGGTCAGCGGAGCCACCAAGAGTCGGCGCCAAGCGCGCGGCAAGCCAGTCGATCGTGGCTGTGCAGCCCCCCGGCTCGTTTGGTATGATGCCATCCGGCAGCGGGTCGACGGCTCAAGTGTCCTCGATCCAGGACAGTGAGCACTCAGAGAAGAAAAAGTGGGGCAGGCGTCTGGCACAGATCTGTGACAGGGCCGGCAGTGCTGCTGGGATCAACGATCCAGCACAGTGCATCGGCCTGGCTCCAGCCGAAGCCGCTCAGCTGAGGTCGCTCGCATTTGAGGCGGGTGGCTTCAGGACGATCAGACAGAATGTCAGAAACTGGGAGAAGTTTGAGGAATGGTCTGCGGGCAAAGGCCTCAGGGTCTACCCGCCGACGATCGTGGCCGTGATGTCGTATGCATCACACCTGAGTGATCAAGGGTGTGGCCCAGCAGTTCTACCTTCGTTCAAGTACGCGGTAGGCTGGATATGCAAACGGCTCGCCATGTCATGCCCGGAGATGGGCGACGTCCGGCTCAAGGCCCTGATCGATCGGGTCCATTCTGAGCGTGGCAAAGAGCTCAAGGAGGCGATCCCTCTGCCACCCAAACTTGTAGTGGCACTAGAGGTGGTGCTCCCCAAGCTGATCCTTGAGAAGAAGAATGCGGCGGCGATCACCGTCTGGTGGGTCCTGATCCTGATCTATGCGTCGCTGAGGTTCGACGATGGTGTTCATGTGGCGCCTTCTTCCTTGGAGATGACGTCAGAAGCTCTTCTGGGAGTAGTCTGGCAGACAAAGGTCGAGAGGAAGAAGCGCGGCACCAGGTTTGCGGTGCCCACCTGTTCCATCTCTGGAGTGGAATGGCTCTCAATGGGGTGGGATTTGTTCAAACCACACCTTTCTGACCGCGACTATTTCATCTGGGAGCTCAGGTCAGAGAAGGAGTTCACTGAGGCCCCTGTGACCTACTCTCGCGGGCTGTCGTGGCTGAAGATGCTCATGCTGAAGGGCATCACTGAAGCTCGCATCCTCAAGCTCGTGGAGGTGAACGAGGTCGAGGCGCTGGAGAGGACGGTCAGAGAGGTGACCTGGCACTCCATGCGCGTGACCATGCTCTCAGAGGCGGTGAAAGCTCAAGTGGACGACAAGATCGTCGGTCTGCAGGCCAACTGGAAAGATCCCAGCCAGTTGGTCTTGAAGTATGCGCGACAGCGCAAGGAGCTGTCTGTAGCCATGGTCAAAAACATGACGGAGAAGCTCAGACAGTCATGAGTGCCGGATCGGCATCACTTTGTTGTGGAAGAAGAAGACGAGGAGGTCAACGAGCCGATCGTGCCCGAGTTCATTGTGAAGGCTTCTCTGCCTGCAAGCGCTTTGAGTTCATCTGATTTACGTTGCCACGTTTTTGATCGACGGGTCCTTGAGGACGCATCGGTTTGTGGTCGATTGAAACTGCAAGATGCGGTTTCAGTCAGAACCCAAGCACCTGGCATGATCTGCCAGCTCTGCAAAAATAAGGCAGGCATTTGATCACATGCTCGAGCCGGCTCGAAGGAAAACAAAAATTCATTTGAGTGATTATTTAGCAGCACGTTTCATGATAGCTCCGTGATTTTGCAGTGTCGGCACCATTTATCCATTTACAGGGTCTTATTTGATTTTGATTTATTTTTCCATCTATTATTTACACACGGCGGGGTGATCTCGCTTCGTGTGCCAGCAGTGAAGTTGAGTGCTCGTTTGCGAGGGCGATCTGATGTGAGCAACGCAGATCTGCGGCTCAATCACCCAAGCACTCTTTCCATTTTCACTGCAGCAAGATGGTCGAGCGGACCGTATATGCAGACGATGCTCATACACCGAAGATCGCGCTTCGTCAGATCTTCGGTCGCCTCAGCCTGCGCACTGAGCTGTGCCGGGCAGCGGCAGATAGCGGGCTCTTGTCTGTTGAAGTGTTCGCCATGCTCGGCGATGCGGCAGCGGCGGTCAAAAATGCGCTCCGGACTGTCATCCCCACAACAGCGCTCGGGGCCAATGCAGCTGAGCAAGAGCTCGCCTTGATGCAGCTCGCCGCAGTCTGGCATTCATGCCATGCGCTCCAAGGCCAGTTCGCCACACGAAGGGCTCGTATGGAAGAAGATCCCAACAAGGTCCCTGAAATGGCTCAAGAAGACCATGCCGAGTTCAGGTCCCGCTTTGTGACGGCTCACCCCGATGTGATCCTCTTGGACGCCAAGGAGCCGCACAAGAAGTTCGTGGAGAAGATCAGCCGCGACTTCATGGTGCACGGAATGGTTCCGTACTACCCGGTCTCTGAGATCAGGACTCGGGCAGACAGTATTGTGCAGAAGACGGGGCTCACCAAGAACGCAGAAGATCTTCTCACCATCTCCAAAGCGGAGGAGCCTGATCAGGTGACTGACGTCCAGACGCTCATGCATCGAGTTCATGCTCTCTTCATGGCTTTGGAGTACCTGAATATCTGCACGTACTCCAGAGCCGCAGGTCCACTCAAGTACCTGCAGGAGCTCGAGCAGTTCAAAGCGGACTGCCCAGGGCTCCCATACATCGTGGCGGCAGATGCTCTGATTCGCAAGAAGGTCCACAGATTGCAATCTGAGCAGCGTGAGACCTTTGCTACGTTCGAAGCGGCATTGGCAGAGGTCCTCAACAACCACAAATATCTGTGGAATGACGCTCGCACCAAGGCCGTCTTGGCTAAGGTCGATCGAGCGCAGCCGATCGCCAAGGACGACCAAGATCGCGTCCTGGAGAGCCCGAGACCGCGGCCCCCTCAGGTCGGCGGCGGAAGAAGCGCAACAACAAGGAGGTCGGCAAGACGGGCGTAGATGTCAAATCTGTTCAGAAGGACATGTTCGACAAAAAGAAAGACAAGCTCACCAAGCCCGACAAAGACAAGAGGATCCCAGATTCGGAGTGGAAGCTCATCTCCCAGGCGGCCAGCGCCGTCTCCGGCCAGAAGCGATGCCACTATTTCAACTCATCAATGGGGTGCGCTCTGGCAGACAAGTGCAGGTTCAAGCACTTGTGCATGACATGTGGGGCAGCTCACCCTATGGTGGGCAATCACTGAACTTTTGCGGCCGGCTCGGCCCCAGAGGCTCGTATGGGAACGAATGATGGGCAGCCAGCTCAGACGGTTTCCCAAACCAGCTTTTGGGGCTCCATGCAGATCCCGCATGGTCGATTTTTCCTCGAGATCTTCGCTGGCCAAGCAGGGCTCTCGCAGGCAATCAGTGCTCGTGGCATGCAGATTTTGCCCCCCATTGAGATCGAGACGGGCCAATTTGTCCGGCAGTCGGTCGATGTGTTGGACCCCAAGGTTCAAGCTCACCTGCAGCTGTTGATTGAAGCCAAGATCATTTTCTATATTCATTTTGGCACACCTTGCTCCAGCTTCAGTGTGGCTCGCAAGAACGATGGGGGCCCTCCACCGCTGCGCGATCGGCATCATCTTTGGGGCTTACCAGGGCTGCGTCCCCAAGATCAGAAGAAGGTCACAATGGGGACAGAGTTCATGTTTTTCACTCAAAGAATGGCAAGACTGTGCAGTCAATTTGAGGTTGCGTGGTCGCTCGAGAATCCAGCTTCTTCTTTTATTTGGGTCATGCCCCCGATTTTAGAGCTGGCTCAAGCGCCTCAGGTCAAGACCATCACGTTGGACATGTGCAGATTCGGCTCTTCTCACAAGAAGCCGACATCAATCATGGCATTTTTTTCTTTACAAGGGCTTGAAAAACGCTGCAATATGGTTGATCAGCCTCACCAGCATGAACCGCTCGTGGGCACGGTCGTCATCAACGGCACGAAGGTCTTTCGCACAAAGCTTGCTCAAGTTTATCCCGACGGGCTCTGTGCTGAATGGGCCGCTCTGGCTGCAAAGGTGACGCCCAAAGATCCCTTGGCTGCCACCTTCGCTATGACTACGCCGGCTTCTGAGAGAAAGCGGCCGGTCGGTCAGCCAGTTCCATGGAAACCCCATAAGCAACGGATCACGGCGGAGAAGGCCACAGCTGCGGGCTATCAGCTCAAGCGCTCTGCACTCCCGCCGCTGCTGGACGTCGAAATGGAACCTGGCCAAGCAGTCGAGGTCGCACTCAGCGTGGCTCACCCTTTTACGCTGGATCCAGCGCTTGACCCAGATCTCCAAGAAGCTTTGGCTATGGTCGTGCGCCAGCCACAGTTTGTTTTAGGTCATCGCGCTGGAGCTGTGCAGCATTGGGAACATCGCGCTCATGCTCTCCTTCCTGCCAGCGACGCGATCCTGCAGAAGATCCCGGATGCGTTCCTACGACGTCTCCTTCGCGGTCAACCTGATGGGCAACCTCTGCATTTAGGTTCCTGCACACACATCGCATTGTGGGCTGAGCTCCTTGCAGCCGCTCGATGCGTAGATGGCGATCTTTTGCAGGATCTATCACAGGGTTTCCCTATAGTGGGCCCCATTCAGCGATCTATGCGATGGGGGGTGTTACCTGTTCCAGAGGATTCGCTACCGCTTGAAGATCTACGCTCGCGGGCCTGGGAGTTCTCGCAGAAGGTCATCAAGAACGTGATGCGCTGTGATCTCACAGAGCATACAGCCAAGGTCTGGGAGGCTACACGGCTACATTGGAAGATGTGAAAGAGGGGTCTACGATCGGCCCCTTCTTCTCAAAGCAAGATGTGTCTCAGTTCCTTGGCACCGAAGAGTGGATCCCGACACAGCGCTTTGAGGTGGTCCAGAAGAACAAGGTCAGAGGAGTAGACAGCGCTACGATCAATGGCGTGAACGTCGCCACTGTGATCACGGAGAAGCTCGAGCTGCCGTCAACAGATGTGAACGTGGCGGCTCTACGTTGGTTGCGCTCGAAACTTCCGAAAGAAACTGACATTCAAGGCTGGGTGCTCGATGAGCGAAAAGCCTATCGTCAGATTCCGGTCAGACCTGACCATAGGCGTTGGAGTGTGATCACCATGAAGGATCCGAACGACGGCAAGATCGCCTTCTTCGTGATGATAGGCCATTCGTTCGGCTTGGTCTCTGCCGTTTACAACTACAATCGTAGGTCGGCTGCCATAACTGACATTCTGCGCAGGGTCTTTTTCGTAGCTGCTTTCAACTTCTATGACGACAAGTACGGGTTCGAACCAGCTACTACGTGCGCCTCTGCCTTTGAGGTGGCTCAAAAGGTGCACTGGTGGCTAGGAGCTCAATTTGATGAAAAGAAGCTGCAGCTATGTCAGGACCCCACGATCTTGGGCGTGACATATGACTTGGTCAACATGGAGCTCAAGATCAAGCAGGCCAGAAAGGTCGAACTGGTAGACGAGATTTCCTCTATTTTATCTTCTCAAGTTTTTCCTCCTGGCCAAGCAGGGAAGCTGCGAGGCAAGCTGATGTTCGGCTCGTCTCAGCTATGGGGCAAGATCGGCAGAGCGTTCCTTCGTGCGTTGTCCGAGCGACAGTACACGAGGGCGAACCACTCGCACTTGAGCAAAGCGATCGTTTTGGCTCTCTGCAGCAGTGGAAGTGGCTCATTGAGGGGGGACCGCCAAGACCTATTTCAGAGTCTAGGCCAAGATCCTCCGACTTTGTCATTTTCACTGACGGGAGCTACCCAGACGGAAAGCCTGGTTCACCATTGAAGCCTTGGACCGGCGGAGTGCTCTTCAAGAAGGGGGAAGCTCCACTCCAATTTAGTTGCGAAGTTCATCAGAAGCTGATAGCGAAGTGGCTCCCTCGCAAGTCTCAAATTGCCATGGTGGAGCTCTTTGCCACTGTGGTGGCTCTCAAGACTTTTGGTCATCGCATCGCTGGCTCCTGGTCTTTGCTATTGGTAGACTCCGAACCTGTTCAAGGCGCGTTAGTTAAGGGATACTCCTCACGAGAAGATCTTTGTGAGTTGGTAGGTATCTTTTGGAATCTTGCTCTTGAGCTTAAGATTAATTTGTACATCGATAGGGTTCCAACTGATGCCAACCCAGCTGATCCACCGTCACGTGATAATTTGTCGGTCGGGGCAAAAGCTGGGTGGATTACCGTAGATCCTATTTTTCCATCTCTTTGAGCAGCGTGGGTCTTTTTGTTTTATATTTGTGCTCAGGGGATTCAGTTGGATCAGATCCAGATCCGGCTCTACATTTGTGATAAGGTCTGTGGATAATACTGACAGATCAGTCAGTTCCAGATCGATTGTAGTGAATGATCCCCTCTTGCTACCCACGTCTCTCAAGAGGGAAAACGTTCCGCCTGCAGTTGAGAGGTGAAGGGCATGTGATCACATGCACGTTGCGAGAACACAAATTGGGTCACTTATCTTCGGTCTGGTTAGGTTGGGATATGGGATTCAATTTAGTTCTTCCTCACAACCAACTGCTTGATCTTGTGCGTTGATGGAGGGTGCTCACCCTCATTGATTGGATGTTGTGATCTTGATTTAATTTTATTTGAGACCAAGGGTGTTCACCCTTTTTCATTTATCATTTGCGAAGCGTGAATATTGATCAAACATCGATTGGATCATCACAGTTGCATGCAGCCAAATGGAAGATCGATCGATCTTGCCATTTTGGCTCAAGATCGATCCTCTGAGATTCAAAAGCTCCCATCCCACCCACCCTGGTTATTCCGGGGTGGGTCGATCGACCCAGTTCTAAACTTTTCAGCGCTGTGATTCCAGCTGCTTTGCCATGGGTGATGGGTCTTTTTGTTTTATATTTGTGCTCAGGGGATTCAGTTGGATCAGATCCAGATCCGGCTCTACATTTGTGATAAGGTCTGTGGATAATACTGACAGATCAGTCAGTTCCAGATCGATTGTAGTGAATGATCCCCTCTTGCTACCCACGTCTCTCAAGAGGGAAAACGTTCCGCCTGCAGTTGAGAGGTGAAGGGCATGTGATCACATGCACATTGCGAGAACACAAATTGATATATATATATATATACATATATATATATATATATCGTGACAGTTTATACTTTATATAAAAACATATAAGATCAATAACATGGTGGTACATCAACATTATATAATTTCTACAACCAATATATAATGAAGCCACATCAAGTCGATTACCCATGAAGTCAATTGATATTAGAAGGATCATAGGTTATTTTCTTGACCCACATCATAGCCATTACATGATCATAACCATCAACATATTTGCTTGCTGTATCCCATTTGGTTGTTGTTCCTACAAGAAAATAACCCCGGGGATGTCAACAGCCCGACACCTTTTATTAACCATACGATATCTGGAACTGATTACTACAATTGTTATGGTATAACCATAGTCGCAGATGTCTTTGGGTTTTGATGTAATATATATATATATATGTATTATTAAATTATAGAACATTATGATTATAACTATAACTATCATATCATAATTAAGTTTTGGCATCATGTTCCAGGCCGTTCCAGTATGGTTTTGCCCCGAAGGCAGCCTTCGCTTTGCTGCTCTTCGTTGCGCTCGGGCGCTGGGCCTTCCGCAGAGGTAGAGACAGCGCTGAGGACGGCGCGTGGAGATGAGCGGGAATTGATGAAAGTTTCCATAGGGAAATATTGCCTTTATAACTATACTGACTAATGGATTTATAACTAAAATAGGGTTATAAACTACAATAACTAGGGGTTGTATACTTTATAACTATAGTTCTATAGTCATCGGATTGGTTTAAGGAACAATTTACAGGAAAACCCTATATTCAATGGTAAAAAACATGGTTTCCGGTTAAGATTTTCCCTTAAACCAATCCAATGACTATAGTTTAATGTGGAACATAATAAACCAACCATTTTGGGAATGGTAACCATACCACCAAAAAATTGGGATTTGTGGGATTGTTTATTATTGTTTTACCCACAGGAATGAATTTATAACTTAAAGTTGGTTTATAACTACAACAACTAGGGGTGATGGGGAATATCTAGAATGATTGAACTTATGAACCAACAACATTACCCTTTGAGATTATCTAACATAGCTACGGAAGCGATGGCCAATAGAAAAACATGCTAAACATTATGTTTTACATATCAAACATGGTGATGTTCTTGCAGTTTGCTACGTTCAACAACCAGATGGCATTACTTTGTTTATTGGAGATTATCACAATCGAAAACAGGGATACGGTATCCCTGTTGATACCTATTAACAAACCAAGAAACATGTTTTAACATTGTTTAACCAACCAGTTCAAGACCCGTGTTTTGATGATGGTGGGGGGTTATACTACTCTGTATATATATAATATATTATAGCATACACTAGAGTTGGGAGTGATATTTCATTTAAGCGTGGATTCGCTGAAGATATATTTGTTCTTTGTTACTTAACCACTGAGGCATCTAGTGTTTTCGTTCGAAAGAACGGGGCGAAGTTACCATCTCGGATGATCATAGGAAGTCGGGGAAGTTGGTGCTATTGTTGTGGATCATATCCCTGGGTTGAACCACAGATATATCAGCAACGTCCTATGAATTAACCCTCTGGTAAACATACACAAAGCTATGACAAATCACCAACTGGCAATGTTCAATGAAGTTCAATAGCTATGTTAAATTACCAGAGGGTATTGGTTGTTGATGCTTGGGTCTCAGCCTTCTCCAGGGCACCCTGGATGCTGAATTGGGCGATCGCAGCAGCTTGCTGCACTGAGCTACTGATCTCGCCATTGTAGCGCCCTCTCTGCGACGACAATCAATGAAAGGATTGTTAGTAGGGTGATGTAGGCGGTATCTATCCCCAAATAGCCTTACTTCAGCTTAGTGAATGAATTGATCCAGAAACTTGAATTTTTACTAACAAGCTTGTGAATGTAGCCATTTGCCATATTCGATTATGTATATCCAAAGGCAGAAATTGCATATTTGACTTTGGTTCAGAAGATAGAAGGATGGTCATTCCTCCAGCTCAATCCAAAAAATGTGATACATCTGCATTTTGTGGCTGAATGGCACCAGCGATGGTGCCATGACTGCGGATCTTCCAAGATTCGACGCTGATGTTTGTAGTGCCATGAATGCTGCTATCAAATGCAAGACATCGCACCTATACCCTCGATTATTTTTTTTTAACACAGACAAAACTGGGTACAAGTCCCAACGTCATGCCATGGTCAAACATTGAGTTCGAAAGTCATATTGGGGGATGGTCATACTATCATCAATAGAGAATTTCAGTGGTTGACTGTAAGGATACACCCACTATTGTAATCCCACGTAACTTGACCATAGCGCGCATGCAACCCTCAAAATGTTCTACCAAGTGGTCAAGTGTTAGTTTTTTTTGGAGACTCATGGGTTTCGGCGTCCCTGCCCTTTGGTTGCAAGCTTCGCAGCACTGCATTAGCGCCGTCCAGCGCGTGATTTCAATGATTTCGTAGCTCGCCTAAGATCCTCCGGCAACCGGAGAGGACTCAGAGTCACATTACCCGTATGCGCAATGCATGGTTTGTTTCAATGCACGTCCGGTTGAAAATTATGACAGGTGGATGTTCGTCCCTCTTTCGATTTAAGTGTCCAACTGTTTTCAAGAATTACCAAAGCCCTGACCCAAACATAGCTGGTTGGTGCTTTGGAACATGAATTTTATGACTTTCCATTCAGTTGGGAATGTCATCATCCCAACTGATGAACTCCATCATTTTTCAGAGGGGTAGGTTGAAACCACCAACCAGGTAGATATACCACAGAGCATATGGGTGATTTTATGTTCTGCACGTGCGGCATGTGGCCGCGCGCGAATCTTTATGCATAGCCCTTCTCGGTATAGCCGACGCGGGGATTTGAAAAAAAATGCTGACGGCGGTACTGTCCTGATAAGTTGAGAAATATTTCAATGGGAATTCCAGGATCCTAAAATGGAGGTACTGTACCATATAAGGCCATATTGTGGGAGTATATCCCCTTACGCCTTACATAGTAGGCCTTATATATGGTAGGTACCTCCAATTTAGGTTCCTGAAATGGCCATTGAATATTTGAATATCTACAATCTACAAATACACTTAAATAAACCTGAGTTTAGCATTGGATCTGTTCATTTGAGGCCCATGTTTGATCATTGGGGCTATTTGATATGCTTGAACATTGGGGGAAGCGATTGGCATCTGCCACTTGGCTAATCTTGGGATCATCCTCATGTCGAGTTTGCATCCTCTACGTCTCTGTTACAAAGCAAGGCTCCCTTGCCATAGGAAAAATCACTTAAGAGACTATTCTTACTGGTGCTTAGTAGGGAATGAGGGAATGATCCACAATAACTAGTAATAATCATCCCATTCCCCCAGTCCCATCCATTCCCTGCTAAGCACCAGTAAGGTGATGTTGGGTTTGGAAAAGGATCGTCGATTTGGGAACCAAAAAATCCAGCAACATTTTTGGACAGTCATTTCCTAATCTTCGATTGCCCCAACAGCCATCATATTCGTTGCTTCAAGGTCGCGCATCCATCGACACCATCAATTTATTGAAAAATAGTAATATAGTACCAGTATGAAAAATATACGTAATCATAAGTCTTCTCAAGAACAGTTAACCACGTTAACCAATAGGTTTTCGGATTTTCTGCTGGATTTTGATGTCCCTTCTTCTGGAAAATGCCGAGTTGAAATGAAGGGGGACAAGTCAAACGAAAAAGTGGCAGGGTCATTCAAAGTATATGCTGCTGCAAAGGATCTCCAAACAACAGGCCTCTTGGTAAACATAACTAGGCCAATGGTTTGGTTTATCATGGTAATATGGTATATTTCTGTTCATGGGCAATGTATATACAGTTGAATGCATAAATATAATGAGGCTTTGAAGTGTGGCGACCCAGTTTGTCCGCATGCTTTGTGAATCCACATTCCCTATTGGAGTTTTGGGGCCGTTCAAAGCCGCAAAGGACTCGTTGCTTTGATTCAGCATCCTCCTGCATTTTGATGGTCTAAACTCAATCTGGATCCATGTTTAGTTGGTTGAACCAGGTTTGATTACCCACTTGTTGGTGGTTGTCTTTTCGCTTTCCAATTGTTCACCCAAGAAAATGGCATGAGGAATCCCAACTGATGAGCATATGTCGAGCAGAGAGGGTGACTCAATCAACAACCAGTAGCCACAAGCTTGTTTTTTTCTTTTTTTTTTTTGGGGGGGGGGTATAGATGGCTCTCCACATGTGTTTAAATGTGTGTTTCTTTTGCTGGACGATGCATCAGCACCACACATATCTTACTAGAACTTGTATCTCCGGATATGTTTAGCAAGGAATCAGCAAAGCACCAGTTCAGATGTCCAAAGAATTATCTGTGTATTGGCATTCTTGGTTGTACATATCCCCATCCTTCATGGTTCATCACGAAGATAAAGATCTGGAGATGCTCCTTGGTTTGTCCTACTTGGTGGATTTCCACTCAATACTGTAGGTGGTTGTACAGCCAGAATATGCCAGAATCATGGGGATCCCGGTTATATGCCAGCATGAAATCATCGTGGTGAAACAACCACCTTTGCACCTCCTAGTAGTTAATTTTATGTTTATAAACCCTACTTTTTTTAAATAGATAGATAGATAGATAGATAGATAGATAGATAAATAGATAGATAGACAGACAGATAGATAGATAGATAGATCTTCCAAAACCACCAGCATCCATGACTCCCGGGTAAAATAAACCAACTTAGCAAACTGGGGCAGCAAACTGATCCCATCTGCAGATCTTGGACGGTGGGCAGCTGCCATTGAACACCAACGATGGTCTGACCGAGGTCCTCCGTTACAATCCGGTGATGGGCATCCCAGGAATCGTATGGGGGTCTCATATAGTTATATCATATGGGATGTTTGATGTGTATGTAATATATACATATGCATATTTATATATAATATATATATATAATACATATAAATAGATATCATGACATATGATATTATGTTTCTTAGAATCTCAGAGTCGGAGATCCCCTTAAGTCGCCATGGTTGTTTCATGACTATATAAGTCACGGTCATGACGACTGGATGATACCTGGGGGTACCCCCATGAGGAGAAACCTTCATAGAGCTGGGTCAGAAGATAACGAACATAAATTTGGCTGAGGGTCATGCCAATACAAAAAAAGGAACGAGATTGAGTTATATACAATATAAGATAATAAATGAATAATATATATATATTAAAAAAATAAACACATATAATATAATAATACACTATATTATAGCCATATCATTCATGAACTCAATACAAAAATTGCCAATGTAAGATAATATCTGGGTACATTATAACGACCGAACCCTGTTCTCCCTCACGAGAAAATCATAGTTAGGATTCTGGGAATCATTTCCAAATGGCCGAACAATTCAGGTCAGTGAAATATTCTAATTTTCTCAGATAATATAAGGATTCCCAATTTCATAGTGGGATGGTCATACAGAAACTCTAATATACCATGTAACTTGACCATGACACATGCAGGTTTGCCCAACAATGCTAGAGAAACTAAACATTGTGATTTTGTAGGGAAAGGTATGATAAACCATATGATTTTGGGGTGCTCTATATGTTGATACAAATTCATATCTTACTGGGATATGTATAATACATATATATATACACATAATATAAATGTAATTTCAAACACCGTTACAGGACTCTTGCACTAGACGCATGGTAGGAAAAATACAATAATTGTATATATATAATGTATGTATATATATATATATACATTATACATAACTGGATCATAAGATTATAACCGTATCACTCACCTTGCAGGAATTCTCATCCCAGCATTGTGCCAGGATTGGTTTCCAATGGTTCCAACGTGAAGGCAGTTTTTCTAAACCCCTCTGGGAATCTGAAAACTATATCTGAGGAATATCACCCCTTTTTTAGATAGGTAAATCACCCTGTGAATTAAAGAAATTACCGGATCCGTGGTGATTTTCCTATCTTCAATGACCATAACTTTTGGCTTTCCATCTGAGACTGCCACCTGATGGGCAATCCCTGGTCATGATGTACCTGATGGGTGCAATCCATTAGAATCCATTAAAATCCATGAACATCCATGAAAATCCCATTAAAATCCCACCATATTTGATGCTTCAATCCATGTTGAAGTCTTTTTTCTACCGTTGAGTCGTCTTCGCTCTCCCGAAAAACAGGGCTTCCGACTGGTGGATCGGGCCGAATTGCAGGCAGGGCGTGAACTGTCTGAGTCTCCAAGTGGTGATGGAAAGCCGGCTACAAGGAGGTGTCCAGGTAAATCATGGGTATTACCCTCTGGTAAACGTTTACATAACTATCGAAAATCACCATTTTTAATGGTTAAATCAACTATAAAATGGCAATTTTCAATAGCTATGTTAAATTACCAGAGGGTATCCATGATAAATGCTATGTAAAGCCAATGATAACTGCTTGGTGGTAAGTTGGTTTATAACTCGGTTGTATAAATGTTGGGTTTATGGTGAACAACCTGTAGTTAGATAAGACATGATAGGGCAATATAACCCAACAAACATTAAACTGGGTGTCCCTTCCGGAAAACATTGTATTGCTGGTGCTGTTTTTGAAGCATAAAATCGGGATCACGGTCCCAGCTGATTTTTATCGATGGCAAAAAATCGTAGCTTTGACCTGTAGAGATAGAGACTGAACAAAAATTGGTGATTTAAAACATCATGGGTATTACTCTCTGGTAAATTAACATAGACCCTGAAAATCACCAATTTTTAGTCGAAACAAATCTTCCAACCCCTATCTGGCAGAGTCTATGTTAATTTACTGGAGGGTATATTCAAAATAGTTGATATTCAAAATAGTTCATATTCAAATTTCATCAGCATGATGGGTATGATTCAAAACATTGCACACCACCAAAGAGGCAACAAAAAACAACTACACCATGCTGAGCAAGCGTAGCTATGGAAAGCCCCCATTTCGGTCCATGATTTTCCAATGTCAACTTCCATTTGTCATCATATACAGTTGTGGCCCGGCCCGAAATACCAGTTATAAGATGTTATAAGTACTTATAAACCCATCTATAGAATGTATAACCAGATATTTCACCATAGAAATCACCAGATATGTATACCTTATAATCCCATAGAAATCACCAGATATTTCACTAGCCATGGCCATAACTGATGGCGGGATCTCCAATGGCACCGCCATTTGGATGGAGGCCACAGCAAACAAATCATCCATGTTGATAAGATTTTCTATTGTAAACCATTCGCTTTGGGGATCCGCCATTTATGGAACCCCCTGCCTATATATATATAGATAGTTATATATATATATATCCAATATACATATATTTATATATATATATATACAATATATATATATATGTATCCAATATACATATATATATATATTTATATATATACAATATATATATATATTTACAAACAATATATATATATATATACAAACACTATATATATATATACACACCGTACCTTAGATATGGAGCATGTGGGTTTGTCCAAAATAATCACTATTTTCCCATGTTTGACGGCCATAAGTTGAGGTATCCGCAAAGGATTGTTGGTCAATATCCGCATGACGAATGATGATTACAGTCTGTTGCAGTGCCTCAAACGGTTTTACTTAAAGTAAAAAGACCTCTTCGACTCTAGATATTGCCATGATGAACCCATTTGATAGCCTAGTGACAAAAAAAATCCCTCTCATAAATCCAATCCCCATTTGTGGATATTGTGCTGAAATGTGCTGAACATCTCCATTTTTAGTGGTTAATCTCTGGTTATTTAAGTATAGCTATTGAAAATGGCCATAGAAACAGTGGATTTACCCATTCAAAAATGGTGATTTCCATAGTTTTTTGTTTGTTTACCAGGGGGTAATCTCTGGTTACTTAACAAAAAAACTATGGAGATCACAAACGCTGCAGTGGCCGCTCGGCCTGAAAAAGGTGCGTGCATCGCGATCGCCACCGATGGCGCAGATTGATGTGGATGTCCGGGCGCCACGGAACGGTGAAGATGTTTGTTGGTTAACAAAAGACAGATTATATAAGAATAATGATAGTGATCATAGTAAAACCTAATAAACAAAAACATCAATAATAATAATAGTAATAATAATAGTAATAATAATAATAATAGTAATAATAATAATACATAATAATAATAATAGTAATAATAATAGTAATAATAATAATAGTAATAATAATATGTATATATATATATGATTATTACATATTAGTTAGATACTTCACGGCATAACCGTTTGTGAAATGAAGCAACAGTCGCGATTCCGAAAACTGCCATCCGGAGACTCCAGGATCACTCTCTGCTAAGATATCCAGGCCGGGCCAAGGCTTCTTCAAGATCCATGAATTACCCGGCCTGGTAAACGTTTACAAAAAACTATGGAAAATCACCGACATCCACCATTTTGAATGGGAAAATCCCACGAACTTTCGATTAGGGCCATGGCTTCAATAGCGAACTGTTAAACCAGATGGGATAGGTTCTTGTTTGATAAATAAAATCAGACACTTCTGGCAAACACGAAAAACTGCAGTGAATGTAACGACTCTGACAGGGACTGGATACGGGGTTGGGACAAACCTGATAGATTTGTTGATTTACAGCCCGCATCCGACTAGTGCGATTTCATGCAGTTTTCCGACCAGTTATTTATACATAATATATTGTTGACCATGAACCATGGTAAACCTAGTGAAATAAACCAACCTAGCCAACGAAAACTGGGGCACCATTTTTGTAGCTGGCTAGCTTGGAGGCACCAGTTACGAGGATCATATCTGGTGTAAATTGGTTTGTAGCTAGATCAACCCCAACAGTTGGTGGGAAAGAAAACTTGGTGGCTTCGCTAGACTCCTAGACCCGAAATCTCGAGTTGAACTCTACTAATAGATCTAATAGTCACACAGAATAGCCACACATAGCCACACAGAATAGCCACATATAGCCACATGGGTTTGTCTGAAAATAGGGTATATTCCCAATGAAATAGCCATTTATTTTTGGGATCATGATCAGCAAAACCATTGGGTTGATTAGGGGTTTAGCCTATTTTCAGACAAACCCACATTAAAATCATTTAACATCTATAATCATATCAACTATTCCAGCTTATATCAATTAGTAAACCATTCCCAATTATAGCCATTTAATAGGGATAATGATCATTAACCCACCATTTTATCTACAGCCAGTTCCCATCAGTTCCCATCCTTCCGGAGCTGGATCCCACTGCCCAGTTGGTGGTGGACCCCAAGTCCGCTGAACCGGACGAGCTGATCCTGGTGGCTCCACTGGGCTTCAATTTCACGGCGTTCCTCGACATTGGGCGGGCGATGGGATGCAACAAAAATGCGAAAAAAACTACAAAAAACCATGGAAAATCACCATTTTTGAATGGGTAAATCCACTATTTCTATGGTCATTTTCAATAGCTATGTTAAATTACCAGAGGGTATGAAAAATGGCGAAAGCCATTTTTGAATGAGTAAATCAACCATAAATATCAGTTTTCAATAGTTTTTTGTATGTTTACCAGAGGGCAAGCCTCCATTTTGAATGGGTAATACGGATGGTAAAGGCTACCCTAGTTGACAAGTTCACCTCCTGATCGTGCTTCCTGTTTGGTTCGGTGCGGGTTCAGTGGGATGTACACATGCAGGTGTGGAGTTTGATGTCGTGGCTTCGCTGTACCTTTTTGGACCGGCAATTGATTGATCACCAAATTTTTTTAGGCGAACAAGTGCCAACATTTTGAGGCAACAGATTCATTTGTGCAGGAGAAATTGAGGGTCGAGATACTGGTTTGGTCGTGTGGGGTTTGATCTTCAGGAGCATCAAAGATCACAAATATTATTATTATTTATATATATATATATAGGTGGAAACCACAAGGGCATTTGCAGCGATTTTTCTATATCTATCTATGCCATCTATGCAAATATTCTATGTATCGTATCATTCTACTATTACATACATACAATGTGAGACCTCTTAAATTGATCCATACGGTTGTTTGACAACTGAGCAAACTAGGCTTCATGGGGAAGACATCTACGGCTGGACAGCACACATGTTTTTACATTTAGGGGACCCCACTTTGCATTAAATGGTTAAAGCTATAATCATCTTGAAGTAGAGAGAATATATTAGGAATATGGGATTTTCAAGAATATTCCATTTTAGTGCTTTCTTCCTTAATCCATATTCTATCCAGGATGAATATATATATATGTCTATATGTTCACCACACCAGACATGCAAATTTTGAAGGATGAAACGTCACGGGCTGGTTCTCTTTGCTGAGGAACTGCCTAGTGACCAGTGGGTATCCTCAGAGGAAGCAGATCCAGTGGAGCAGTGGAGCGATGGCAAGGTATCCATATTCCCATGGTCCATAAATGGGGAAAATTCCCAGCTCGCTGGATGGTTTTTCTTCGGGAAAATCCCAATCTAATAGCTGGATGATGACTGGGGGTACCCCCCATGACTTCGGAAACCTCCATATAAATATTTAAATATCCCATATAGTACATGAACGTTCTTCCTAAAATATTTCATACCACTATTAAAAAAACCAACCTTCATGTATTCCCTATTTGCATTTTTGGAGTATGTAAACAAATCGGAGGATGGCATTCTATGGGAATGGGATGTATCAGAGATGATTCCCACATTGGTTGACCTTGTCATGGATGAAAAACCATGAACACCATGGAAGTTTTATGGGAGATCAAGAGATAGGGATATAGTGTGGTTTACCATCTGGTTATGACTAACATAGCCATGGAAAATCACCATTTTCAATAGGTAAAACATCTATTTCTATGGGCCATTTCCCATGGCTATGTTAAATAACAGCCATTTCTCTATCGTTTGCATAAGCTTTAATTGACGGAAATCACTTACGGTGAATTCTATGGTTAACGGAGGATATAACTATACTTATATCATGGGGTTTATAAAATATACTGATACATTCTGAGTAACAATCCCATCTCCCTAATACTAAAAAAAGCATAAATATCCAGAAACCATGGTTTAGTAGGGGATGAACCAAATATGTGGACCAAAAAAAATGGGGGGGTGTTTCATATGAACGGGGGTTGGAATTATGTCCTTTTCAGCATGGGGATTGTTTTTGGAGCCGTAACGACTGTCTCAGATGGACTATCTATTGAAACCAATATACAATGCTTGACGGGAGACATAGATATATATATATATATTTGAAGACTTTGTATAGATAGTGGAGATAGTGGAGACTGTCTTCGTTTCAACAGGTATATTTACAAATGGAGACATAGATATCGTTGCTTAAATCCATACATATTTGATCAATCTGATGAATAAGAGATAATAGGAGTATATATTATATTGTATAAATCTATTGATAATGTTGTCCACAATAATAACACAATCTTGCCGAATTGAATCCATATTTAACCAACACTTGTTTCTTTACAGTAATCACACAAGCCGTGTTTCTCCAGTGAAAATCGACATGTGACCGATGTGACCATAATATGTGTGATTCCTGTAGATGTTGCTTACATCCATAGAATGGACACTGCAAATAAATGTATACATGTTCATACATACTTCACCTCTGGTAAATTGTCATAGATGTAGCAAAAAAACACAGTTTGTAAATCATTTTCCTAGGTAAACCATGGGTTTTTCACATCTACAATACTTTCCCCCGTGGAAAAAAGTCCTAGTTCCATGGATTCAAGGGAGAATTTTCATTGGAGACTTCGGAAGTTGACTTCGGACTATGACCTCTAAATGAGCCATAAAAAAAGATACCAAGCTGTTGTTCTTCAATGGGTAAATCTTCAATGGGTAAATCCACTATAACCGCAATTTCTTTTGTTGGATTGAAAGAAGGGATTACCCATGCTGTATGCAATATTGACCATGGGATGGTATATAGGGTAACTACTAATATACCCTCTGGTAATGACTAACAGTTTGCTATTGAAGCCATGGCCCATTGAAATAGTGGATTTACCTATTGAAAATAGTGGATCTTTCCAGTTCGTTATGTTAGTTTACCTGTTGGTTCGATTGCGATTTTATAGGGCGTTATTTGCCTAGCCGCCTAGCCATGTTTGAAGCCAGTTGGTGTAATCTTGGCCAAGGCTAGGCCATCGTACGGTTTTTGACACAAGGGTTGGCCATAGTAGAGACAAAAAACAGGCAAATTCCTCACCAAGGTTGTCTGGTTGGTGGTCTCAAACATGGCATTTATTTTCCATTTCATATATGGGATGTCATCCTTCCCATTGACAAACTCATATGTCTCACGGGGGTAGGTATACCACCAACCAGCTAATGACAGTCAAGGTATTCAAGGTATCTTTGGAGCGGTTCGTTCCGGAAAACCCCCAACTGTGGCGGCAGCATTTGGACACATGGAAACTATTTGAATTATTTGGACACATAGAAACTCTATGAAACATTGCATGAACGCTTTAACAAGAGGCATTTTCTGTTGATGATGTATCACTGAGATGGTCGCGGACATCCACAGTGTGTCCAGGTTTTACCCACTGGTAAACATTTACATAACATAACATAACTATGGGAAATCACCATTTTTAATGGGAAAGATCCACTATTTCAATGGGCCATGGCTTCAATCGCAAACTGTTCGTCGTTACCAGGCCGGGTAACAACCCAGCAGTCGATCAAGCTATTGGATCCTGACGTCAGTGAATCTATTTATAAGACTTAAATTAGCTGACAAAGTGGGGTACCCTCTGGTAAACATACAAAAAACTATGGAAAATGGCCATAGAAATAGTGGATTTTCCCATTAAAAATGGTGATACAATCTTGATACACTATTAGTATATGATTAACACACAACAAACTTGAAAAAAAATCCCATGAAATCATATAAGATCATATGAAGTTTTGTTGTGTTTAGATCACGTGAACAAATCCAATCTAAAAATCACTAAATGTTTGTAGACCCAAAATGGTGATGTCCTTGACGTGACTAGCTGAGGCGCCAACAGTCAGGTGCTCTCCTGCCGGCAGTCCTCTGCTTAGCAGCAATTCGGAGGTGGCCAAGGGCGCATGTCTGGTGAAATTTTGGGAGTTACGAAAACCGGTGACAATGGTGATATAGATGATTTCATGGGTCATTTCAACCCCCAGAACTCCCAAAAACTTCACTCCCCCGGTCCGGCAGAGCCTAGGTCCGGCAACGTCGCTGGCCGTGCGTCTGCGCGTTTGCTGGTGAAACGTTGGGGAACCCCAGTGGTCTGGTAGATCAAACGTAATTCAGAGGTTTTTGGGGGAAAATGATCCAATAACATCCAAACACCACAGGTACGTTAGTGGGGTAAGGTGGATAAATATAGAGGTAAATTGACGAATTTACCCCCCAACAATGGCTATTATTTGCCTTTAATGATTTGGAGTAACCCTGACTTTTATAACCTCATCTAGCTTTAAGTTGACCGAGTGAAATAAATTGACCTAGCTAAGGTTTTGGGGCCTTGGCTATGAGAGGTTTATCTGACCCCCCCCATCGAAGCAGCATGAGGAGGAAGAATTGGAGCTTGGGTAAATTTATAAAATAACAATAAGGAGCAGTACATCCAAAACATTGAAATTACAAGGAGGAATTGTTTCTGTTGTTTCTTCCCTGATTAGGAAAACACATAGTAATATATTCCTTTAAAACTGTCACCGGTGGTAAAATTTTTGTGAGCAGATTGGAAAACCAGGTGCTGGTTGATGATTACACGGGGGGATTATACTACCCTTAACGTTTTATGTTGTAGATAAATAATGGATAGAACAAAAACACTCACTATAGATTTTCGTTTTTCTTTTTGCCCCTGAATCCACAACCACTGGGACTGGGCTTTAGATCTTCGACTCAGCTGAGATGATATGGTTAGGAGCATGCTTAGTTGATGGTTGATGTTAGTAGCATTCTGGTTTGTCTCCATATTATCCCGATGTTTTTTTGGGGTATAGACAAAATGATTATGAGGCTAAACTTATTTGGTTTGAGTTGCTCTATTCTGGGACAAACCTAGTTGTTGGTTCAGAAAAAAAAGAACGCATTCAGATCAGATTTGCTTAATATTATATGATGTGGGTAGAACAATAATGAACCTCCCATTTGAGAATGGTTTATGCCACTATCTATGGTGATTTGGGGGATGGTTTATGACATTGTTTTACCCACATTAATTGTTTTTTCAAATCAATGACAACATATGGGAACATATGGGATTTCATGAATCAACATATGGACCATGAGTTTGTTATTCATCAAATATGGCAAAATGATATGATTAGCCAATGGATTTGATGGAAGAGTGAAACAATGTAATGATGAAGAGAGTACAGGCCGCCACCCCTTGAAACAACGGAACACAACTTGCTTTGGCCTAGAAATATCAAAAACGGCTTTGTGCTCCCCATCTGATGCTTTTCTGACACTTTGGCACAGAACAATTTACAACATTTTTTTTTAAAAAAAAACATATTTTTGTACTTATCGTTGTTCTTATCTCTTTGCTGAAGTGGTGATTGCACCTCGCACGACTATCTCATGCATTCAACATCAACAAAGTAGCAAATGTTGATCCGTTTTGGTCCCATTTCCGACATGTCTTGAGACTTCAACAGTTGCATCCCCAGAATTCAGGAAACCCATGGAACCATAGATTTGATGTTCAAAAAACGCTGTTTTCGGTTTTCCGTCAGGCCTCACAGGTGTGATGCAGCAAGTGGCGCGAAGCTTAAGGACATGGATCTCAGGAGGATTTAACCCGTCTCCAAGGCATTTATGACTGGTTGGTGGTTTGGAACCATGGAATTTTATGACTTTCCATTTCATATATGGGTTGTCATCCTTCCCATTGACGAACTCATTTTTTCCAGATTGTTAAAACCACCAAGCATATATTGGGAATAGTAACCCCAACTGACGAACTCATCTTTTTCAGAGGGGTAGGTATACCACCAAGCAGATTAGTAAGGGTTAGAGGACTTAATCAATTTCATCCTTAAATGAATCCATAAATGATGAGTACTAAATCCCTATCCAACAGTCTAATTTTATGTGTTTTCCCGTGATCTGTCCATTTTTTTGTCATGCTTTGCGAGGATTTGGATGGGGACGCGGTGGGTTTTTCACCTGAAGACTTTGATTCAGAAAACCAGGCACTTTTTGTGAAAAGACGGGTCGTTTCATGGCCATGTTTGTTTCCATGGTGGCTGCAGATGCGTATGTCTATGTGTATATAGTATATATATATAATTTATATAATTATATATATATATATATAGTATCAGATACAATGAATCAGTAGCCCGTTCCTACCCGGCTTTTTTTAGATATCATGCAGGGAATCACGGATTAGCAGCAATGAATTTAATAGTTTTGTGTTTTCGATGTGTTTGACTGGGTTGTTTTATTTTCAACTGGAGAAACATCATACCCTGCTTGAAAGTATTTTTGTCCTGACAACTAAGTCAAGCCAGCCATGTATTTGTGTGAAGCGACCCGGCAATAAACGAACAAGGGTATGAAGAAAGCTAGTTGTTTTTTTCTAGGAACATCATCGTTGGTCTACTGAAGTATATGACATGGAAGTATTTTTTTTCAGGAGAAAACCATCAAATAATGACTGATTTCCACTTCTTCACTACTGTCGTCTAGGAAGAGCTAGAGGTTTCAGGTTCAGTTTGCTAGGATTTGTGGGGGAAAACATGACTGCAAGACCACCAAAAAAAATGTTTGTAGCACACGTGTTCCTTGGAGGAAATGATTCCATTAGAGGGCAAACGCCGCTGCTCATTGTGTCCCATCAAGCCAACCAGAGTTCTCTGGATGTACTACAGCATCAAATCAAGTTGAGTGAGCCCCAAATGAATGGGGGTTTCCAATGATGGTACCCCAATTTATGAATGGTTTATTTCATGGAAAATGCCACTCAAATGGATGATAACCGGGGGTACCCCCACGACATCCCACTTCGGAAAGCTCCATATCTTGGATGATGTTCCTTCGGGGATGCACCACCACCTTTTTCCGTGATAATTCAGACGTCAACAATGGGCTACCAGGCTGAATGCTTCATGCAAGACCTTTGCTTAGTCCCAACTTATGAAGGATTTTGTTTCTAGTTTAAGACCCAACATTTTGGTGGCTTGATTGGAGATCATATGTTGCTTAATCCAAATGTTGTGTTTTTAACCCATTTTGTCGCTTCAAATACCCAGTAGATGTTGTTTCAGTCCATGTCGTTCTCTAAATCTCCAGATGTTCTTTCGTAGCCTCTGGTTATTTATCATAGCTGTGAAAATCATGGCCCATAGAAATAGATGATTTGCCTATTAAACCATGGTGTTTTCATCCATGGCTTTTCCATAGCTATGTGAAATTCCGGGTAGATCCACCCTTTGTTTCCCACACGTCCAGTCTCCACGTCCCAGGTGATCAAAGTGACCACTCCAGCACAGAATCCGCCCAGCACAAGCTGGTTCGTGAACGCCGCGCAGCTATACACCATGGGATACCATGGGGGATTTTTTTTTTAAACCTACATGACTGGGTGATTTTGGAGGGCAAATGTTGGGATTCATATTCCAGCACCATGGAGGATGAATTCAATGAATTCAAGGGGATACCCTCGGACCTTAGGAAATGGACGTGCCGACCTTTCCCTTTTGAAATGAGGGATCAAGAAATTTCCAACAGCCGACCGATCTCGGTGAGCCACATGGGTGGCTTGGAATGGATGAAGATTGCCATCGCTGATTCAAGGATTTTTGCAGAGGGTATGCTCTGGTAAAGATACCAAAAGCTATTGAACATGGCCATAGAAATAGTGGATTTACCCACTAAAAATAGTGATTTTCCATAGCTATGTTAGTTTACCAGAGGGTATGCTCTAAAAAATGTGGAATAACATGCCCCTTCTGGTATCTCTGTGGCGATGTCGTGCGCATACAAGATGGGCTCTGAATTGAGTCAAATTATCTATGGAAACACGATTATACATCGCTATGTTACCGAACCATTTTTTTTATCAACTTATATATATATACACACCATTATAAATACATATTTGTTGATTAAAACCAATGACAAATTAATTCAGAAATCATCCCTATTTAAAGGTCATTTTCCCATTCAAGCATGTCTCAGAAAACGATGTTGGCAATGCACTTCTCCTTTCCAACGCAACGCCTCGAACACCCCGCGATTCTTAGGCCAAAGATAGCGCCACGGGACTCCAGCTGGCGTGGGGCGAGGACTAACAGACTGGCTGGTACATGCTGGTACCATGCTGCTGATAACACCCTACAGTTATGGCCATGGCTATTAGTGAAATAACTGGTGATTTCTATGGAACTATATATTCTATAAATGGGGTTTTGTTAGTAATTACTTGTAACTGGTATTTTGGGCTACAACTGTAAATATGATAAATTTATGTTGGTAAATATGCCATAGAGTTCATAGAGAATATGGGATGGGAAACGGAATACCAATCTGTTCCATCATTTTTGAAGCATTGGGAAATGCTCTTCCAGTTATGTGTGTTGCTTTATAAACCCCATGAATACTAGTCCGTTATCTCCCCCGTACAAAAAAAAACATAGAATTCACCAAGTTATTTGCGTCAACTTAGCGATTTCGCTTGGGGGCCTACCGCGGCTACCCTTGTGTGGGCGAGATGGAAAGCTCAATACCAGGCACCACACAAAGTTTCCATTGGACCACGCTTCATCAGTTGTCAGCTTCACTTCTCGAAGCTTGGAACCTGGGTAAACCAATGGCACTTGCATTGTTTTACGCAGCTTCCATTTGTTTAAGTGTCTTTGAAGACAAATTGACGTTTTTTTTTCATCGTGAGATGTGTTTATTTCCATTTCCATTTGTTTGTGTGTGATATTTTAAGCACAACAAATCATGCTTTCACCGTGATATCACCGTGATGAAGATGTGTCAACATTCTCAGGGCATCCAGGGCTTTAGCGCCAGGATATGTCTGGAGTGACCATCAGACAAATGTTGGGTGTGGCACCCATGGGCGCCGGGTGGTTTTTGTGGTTAATCGTCATGGTGAACTTCTGGTGAACTTCTGGGTGAACTTGTGGGATTTTTAAGTGGGCCAAGAAACCAAAAGCTATGGCATTGACTGTATCCAGTAAGAGAATCTTGGGATGGGCCATAGAGTTCATACTCACTGATATTTGGTTTAAATTATTTTTTGAGTTATGTTAGGGGTTGCGAACCAGTCAACCAACTCCATGGCCCAGCCACAAGAGGAATCTGTGTTTTGGCTACAGCCCATTTTGAAGAAAGCCGAATTGATTATAGAGACTTAAGTGATAGATTTTCATAGTTTCAAGGCGTTCGATGGTGTCATATTTTCTCTGTTTTGCAGTACAAACGAGGATTTGAGCCAGGAATCAGGGAAACACGATGTTTCAGAATCTCGATGTTCGTCTCAGTGCACTGATTCAAAATCTATGTGCAAAATCACCGCACGGCAGAGCTGAAGATATGATTCGGTTCCGCACATGTATGGACTATTTTAGTGGAGCTTTCCTGAAACAATCCTATGCGTCCTGGAATAATTGATGTTTATAGTGGATGATAAGGACATATGATTATCCAATGATTATCCAATAATCATCCAATGATTATCCAATGATTATCCTATGGTTATGTTATATACACACATATGGTGGCTTCCTAAAATAGGGGTACCCCCAAATCATCCATTGATAGATGCCATCCGATTGGGGTTACCCCCATGGATTGGAAACTCCTAAGTCAGTTCCTGCATGATCCATCTCCATTCTGGCACGACTGTGAAACCATAGGCCGTGGGGTGAACATCCATATGTTGTAGTTACTAGGGTGAGTGTCGTGATCCATATCCATATGATAACCCATGAATCCCCATTATTATATGATCATACAGGATGCTGCCCCCCAGTTATAAGTTGGTTTATAAACCCCATTCACTATAGTTATATCTGCCATAAACCATAGTTATGGGAGTTATAAACCAACTTAGCTAACTATGGGGCACCACCTTGTACTGAGTTTTATATAATTTGAGCTTAAACATACCCATTGTGATAACCTACCCACAGTCGGGTATTTTCAGGGACAGGTTTCACCGTTTGTGAACATTGGCACGAAATGCCCTTGTTGGTTGGTTATATGGTGTTATATTATTGGAGATTCATAAAACATCGCCCACTTCATATGGATACCTATCCAGTATAAATATATATATATAAATATATATATATATATATATACATACATTTTAATATATATATATATACATGTATATATATACATATGTATATATACACATGTATAATTATATATATATATATATTTATACATATATATACATATATATACACATACATATACATATATTTACATATAATATATATATACATATATATACATATACATACATATGTATATACATATTTACATATATACATATGTACATATATACATATATACATATATACATATATACTTATATACATATATATATATATATATATTCATATATACATACATACATATATACATATATACATATAATCATATATAAGTATAAATATATATATATACATATACATATATATACATACATATATACATATATACATATACATATATATACATATATATATATATACATTTACACACATATATATACACATATATATATACAAATATACACATATATATACATATATATACATATATACATTTATACATATATACATATATACATATATACACATATACACATATACATATATACATATAATAATATATACATACATATACATATATACATATATACATATATATATATACATATATACATCTATACATATATACATATATACATATATACATATATACATATATACATATATACATATATACATATTTACATATTTACATATATACATATATACATATATACATATATACATATATACATATATACATATATACATATATACATATATACATATATACATATATACATAAATACATATATACATATATACATATATACATATATACATATATACATATATACATATATACATATATACATATATACATATATACATATATACATATATACATATATACGATATATATTATATTTATACATACATATATACATATATATACATATTTATTTATACATACATATATATATATATATATATATCTATATTTACATATATATATATATACATTTACACACATATATACATATATACACATATATACGTATATACATATATACATATATACATATATACATATATACATATATGCATATTCATATATACATATATACATATATACACATATATATATACATATATATATATACATATTTATATATATATATACATCTATATATACATATATACATAGAATATATAGTATATTATATATATATATTATGTACATATATACATATATTCATATATACATACATATATATATATACATATATACATATATACATATATACATATATACATATATACATATATACATGGAATATACAGTATAGTATATATATATATTATGTACATATGTATATATGTATTAAATATATTGATACGGGAAAACTTTAGCCATCCATTTTTCGTGCCGGCTCAGGTGCCAGTGTGCTCTATCCAGGGATTCCAAGTATCGCTGGACAAATGGCCTTCAGTTTCATTACCAATGCAGCTTGGTCAGATCTGAGGCTGGTTGGACTCTGATGGCGGTCTTTAAAGAGTGGCAATGAGTACTGGCAAAAGATGAAAGTGGAGTTTGCTTCTATTTTAAAGGGCTTGTTCTTTCATGTAGATAACTGTATGATACTACATATATATATATATATCAATGTGGTCCAGCGTTTGGTGGTCCTCTCCCCCGAGATGGTGATGGAGCCCTTTTGGGCGTTCCATTGCCACAGATGGAACGCTCCAGGGGCGTGGGACATGGGACGCTCCAGGGCCTCCAGGGGTCGAGGGAGGTTCATTGCAAGGTGACGCCTCCCAGTTTCAATCTGGTACCCTCTGGTAAATTAACATAGACCCTGAAAATAGCGTAGTTTTAATGGAAACTAGTCTTCCAACCCCTATCTGCCAGGGTCTATGTTAATTTACCAGAGGGTAACAATAGTAAAAATTGGCCACTTACAGACACTTATAGATGATTTACCCATGAACAATTGGTGTTTTCCATAGCTATCTTACCAGAAGGTCAAACGTTGCTTTATCTTCTGTCATACCCAAGTGCTCCTGAAAAGCAACGACATTCAAAAAGTGGTTCCGAAGGATGTTGGTCTCTTGTCACGCCATGGGGGGTTTTCAATATATGGTGGATTGGTGGATCCTCAATAGCTGGTTGGTTTACAACGGAACATCAAATTGAAAAGCGAAAAACTGACTGGTACACCCGTATACCACATTGTTTTTGTTACCCTCTGGTAAACTAACATAACTATGGAAAATCACCATGTTTAATGGGAAAACTCACTATTTCTATGGCCATGTTCAATAGCTATTTTGACATAACCAGAGGGTATCCCAACTGGTTCGTGCAGATCGCCGAGCCAATCCGGCAAAGGAGAAGATCGAGTCCGGTGGAGCTATTCGTGTGGGATATCCCACGTCCTTCCGGCGTTTTTTTCGGAAAATTCCAAGCGGAAGCCAGTTGTTTGTTCGGTGTGTTATGGGTGACATATAGGGATACCATGATGATCCATGTTGTAAGTTGGACTTCAGGAGTTTTGGACTTTGGGACCCTTGAAAGACTTTGAAAGATTGATGTGCATTTGGGTTGTATGAAAATATCTGCGACACAATGATTGGGTTGCCGTTTTTGCACGACTTGAGCAGTGTTCACACGCCTATTGGGCCCTTTTTGTTGATCATTACCGGGGGATTCAAATAATATGTATATATATATATTATGTACATATATATTATTATTTTTACATATATATATATACATATATATATATATATATATTATCTATATATAAATATATTGGGGATGGATTATCATCATATACCATTCTCGCCAGGGACATCGAGATCCTCTGCAACGGGCAGTACCTCAGTCAGGCGCGCGCCACGCAGATGGGAAAGATGGGTCATAAGGTAAAGCCAAGAACATCCATCCGCAAAATTTCTAGAAATGGGTAGTAACATGTAGTAACTATCATTTCTACAATGTGAGGCCCCTAAGATAGCTAAGTTGGTGCAAATAACTCCAACAACTATGGTTTATGGTACTTATAACTATAGTTACTGGGGCTTATAAACCAACTTATAACTGGGGGGCCTCACATTGTAGAAAGGGGGTTGCCATGATTTTTCACCTATTGAAGTAGGTCTTCAACAATCCTGCATCTTACAGTATTTAGTTCCAAGCGAGAGGCACTGTCAGCTCCTTGCGTTCGGAACCTCCCTACCAGACGTTCGCTGGCCATGAAACGTCCTGAAACTCAAACGATGACCTTCCCATCGACGAAAAACCTTTTTCAAATCCCAATAATTTAATTTTGAAGAGACTATACATAAACTATACATAAATCCAAGTATATATTCGATTTTTCAGTTCATATCTACATAAACTATACATAAACCAATATTTCCATGATTTTCAGTTGTCCAGATGTTACCCGGCCTGGTAAACAAAAAACTATGGAAAATCACAATGTTTAATGGAAAAATCCACATCAATCCACTATTTCTATGGTCATTTTCAATATAAATCACCATTTCCCCATGGTTTTCCCATGGTTTTCCCACGGATTTCCCCCGGTTTTCCCATGGTTCGATTCCCATCTCCCACGACTCCGAGGTGGCGATCACCGGCGAGGTCACCTGTATGAATTACATCGCTGAGGCGCGGTTGTGGTGGTTCGCGACGCCGTGGAAATATACAATGAACTTACAGTGATAAAAATATAATATTACAGTACATAATATATGTATATATATGATAGATATATATATATATGATATATGATATATATATATATGATATATATATATGATATATCATATGTAACTATATAATGATAAGTATATATAATATATATATATATATACAACTATATATGTAATGGAGTTGTAAAGCAAGTTAGAACTCGGTTCAGGGAACTCACCAAAAGTGGGATCCCTTGTGGTTCTTTGTGTTCAGGTGGTTTTTTCAGCTGAGCCGCCTGATGAGCCGCTCGTAAACTTATCTGGTTGGTGGTTTGGAACATGACTTTTATTTTTCCACATATTGGCTTGGGAACAATCCTCCCAACTGACTTTCATATTTTTCAGAGGGGTTTAAACCACCAACCAGTTATGATTCAAGCTGTAGTTGTGTATTACTGAAGCATATATCTGGGTAAATTTAATCGCGACCGAACCCTGTTCTCCCGAAGCCTGGAATGATGGTTAGTAGGGGGAAACAATAGGGAAATCATCCCCAATTGGCCGAACAATTCAGGTTAGTGAAATATCATAATTTACCCAGATATATGGCAAAAATGTGGCGGCGTGTTGGCCTAAGTGAAGGGTTGGAGATTCTTTGTGTTTGGGTGTTTTGGTATTGTTGTTGCCCTCATCATTATCACTAAACTATTTTAACAATCACGCATATAAATATTCGATACTACCGCGAGAAAGCTATGAAATTCTGTGTTGTTTATCGCAGTTGCTGATGTAAGACTATGATGATCCTGACGGAGTCTGCCTTGTGAGATTAGCTAGCTCTGTTTATAGCTACGTTTTTTTTTTGGGTGATAAGAAGTGTAATTAGATGGGTGTATAAATATATATATATATATTATATTTATATACACAAACTTCTACTGTAAGTAGGGGCACCGGTACCATGCTGCTGCTGCTGCTGCTGCTGCTGATGATAGCGGCCGTGGTTTACACATCCAACCCTTTCATGAACATCAGACACAAGGATGGCGGCTCTACCCACGACTATTCGCATGGTGGGTTGGGTCACAACCTAAGTGTGTTTTAGTCATTTTATGTCATCCCCATGATATTCCAATGTAATGTTGGTTTATTCCCATTACATTCCATAATTTTCCAATGGTTATTCCCATGATGTTACAATGTAACTTGGTTTGCAACTACCATCCGTTTAACTTGACCACAGGGAATTCACCAAAGTCGGGAGCTACTTGGGAGCTGCTTGAAATTCTTGATGGTACCCTCTGGTTATTTGACATAGCCATGGAACATGGCCCATTTATAGATGATTTTCCCAGCTAGAAACCTCCATTTATAAGGGATTTTCCCGTCGGCTATGTTAAATAACCAGATGAAAAATATGAAAATCCCTGATATTCCAATTTTTTTAAAATAATAACCAGATTTCCTTATTTTAACCGTTGGCTATGTTAAGTAACATATGGTAACTATTCCATTGGGTTTTAAAATAAGGAAATCCCGGATCGCCGTGACATGTCGTGACCATGATCCCCATGACGAAAGCCACTTGTTCATATTTTGTTCATCATATCGAAGTGGATCTTCAACTGGTAAACTAGCATAAGTATATATGCAATAAGGATGCTAGTTTTCCAGTATGAATATCAACTACTCCCTTATACTTTACCTAAACTGCTACCTATTGAATAAGGTATCATATAAGTAGCATAAGTAGCATAAGAATCACCATTAGGTAAATCATCTATAGTTGGATTGGTTTCCGGGACAATTGAAACCGGGAACCTCCATGAATTTCAAGTTAAAAACCATGGTTTCCGGTTGAGATTTTCTCAACTAAACCAATCCAACCATCCATTAAAATCCCATTAAAATCCATTAAAATCCCATGAAAATCCATGAAATCCACCATATTTGATGCTAACCAATCCATGTTTCCGAGCCCAATCCCGGCTGCATCGCCACAACGGGATGATCGAACTGCAGCGTCAGGGCTATTTCGAGCTGCGCTTGAACCGACCTCTTCCGCCTGGGCAAACGGCCTTCACCGTCCCATGGCTTTGAAAAACGGGGAAGTCCATGGCATGACACTGAAAATGTTACAAGTTATGATATATAAAATAAGATGAATAAGATGGTTAAACATCTCATGATATTTGTTTATGTTATAAGTCACCGAACTAAATAGTGTATGTTCCAGCAAGCCATGTTTGATGACACCGGAGGGTACACCCTGGATTGATCAACCTCCAAATTCACGGAGATTGTCAGAATAGTCAACGTACCAAGTGTGCTGATCCAAGGAATCCAAGGTGTTGGGGTAGAGCATTTTTAAGAACCCATGTTGAAGGTCATTTTTATTGAATGCCTAACTACATATTCTATTGGTTCCCTTTGATTCTTTGCTTTCATCATTGGATCCCTCAGTTGGTAAATGTTCTGCTGGCAGTTTTGAACTTCACCAAGTTGCGGTGGAGATGATTCACCACCCACGGAGCATGGAGTTCAGTGTCTTCATGATCATTTGATATCATTTGATGATCGAGGATCCCAAACTTGATGACTGGTTTGCTTTTGTTTGCATGACGAGCTGTTCTATTGTAGAGGATTTCACACTATATGTCCTTATTGATCCTTATCTGGCTGGTGGTTTCAAACTTTTTCCCCCAATTAATATGGGATAGTCCTTCCCAACTGACTTTCATATTTTTCAGAGGGGTTGAAACCACCAACCAGTTGTTGTCAGTTGACTCTTCAATTATCAACATCGTGCTTCCACGAGAACTCATGTCTCCGGTGGCAGGTCACCAGTACGTGCCCTGCAGCAGTGAACGACAACTATTTCTACATTGTGGTGCTAACGGCTGCGGGACAGGCGCGGAGGAGCGAAAGCGAAGAACATACCTTGGAAAATATGGTATATCAATATCATTCAATATCATATCCTGGCCAGCTCGCAAAATCATATCCTGGCCAGCTCGCAAAATCATGTTCTGGCCAGCTCGCAAAAGCTCATGATGAAAACATATTTCCGCGCAAGAATCCTGCTGAGTTCGCGTAAGCGTTGCACAAGAGCTCGCGCTGGCAGTATTACTTTGATAATACTTTGCATTTGTTTTTGGAGGTGTTGAACTCTGCAGGGACTACGGGATTCTCAGAAAGTTACTGTAGTCACCGGTCATGTGGGGTTTGGTCTATTGATTTTGCAATAAGCTGATGGGGTATTTCGCCGGGGTACCGTGTGGTACCCAGTATTTCAAGCCTCCGGTATTCAGACATGGTAATCGAAAATCCCCAGTTAATAGAGTTAATAGATGATTGTCTCTTTAAAACCTCCATTTATAGGTGATTTTCCCATTAAAACATTGAAGTTTCTAGCTGGAAGAAAAACATCGATCAATGGGCAAGTTTCCAGCGAGCCATGGACTGGTCGTGACTCCTGGCAGGTGTCCGATGCTGCGATGAGTATCTCCGGTTTGAGCCGCTTGGAGACAGATGGGGGGCATGGAGAATTAAGCAAGTTGCAGGGTACCAGTACTTTAACACAGCTGTGGAAATTGCACATTTATAGATTTTATAGATGATTTGCCACTATTGATCTCTCTTACTTATATAATCTTATATATATATTAAAACATGGTGAATTTTCCCGTACATAGAGTAAATTGCCGGAGGGTACTGGATGTGTTTGATCAGGTGGGCTTGTCATCAACGGATTATATGAACGGCATACCCCCAATTCAGAGCAATTTGAATGAGGAATATGTTGGACAATGATTAAACACTTGTACTTTGCAGGTTCCCTATTGTCGAAACACCATGGAAACCCTTAAGATATGTTTGCGGTCTTTACATTTACGTACAAAGAGACCAAAGCCCGGAGTTTCCCCTTATATAATCTTATAAACTACGTGTTGTCTTCTGCTTATTTTATCTCACACATGCTCCATGTATGTAATATTTACCTACATTTACCCCCAAAATCATCTAGTTTTGCAGGTAAATATACCATACATGGAGCATCTGGGTCTTATGTTCAAACCGTTTTTATGGGAATCAACATTAATCATTCATACGGGGTAGTTAAAACACCAGGAATATCGTTCAGTCATCAGGATTCACCCCGGGGAACCGGGGCTCGCCGGTGAGCCAACGATGAACAGCTCGAGAGCTGTTGCGGTTGATGGTGGTTAAGGCCAAATCTAGAAGGAATCTGTTGGCTGGTTGTCAACATGGTCATATATTTTCAATAGTTTTTTTTTTTTTATAAATGACATTTTTTTCGCACCTCTAAGATTCACCATATTTTGTTTTTCTTAGCCCTAGACTTTATGATTGAGAAACATGACGTTTTCTTGATTTCATGTTGGTAAAACAGTCATAAACCATCCCCAATTTCACCATTGTTTATAGGTGGTATGTTTACCATTCCCAGTCATGGGTGGCTTATGGCATTGTTTTACCCACATTATATATGCTTATATGGTTATAAACCCCTATAAGAGTCATGACATTGTTTTAACCACATTAAACTATAGTTAAAACTTTAAATCCACTATAAACCCATTGTAGTTTTACCCCAACTGTAGTTAACCACATTAATTAGCCACATTAACCACATGAATTGTTGCTTCCCCTTATAAATCCATGGTGGTTTTCCGTGAAACGCCCAAGGAATTCAGCACGGTTTACCTGTGTCGGCCATGCCCTTGATCTGGGGCATGGCGGAGCCCAATAGGACGCCAGTGACGTTGCGGATCTGTTGGTGATCTTCATCCAGGGTGCATAACATACGGGTTTTTGACATCCGCAAAGGTTTTACCCTCTGGTAAACTAACATAGCTATTGAAAATGACCATTTATAGTGAGTTTTCCCATTGAAACTTGTGATTTTCCATAGTTATGTTAGTTTACTAGAGGGTCACCATATGGGTATGAGTCAAAATGTAAGACCTGGGGGACCACAGATTTAAGTCTAAAAAAATAGTATTCACCATCCAACTATTGGGGTACTCAATTTTGACCAATACCCATATGAAGCAGTACTTGCCCTCTGGCAATTCCTTATAGTTGAACATTAACATAGGAATTTTCTACCATATTTCATAAGCTGGTTGGTGGTTTCAAACATTAATTTTATTTTCCATTTCATATATGGGATGTCATCCTTCCCATTGACTTTCATATTTTTCAGAGGAGTAGGTATACCACCAACCAGTTAAGGTCAACTCCGGATTGATAAACCATGGTTTACGGAAATTGTGGGGGTACCCTCCAAATAGTCACACTATGATACTTACATGGTAGCACCCCAATTAAACAGCCTGGGGGTTTATTAATCCAGGGTTGCCATTATCTGGTTGGTTGTTTGGAACATTTTTTATTTTCCATAATATATGGGATAATCCTTCCCATTGACCAATATTTTTTCGAGATGGTTAAAACCACCAACCGGTTGTAGTTATATAATGTTATATCATCACCATTAGCCCAAAGGGCGCCCACTGTTTCGATATGGTTGTTGGTGATCTTCATCCATCACCCAGATTTTAGTATAGTACAGTATAGTTATATAATGTTATGTGTATATATATAATAACATTATATAACTATACTGTACTATACTAAAGTCAAAGGTTATATATCATGTTATATATCATGTTACTATATACTGTACTCTACTGTATTATATATATATATCATGTTATATCATCACCATTATGCCAAAGGTGAAACCCAAGCCAGCACTATAGCATAGTTTTAGCCTCTGGTAATTCAATATGGCAGGTAATGGAGAAAAACAACTTCATGGGCACATACGAGTAGTGTTCAAAACCCTTCAAAACCCGATTGATGATTTTGCATGATTATGCTATTTGAATCTATTTGACATATTACGGATTATCATAAATAACTATGGAACTTCCCATTAACTAAGCAGTAAAAAATGGGAAGCCCATTTTTTGGACAGCCAATCATCAATCAACTTCGCAATCCAAAACGCTTCACGGCAAAATCACTGGGAGAATCTCATGGATGTAGATTGCCTTCGCAAATCCCAAAGATCCCCATGCAGAAGGGACATCAATAGTTGGAATATGTACCACTTTGTCACACACCATCTTTCACCACACCATCTTTCACACACAACTTTGTCGCACACCATCTTTCACACACAACTTTGTCACACACCATCTTGCGCCACACCATCTTTCACACACCACTTTGTCACACACCATCTTTCACACACCATCTTTCACCACACCATCTTTCACACACAACTTTCACACAAACCATCTTTCACACACAACTTTGTCACACACACCATCTTTCTTTGTCACACACCATCTTTCACATACAACTTTGTCACACACAACTTTGTTTTACTTCTCGATCCTCCACCACCTCCTTTGTTTTTCCTTCCTTCCCCATCCTCGCTACAACATTTGGTGCTCATTATTGGAAGAAATTGCCTTGTGGGGTTATCCCGTCCTTTAATTAAGGGAAATCGTCCCAAAATGGCCGAAGAATTCAGGTTAGTGATTAGTGAAATATTGTAATTTACCGCGAGAGAGAGAGAGATATATATATATATATTTTGAACAAACATCACTGGGGCGGCCCACCTTGAAGTTTCCCCAAGTTCAGATCTGCGCAGGAATACTTTCGTCAGCACTGGCATTGAGATCCTGGGAGAGCTCCCTTTGAAGGACGATGCGACGTACGTGGAGATGTCGAAAAACGGGTGAAAGGGACGGATGAATCATCAAAAAAAACATGGGATTTATGGTGATTTATGGGGATTTAAGTGATTTGATCCTCTAAAATGATCTAAAATGGGGATTTAGCAATCAAGCATTGGTATTTAGCCACAACAAATTGGGATTTAAGCAGGAACATAGTAAATTTCATCACGACCGAACCCTGTTCTCCCGAACCCTGGAATCATGGTTATTTTTAGGGAAATCATCCCCTTTTATGGCCGAAGAATTCAGGTTAGTTAAATATTGTCATTTACCCAGATACATATATATATATATGATTATTTATATATATATATATACTGTCTGGTAAACCCACATAGCTATGAAAAATCATGTTTCAGTCCCTATCCGAAAGATGTTCTCTCGCCGAGCTAACAGGATCCACCAGTGATGAGCGAAATCATCATCGAGATGCCGCCAGATTTCTCGCATCAGGCAGGGTGCACTGCGTGCACGTGAAACATTGCGGCCGTCCCAAGGTCTCTGGAAATGATGGGAAAATTGGATGTGGTTAACGATCCTCAAATGGCAAAACTGTTATAAACTGTTCAGATTGGTGAACAGTTATCATTTCTCCAAAAAATGGAGCACATGAAACTCTGGATGAGAAAACGGGAACTTGGGGGAAACTGGGTAGATCTTGCCAACGGCATGTATCGAATGTAGCAAGACGTAACACTTCAGCACCACGGACCAGGCCTTGAAAGGCGTCGAGAGAGGAAGTACCACGGGACCATGGAGCATATATTGAGATGCCAACTGGCTAACCTGTGTTTAGATCCATTATGATCAATTATATACAATTATTATGATATTATGATTACAATTATTATGATCCATTATGATCCATTACAATATGATATCAATGTTTCATCCTAAACACTACAATGATATACAATTATTATGATCCATAATGATCCGTTCAACTGTATCACATGAACCAGAACCAATAATATGTCATATAAAGGTTCGTAGAAATTATTTTTAGCATCATATCATATATCGTTCATATAAAGATTCATATAAATCATATAATATGTTTTATGAATTGTACAACTGATTTTTACGTATTGTACGATGTTTCCAATCTTTATATCATACAAATCATAATTATTTTTCTTCGGCGATGTTTCCAATCCTTTGTTGGTGATTCGGGGTTTGTGGTATACCCTTGGGGATGATCATCGTCCAGTCGTCCACTGCGAATCCCAGGATACTCGGACCTGGGACATGTTTTAAGTAACGCTAGGGTGAAGTATTTACACTCCCACTATTGAAGAACTATTCTATTTACATTATTTAATAAACATAATATATATATATATAACTGGTGGATAGTCTATGCTGGATAGATTCGGATAGATGCCAAGTGCTTGCGACTGCCTTTTTCGGCAGCCTTTTTCGGCGTCCTGCGAGGTGCACAAGACGGCGCAACTGGAAACCCTTACTGAGCCACTGCCCAGACGCGAAGGCGGCTGGGATATATTGTTATAGTAAATAGTAGTTAATATCTACCCTCTGGTATTCTAACATAGCCTCTGGTAAACGTTTACATAGCTATGAAAAATCACCATTTTTCATGGGACAACTCACTATTTCTATGGCCATGTTCAATAGCTATGTTTGTTTACCAGAGGGTAGCTATGGAAAATGACCATTTATGGTTGATTTACCTATTAACAATGTGGTGATTTTCAAGTGATTTTCCATAGGTATGTTAAACCACCAGAGGGTAAGTATTGGGATACCCAATTCCGACACATACCTATGTTTTGGTTCCGCGTTAAATCCCACTGTTTGTGAATTGTGAAATAATATACCCTCTGGTAATTTAACATAGCTATTGAAAATCACAATGTTTAATAGGTAAATAATCTATAAATGGGTCATTTTCTATAGCATTCAATAGCTCTGTTAAATTACCAGAGGTTAAATGTTTTTTCCTTGCGCAAATTGAAACCACCGGCCCGATAAACATAGAGGACGCCATTGTGCCGTGGACAGACAAGAATCAAGATGGTGTCAGTGGTTGCCGTAAGGTGCCAATGTCTCATTGTTGATTGTATAGTGAAGACTATAGTTGGCTGGATCCTTCATGTGCTCTTAAATTTGCTTTCATCATTTTGAATCCAGAGTTTGCAAATGTGTGTTTTTCTTGTTTAAATCCACAAAATCCAGGCTGCCAGGCGGTTTTTTTTCCCATCTCTGGACGTGGAAACCCCGTGGCCGTCGCCAGGCGGCTGGCTGGATGTAACGGACCCAAGAAGGTCGTGGTCGTCTGTCGCCGTGGGGTGAATCCAACGAAATCGCAAGGGTTGGGGGCCACATAAATGGTTTATGATATGGTTTATGGTTTATGATACTTTTAAATATATGGCATATCTTTGCTCATTTTTCTAGTTTATCTAATAATTGTGTATCCATCATTTGTTTTCAAAAACCAATTGCAAAATTAAAACAGTATACATTCTGCTTGACATATCTTAAGGTTTTATTGCAAGATTAGAAAGAAATAAATAGGTTTTTTTTTTATATATAAAAAATGTTTTTTATATTTTTGGCACTATTAGATAGTACAAGCATCTACATTGGTTAATCATGCACTTCATACGTGCATAGTAAACAGTCTATTATGTGTATGTTAGATATGTTTACATATCGTGTCTGAGAATAGGAGAAGGTAAAAAAGAAAAAGGGGGGTTTATATGGGTTTATGATACTCATAAATGGTTTTCATGATACGCATTAAAGTTTAACGAACTAGTTAGTTCATGGGGTGAATCTAAACCAGCAAAGATAACCAATCATATGTTATGCTATGTCATGTTATGATTTATTTGCTGGATATATTGTCATGTATGTATATATATATATATAGCATTCTATAGATGGAGCTATCAACCAACTTCGAAATGGAACATTGTAAGTTGGTTTATGTTCACCCACTCAATTGTAGTTATATCAACCATAAATCATAGTTAGCCATGTTCAAAAGCCAGGAACCTATCATTTAGTGTGCCGCATATTTAAGTACAACATGTGTTTTGTTCTTTAATTAAAACGCACTTGCTGGAAATGATCACCTGCTTGGTGGTAATCCTCCCAAAACTGCTTGGCGTGTCCTGGAATATTGATCCTCGAGTTACGAAACTCATGCCGTTCATTAAATAGTTTAAACCACCAAAACTACAGTACTCTCGTTGGTGGTTTGGAACATTTTTTATTTTCCATCATATATGGGATAATCCTTCCCATTGACTAATATTTTCACAGGGATTGAAACCACCAACCAGATTATCATTTTGGTTTACATTAATGTGCAGATAGACGTACGAATAAGTGTGTAGTATATGTGTATCATTATACATAATTTCATACTGTTTATGTATTTGCTTAAATCATTATAGTCTAGCTGATGTGTGCGGATGCACTTGCGTGATACAATGTGTAAAATTATACATATCATAGTTGTAGATGCACAACTTGTGATTATGAACGCCTCCACCGGTTGAATGCAGTAAGTTACTACCTTGTACTACCCCTATTTCTGCGAATCAATTGATGAGGCTTTCAGACAAGACAGGGTTTGAGGATGGGTCAACGCCAACCTTCTATAGAGATACATCGCCTGTTGAACTGGCAGTTTTATGATGTCACAGACCCTACATATACATATATATATATACACATATATGTATATATACATAGATATACATATACATGTATATATATAATTGTATATATATATATACACATATACATAGATATACATATATATATACATAGATATACACATACAGGTATATATAAATATATAAATATATATATATATACATATGTATACATATATATATATGTATATGTATATATGTATATATATATATGTATACACATTTAAATATATTTCACACTCTTTGCACTACGTTGGCAAATTATCATGCTCTGCCAGGCTCAGACTATTGATGGATGAAGACGCCATCCAAAAACTAGCCATCGGCGCCTACAGGTGCTCCTAGCGGATCCGGATTTCCGCAGGAAAATGGATGATGTTGCAGGAAAAAACCTAATTTTTTTGGGGGGATATTTGATGGGATATAACTTTGCAGGATTCTTACATCTACTAAACATAGACTCAAACAGACTGAAAGATACTGAAAGGTATGGTTTAAGGCATGTTAAACTGGTTGTCATTGCTATACCTCCGTTGTCATACCCTGGTACAGAGCTATGAACCATATACTGGGCTGGTTTTTGTTGGGAATTATCAACAAATACAGTACAGTAGAGGTCCAAACAACTAATTGCATGGAATATCATGGAGGACGAATCGGATCAAACTGGGATACGAATCATGGAGAATAGTTCATGGATACAATGTGAGGCCCCCAAGATAGCTAAGTTGGTTTATAACTCCAATAACTATGGTTTATGGGACTTATAACTATAGTTACTGGGGCGAATCTAAACCAACTTACAACTGGGGGGCCTCACATTGTAGACATGGTGTAAAAACATCGACCAGTATGAGATGTAGTTCTCATGTAGATAGCCGGTCCAACATGATCTTTGGGTCCGTTACACAATGAGGTGTACTACCGTTTTTTCTAGCGACATGTTGCCATGTGCGACCGAAAAATGATGATCAAGGAGTGGGTTAAGGAACCCCTTGAACCATTGGCTTACAACCCAATCATGTGTAGATAGAAATGTCTATCCCCGCACTCATGGTTTGTTTGCGCTGAAATCGAAGATTTGCTGGTGCGAAATGTTGGTTTCTCAGTTGTGTGCAGAGAACTTTGCTCTGAAGAATTGGGAATGTGCCAGCCTGGCAGCCTGCCATCTTTTATTGCTACAGTCCCCGGCGATGGCTTTGTTTTTTGAATTGGGGCCCCAAAATTGCCATGTCTTGGACATACCCATACAAGGTGGGGCCCCATAGCTAAGTTGCTTTGTCACTAGGATTATGATTGTTTCTGGTGATTATAACTATACTCAGATGGGTTTATAAACCAACAAAGATATTGTTCGGGGGCTTAAAAAAACATGAAATCCCGTCAAATCCCATGATATCTCATTCAGTCCCATCAACTCCCATCAACTCCCATATATATACATATATAAATCCATATAAATCCCATCAAATCCCCATGTCTACTGGTTCCCATTCCCATTCTCTGGGTGCGCCGCACCACCAGGTTCCAGTGGCCCATCTTGGTCCCGGCCGTGATGCCCAAATACAACGTCTGGGAAACTCAGGGCCGGCAACGGCAGCCGGCGGCATCCCCGACTGGGTAGAAACTCATCCTGGGTAGTTTTTGGCTATGGCAAATAGCTTGGCAAAAGATGACGAAAACCGTAACCTTAGCAATTTAGGTCACATTTAAGTTTCTAAGCTTTAAAATCATTATAACTGACACTCTTTATAAAATAACCATAACCTTAGCAAAAGATGACATTTTGTTGAATATCAAAGATTGACTATGGTTGGGGAAAAAAGAAAGATGGGAAGAGCCGCTAGAAAATTCAGAACTTCTGTACAGCCAACCCCTCACCATCCACTAACTGGTTCTTAGTTACCCAAAGCTCTCCCAAGTTGGGAATGGATTCCATAGCTTTCCCATGCTTTCCCAGTCTAGTCATGTCTCTAGTCAGCATCAAACCCTTTGGATTCCCCTAAATGTTCCATTGAGCTATCAGAACATGGCCACATTTGGACTTTCTTGGGCGGGGGTCAAATGAACATAAAGCAAAGAGAGGCCCAGTGAAGTATGATTTAATTGCTGTTGTTTTACTACCAAAAATAGCAATAACATACAATATCGTCTTGTTTGTTGAAGGAATATTAATGATAATATTAATGCAGATGAATCAAATGTGTTGAATATTTTTCTGCATATATTATCATATATTCAATAGTGTTGTACCAATGTGTTCTATATATTTCTACCAATTTTTGCGGGGCTGTGAACATCCATTTATCATCTATCAATTGGCGTTCCAAGGCTACCATTTTGACCCATGTTTTTTGGGATCATCCCGACGGCGTGTTTTTGGTGCTACAAACCAGACTGCCAGTCATGGTAGTTTTATGACCATTGACCCAACGGGTGCTGGAATGATAGTGGAATGATACAGTAAATACCTGGTTGGTGGTTTGGAAATGTTTGGAACATTTGGATGATGTTTAACCATATATTGGGAATAATAATCCCAACTGACTAGTATTTTTTTGACCCGTCTCTACTTGGTGGTGAACTGTGAACTACCTAGGACTCGCGAGTTAGCCAATTATGTGGTAGGGGCTCCAGTCGCGGGGTGAACGAAATTGAAACCACCCCGATTCTGGGCGACCAGCTGGCGACATGGAGAATAATGCTTAGGAAACTCGGATTCGTTTCTTATAATTCTGATCCCGCCAACGAAGTATATAACCATGTTTTTTTTCAGCACTTAAATAAACGCTTATTTTTTGAATGGTCATTAAGCACTTTTAGAGTGATCCGTGGAATCTGTTCCCCAACTGGGGGTTCACCACGGCCGTGCGGACGCCGAGATCTGGGAAGTGACGCTCTGTTCCCCAGCCCTGCGGAATGAGTCCTGCACCGGCGCTGGCGATCCACGGGTGCCTTGGTGCGATCCAGGGTGGAGGGAACGGCGCAGCGAAGTCGAAAAAAACTGAGGGCTTCATCTAATTGGGATCTTCTTGGGATTAATATGGATTAATATTATTAGTTAATTAATATTAATGGGATTAGTTCAATGTGAGGCCCCCCAGTTATAAGTTGGTTTAGATTCGCCCCAATAACTATAAGTACCATAAACCATAGTGACATTGGAGTTATTTGCACCAACTGAACGCTATCTTGGGGGCCTCACATTGTTTGGATTCATATGAACGGGATTAATGATAATAATTGGGACACCAATCCTCTGGTGCTCGAACTTGGCAATGGAAAAGCTCAAAACCTGGAAATTGTATCGAGATTCTGTTGGCATCGTGACCCTGCAGGGCCCTGGGCTTTGATATTGTGGTTTCTTGATCCCTTTTTCTGCTAGTTGGCAAATGTGGAAAAACTTCTAGTGAGATACAGTATCTGGATGTATCTGATGTTTATCTATCTATTCCACTTGAAATTAAACATCGCAGTGTACGGTTACTATCCAGTATAGTTCGCTGCAAAACATCCTGATTCTTGGGCCTCCGGAGTCATTGGGAGCTGGGAACATCGCCGAACATGGAGCAGCTTCAAATCTCATGGTTGATGAGTTGATCAGCAGTTTGTCATTCAATTATATATTATATATATCAAACTGGTAGGGGAATAATATTCATAGAGGATATTTATCACATATATATATTATACATGTATATCTGGTTGGTGGTTTGGAACATGTTTTTTTTGACTTTCCATATATTGGGAATAAGGTGAACAACTGACTTTCATATTTTTCAGAGAGGCTGAAACCACCAACCAGATATATATATATACATAGCTGAGAAAAAAATGGTATTTCAAATTTCGCAATGTTTGGGCAATTTGATACATTGAAATCAAGGATATGTGGTGCTATGTGGTTTTACCAAAGATCGATCTTTGGGTTAAAAGCGTTGAGGCAACCGTGGTTTTCCTAACATCGCCCCTAAATGATATAACACACGGGGACATACCCACACGCCATGTTCATGGCTCTAATCACCATGTTTATTGCAGACATCTGATGTTTCTTGCCCAAATGATTCTGTTGTTTTTTGCAGATTCCAGCATGTTTTTCAGTATTCATTGGAATTTCCATATAGATCATCATCCATCATACTGAAACCTACATAGATTGTTCTACATCCATATGGATTATGATGGATTATAGATTCCAGCATGATTTCTGGTTCTCATTAAACACATCCATCATAATCCATCCATTCTCTTGTGGACATCAGTCGCTCGCTTAGGCCTCGGTCACCTTTCCGCTGGCGGGCTTCAACATGGGCGAGGCGGTGTGGCTGGAGTCGTTGATGCTGTACATGGACCGTACTTGCTATATAGTGTGTATACTATATTATAGTATATATATATATATGATATATATATATGTATATATATATATATTACTATATTATATGTAAAATATATTATACATAATATTTAAAAAATACATATATATATATATATACATATTATGTTTAATGTATATAGCATTTATAATATATATATATATATAATATAATATTTATAATATATATATATATATAATAATTATATTATATATGTATATATATATAATATTTATCATATATATACAATATTTATAATATATATATACATACATAATATTATATATACATATATTATTTATATTATGTATAATATTGTTTTGTTATTTTTGTATTTATACTGTTTGTTATTCCGCGCTTCGATTCTTATATAATGGGCTCGTCACGAGCGGTCAGACATTACCAGACAATTTTCAGAAACCACCCAAGTACCAAGCAGATCCAAGCCGCACACGTTGCTCAAACTGAAGCACTACTTGAGCTCAGCGGGGACATGACTGGTGGTTATCTGATCCCTATCCCCTCTGCACAGGCACATCCATCTTCGATTGCCTTTTCGCAAACTGGTGCGGCCATGCCGATGTGCAGCCCTGTGCTGAGCCTTGGATTTCTTGGAGTGCTTGGATTCCTACTGACCATGTAGCTGACGTCTGCTGAAGCCTGCCAAATTAAGAAGAGCTTCTCTGACATTTTGAAGGTATTTGAAGGTTGACATTGACAATTAGCACAATTAGTTCTAAGCGTTTCCAGAGTCTTGCCGTAATGTTTCAGGTTGGTAAATGAAAGACCTCAATTGATTCATATCCATGATCCATGTGCCTGAAATCATACAATGGAGACATGTTTGAGAAGCCAGACGAGCCGGTAGATGAAGACAGTTTTATTTTGAGCTGAAGACTTTGCATGGATGGTCGCGTGTGGTGACGCACTGATACAACATGTATCAACATATATTTATAGAGCTGATAGATGCCCAAAAGTTATGCCTTGAAACAATCATAGATTGAACTGCATACTTTATACTTCCTGTACTCAGATTTGTATTTTTGTAGAAGGCCGGCATGAGACTATCTGAGAAACCACATGTCCTGCTGGAAGTTCAACGACAGTGCATCAATTTGCTGAAGTAAAGCAGAGGAACAACCCCTTACATGTTCTGCTTGTCATATTTTTTTCAGAAATAGGTGAAGGAAAACAAATCAGTAAGCCATTTTTCTTGGCTGTAAAAACATGGTTTCTGTTTGATTATTCCTTAAACCGATCCATAAAACAATGCGTTTTGTTCTTTATAGGAGTCTTGGGGCTCATGTTTTGGATGTGTGCTTGAAGCGAGAAACATCAGGGTCTATTCTTTGGTCCATTCTGCATGATCTTCATGAGGATCTTCGACTTAGATTTTTCAAGACATTCCGATATCTAGTCCAATCTTCTGCTCATTTGGTTGGTGGTTTGGAACATGAATTATATTTTCCATAATATATGGGATAATCCTTTCCATTGACACATTGACTAATATTTTTCAAGATGGTTGAAACCACCAACAAGCCATTTGTTGATTGCATCCGCAATATTCATGAGAGGATCGTCCCACATATTTACATGTCTTCATATCATTCGCCACCCTTTCGCTTCCATTGTACAGAAACCAGGGCCACGAGGCTACAGCCAAGTCTCGTGCCGCTGTTGGCTTCGTTTGGACATGTTTGGACCATTGAACACTGCCGGATTTTTTGTGATACCCTTTGGTAAACTAACATAACTATGGAAAATCACCATCTTTAATGGGAAAACTCACTGTTTCTATGACCATTTTCAAAAGCTATGTTAAATTACCAGACGGTATTCATTGCGATTCATTCCTTGTATTATGTGCCAATGCAACAGCTTCTTTCTGAGGAGTATGACACAACAGCTATCTAAAACATAATCCTATTTAAAAGTCTGGAGCATTTATAAAAGCTGGACAGAAAGTGGAACCATGTGGTTTGGGTGTGTCCGGAAAAGATCAGAAAAGGGGGTTGGCCCCAAAATAGCATAATCTTGGGACAATGATTGTTTTTGGCAGTGGATTTCAAAGGTTTTCCCAACACCCGGAGACGAGAACTGTACCTGGATCTTCTGTTTGAGCACAGAAAAACCTTCAACATGCGCCACATTTCTCAACTTGGTGCACCATAGATAACTAAGTTGGTTCGTAACCAGGTTTCCGGTCTTTATGGTAAATATATCGATACTTAGATACTTAGATAGGATTATAAACCAACTTATATCTGAAGGGCACCAATTGTTGACAGTTCTTCTGGGTAAATTCAGGGATGTCGGGACACCAGGATCTTGGAAAGTAGCCTAGGGGCCCATTGCCCATTCGGAGCTGCACCATGGAGAAGGAACTCCTCCAGTTAATGCAAGCCGTGTCACCCAGCTGACGTTGAAGACGTTCAAGCTGTGCAAATCTCGGCGAAAATCTCACGCCGGTATTTTTTTTGCGACAAACGTCGTAAAGAGTTTGTTGAAACTCCTTTAGTAACAAACAAAAACAACAACCAGTGCGATGTGGTGGCAATGGTGTTGGTTGTTACTCTTCTTGTTTGTGATGTGTTCTCTGGAAATTCATATGTAGAAGCCATCGTTGAAATACAGCTTTGCTTTGTTTGACTTTGAAGCAAATGGTGGTGCGATGCCCAAATAGATCGGACAGGGTCACACGCGCACCCGCGATGCACCGCACCATCGTTTCACAGGTTGGATAATTCGACAGCAACAAGTGCGTCTCCATTCAAAAAGTTCCTGCCACCGGGTTTTTTTTGTGGAGATTCTGTTGTTGCAAGTCAGTTCTTTCTCCAGTTTCTTCCTGTTTTTTTGTGTTTGCCGAACATGTGGATGTTTGAATAAAATTTTCAGGTAGAGCCGCTCTGGTCAGTGACTTACATATACGGATCATGTGGGCGCTTTTCCAGCGCTGGATCTTGCTGTAGGGTTTCCATGTGAAAATTTGTGAATCCCCATCCCTCTCAGATACCCTCTGCTAAACTAACATAGCTATTGAAAATGGCCATTGATAGTGGATCTACCCATAAAAAATGGTGATTTTCCTTGGTTATGTTAGTTTACCGGAGGGTATCCAAGTGCAAAATGTTCAATCTCCGACTTATCCGATGGGTATCCGATGGGTACCCGATGGGTATCCTAAGTCATTGGCCCCCAGTTCTCATCCAGTCGTCATGTTGCCGATACCCAGACTGACGTCTAGGCATAGCTGGGGATCTCCCCATAAAACCCCCCAGAAACCCATTGATCATATCGAAGTGGATCTTCAACTGGTAAACTAACTATAGATAGACCATGCTTAACAACATATTCACTTAAATGTTATTAGTGTTCATCATTGTCAAACAACTCGTATCAGTTGTTACATATTAACTGGTTGGTGGTTTGGAACATATGTTTTTGTTCCATATATATATATTGGGAATTTCATAATCCCAACTGACGAACTCATATTTTTCAGAGGGATAGGTATACCACCAAGCAGCAAATCACCATTTCTGTCGCTAGATCATCTATGATCATCTGGGATCCCATGGGGGAAGTCCTCCAAGCTATGCAGATGCTGCATCTATGCGACATTTACCAGTTGTTACCAACATGTTCCCCCGAATGACCCAAACGTAGGCACATATATTCACACATATACATACATATATATATATATTTATACATATATATATATATATATTCATATATTTTATTTATATATATATTTGATTCATATGTATATATATATATATCCATATTCATATATATATATATATGTATATATATATTAATATCTTATTGCATTATATTACATTCCGTTATATTATATTATATCATATTAAATTATTTATTCATATTATATACTATATTGTAATACATTGCATGTTATATTAGATTATTACATTACATTATATCATATTATATTCTACATACACATTACACTACATTATAATTTTATATTGTATTACGTTAACAAGTACTATATTACATTATATTAAATATACATATTATATATATAGGTGTATATATATATATATTCTATACATATATATATATATGGAAATCAACCCATATCCGCAAGGAATTCAAAAAACGTAAGCAGTAAACATGTGACTTTGCCAGTAGACAGAAGCAAAGGCAAAGACACACATCGAATATATATGAGCAACCGTAAAAACCCCGGCAATACTAAATATGTATTCGACGGACATTGGTTTATGGAAATTGATGGAAATTGTTAAAAACACGAGGTAAGCGATGGGACCTTCCCAAATTAGCGATACCCCTTTTCAAGGTTATGTCATCATATTTCTCTAATATCCACATTAGCGATACCCAAATATCACATATTATTCATAGTTCATCACATATATATATATAAATGCAGCAGTTTCCTGCAAGCGATACCCCCCAAGTTTACCATATATCATTATTGTACAAACGTGTGGTAAGCGATGGGACCTTCCCAAATTTGTGGATGTCCTTTCCGTGAACCTAGGGTTTTCACAATCGCTCATATAGATATATATATATATATGATAATAATAATGACATTTCATGAAAAGAGCGATTCCATGAGTGAAATTGAGTGTTTACAGGTGAGGTCGGGTTCAGAATTTCTGCTTTTTTTTAAAACATGTTTTGACTACAATGGTGTTACGGTGGATCCTTCTGGATCAAGCTGTAGTCTAGGTTGACATGCATGGGCCTGAAAGGCTGGATGAGATACTGCAGAATACAGATATACCCCCTGTTTTGGTAGTGTTGAGTTGCCAACTTGCAATGAACTGAGCATGTTTTAAAACTTTAGGTTTTTGTCGCACGTTCAACCATCCTCATAAGTCTTTTTGTTTGTTACATGATAGTCTTGATAGTTGAAGTATCCAGTTTCTCTGCCAAGTGGCTTTCAGCAATCACTTTGTCCACAGAGATCTCAGCAGCTGATGATGCGCACAGTGACCCATGTCGCTGCCCATCATGTTGATTGGAGAGGCGCCGCTCTGTACGGTTGGCGAATTTTCAGATGTGCAGACTCGTACGGCTAAGGTAGTGCCCTAAAATGCCCTAAACCGTTAGCTAAGTTGGTTTGATCAGAAGGTTAGACTGCCTGAAATCGAATTGTGTATAGCTCAAATTGAACGGTTTTCTATCGGAAACAATATGGTACCAAGAAAAAACAAGACTCCTAGGCCCACGGCCCGGTTGGTCATTCTTTGCCTGCAAACGACAGATTTTTCGCATGGTTGGTTGGTTCAATCCCCATCGTTGATGCCGATTTGGATGGTTCAAGCTGGTTGGTGGTTTGGAACATTTTAATAGTGATGGTTAATAGTGGTTAATAGGCTATAAACCAACAACTATGGGAATATTATGGTGATCTGATTGGTGGTTTGGAACATGACTTTTATTTTTCCAATCAGTTGGGAATTTCATCATCCCAACTGACGAACTCATATTTTTCAGAGGGGTAGGTATACCACCAACCAGCGACATATCCTGTTGTACATAACTCCAATTGTTGAAGATGTTTTTCCCCTTATATCCAAAATAGCAAAGTCATATGGTCGCTATTTGTTGGTGATTGATCCAAATATTTATCATTATTTATCCCGTATCACCATAAGATCCGATTACTGGCTATCCCCATTATATCTCCAACCTTGGATAGCTAGCTAAATTATCTTCTGTTTTTTGCTAAAATGAAAACATAACATCATAACTAGCAACATATATCAACATTTGTTTTTGTGGACTATTGGATATGATGTCCAAACAAATTGAGCAAAACATATCAAATAATATCAACATATATCGAATTATATCAACATATAATATATCAACATATATTCATATATCAACATTTATTATAAGAATCACAGATTGACCAATGACCATGACCATATCCCCGGCCTATACCCTCGTTGAGATTCCAGCGCAAGGTGGTCCTCGCAAAGGAGACATGCCATGGTCCTGATGCAGGTGCCATTGAGTCAATGAGTGAAGTGAGAGTTGCTGAAGTAAGTGGAATCCAGTCACTTATAATCAATATATAATAATAAAAATAAAAATAATGATTATTATATCATATATATATATTATTAATCCTTATGTATATAATTTTAATATGTGTACATACATTTTTATTAGTATACAGTATATATATATATACATTATATATACCCAGCCTGTAGTTGTACTAGCCAGTTTCGGGTTTCGGAAACGGGCACCCAGTTTCGTTTGAACAGGTTACCTGGAGGTCACCAAGGGCGAGAAATTGGAGGCGCTGTCGGTTCTTCGACAGGTCCCTCTGATTTCATGATAGGATATGATAGGTAAGTTTGTTTAAAGCTGTTCTTTCCCGGAAGGGTTTATGAAGGATACTTGCACATGTACATAGATATATAACGTAAACATACGTAAACTCTATATATATACATTAGTTATATATACACAATGTGAATGGCTTTATTCGCAAACCGACCTATGTATTTTTTCTGGTCGTGGGGCCTTGGGCCCACGACGTGTGGTGATGTTTCAATCCTGCTGGAATCATAGCAGGGTATTCAGGTCACCGCTAACCAACTTGAATCAACTTAGCTAGCGACAACGACAAATCACAACCTTAGGTATAACTTATATAACCCATGTCTTCGTATATTATCCATTATAATTATATATATATAACAATCCCCATTTATCCCCACATTGCTGGGTTAAATCCCTAAATTTTGGCGACACCCAGCTTCCGGCTTATTCTTGAAATTCACCATGGCTCTGACCCCCTCCCCTTGACCACTCCGGTCCCTGCTTCATCCTCTGTGATGATGTTGATGTGGATTGGTTGGAAAAAACATATGCCTGCAACCTGCACATTTGATGGTTGATCATCATCATCATCATCATCATCATCATCATCATCATCATCCTCGTCGTCGTCGTCGTCGTCGTCGTCGTTATATCATCATCATAATCATCATCATCATCATCGTCATCGTCATCGTCATCGTCATCGTCATCCTCATCATCATCATCATCATATTATTATTCTTCAAGTCTTCAAACAGCGGCTTTGCATATATCGGTATTCCACACTGATGGACAAATTTCAATCATCATGTTGATGATTATTGCTGCCAATATTTTCAGGTAATCAGACATGGTTTGCCGGAAAAGTATCTTTTAGTTGGATGCGTTTCCGATCCAAATGCCGGTTGAAAGAGGGGACTTCCCAGCTGGCCATGTTTGATTACTTGAGGGTATATCCAATGTTGATCCCGTATTATCAGGTTTATGTCCCATTGTAGATCATATGGCCCATGATAGCCTAACTTTGGTATGTATATATCTCCATGTTTGAAGATTATGATGAAAACCAGCGCTTTTATATATCCCACAATGGTTGGTTTGAGCCCCACAATCTTGTTGTGTCAATCCACTATTGGGACATCCATGGACGGTTCCGATAAGCACTCCGCAGGGTTCAGTGACACTGAACAAATCCTGGCTAACGAGCAGGTTCCAGTCTTTATGAGGGCTGAATACCGCGGTTGATGGCTTAGCACCAATGTTAGCTAGGACATATATTTGAGTGCATAATCAGATTTAATAACGATATACTGTAACATATGTATATATATATATATTTATATAACAGCATATTGCATGGCATGTATATAACCATATTACATGGCATATATATATATATACATAGCACATATGCATATATATATATATATATATGTGGTCCCGGCCGGCGGCCGGCAACCCCCCCCTCCCCCAATGGTATCCCCCCCCTGGTATCCCCCCCCTGCATACATACATACAGGCCTACCTACCTACCTACCTGCCTACCCACCTACCCACCTACCTACCTACCTACGCATGTACGTACGTCCATACATACATACATACATACATACATACATAAATAAATACATGCACACATACATACATGCATACCTACATACATACATACATACGTACATACATACATACATACAGACAGACATACATACATACATAAATACATACACACATAGATACATGCCTACCTACCAACCTACGTAGGTACATACATACTACACCCAACCCACCCCACAGGGGGGGGCGGGGAAGCATACCTACCTACCTACCTACCTACCTACCTACATACATACATACATACATACATACATCATACATACAGACAGACATACATACATACATAAATACATACACACATAGATACATGCCTACCTACCAACCTACGTAGGTACATACATACTACACCCAACCCACCCCACAGGGGGGGGCGGGGAAGCATAAATACATACATACATAACATAGCATAACATTACATAACATGACATGACATTACATTACATTACATACATACATACACACATACATACATGCCTATACCTACCAACCTACGTAGGTACATACATACTGCACCCAACCCACCCCACAGGGGGGGGGCGGGGAAGCAAAGATACCTTGCATGATAGCTGGATTCCAGGGAGATAGTACACCCAACCCTAGGAACCATCACCATCGCGGGGGGGGGAGGGGGGGTTGCAGGCCTGTACCATATATATTATATATACATACAACATACAAATACATAATACTTTATCCATTTCTTAGGTGGCATGGGCATCCAAGAAATCCTGCAATACTCCTCGTCCGCAGGTGCTCTATGTTGGCGCAGAGGGACGTGAGGAACTCACCCTAGTCCCCTGGGTCTCTGAAAATGTTACCCTCTGGTAATTTGTTACAGTTTGCTATTGAAAATGGTGATTTATAGTGGATTTACTCATTAATAGCATGGTGATTTTCCATAGTGATGTTTTAGTTTACCAGAGGGTAGAGAGTTTATGATTGATAAAACTGATACACTTGGGATAATACTGATTTTGATATGCCACATGACTTGGATGATTTTGGATGCTGTTAATGAGGAGAAGCGGGACCACTTTTTTTGGGGGGTTATGATATAAAGATTGGGATGAACATGTTATTGTTGGGATAAAGCTCCGGTGTCATCAGCTCCATGGCTGGCTGGGAAATTCTCAAACATATATATATATAATTACCCTCTGGTAAACTAACATAGCTATTGAAAATGGCCATTTATAGTGAGTTTTCCCCTCAAAAATGGTGATGTTCCATAGCTACGTGAAACTACCAGAGGGTATATATATGTATATAATATGTATATACTTATATAAGATTAATGTAGGCACGTTGTTGTTTTTTTTGCGATATAGACTATGGACACTTATGGGGAAATCATCGAACTATTGCTGGGGAAATTCCCATTTATTGTTCCAATTACCAAGCCAAGTATCATCCCATGTGTGTGAAAATACTTGTTGTTATAATATTAACTAAATTGGATACTAAATATATATATATATATACAAAGATCAATCAAAGTATTGACACAATATCTATCCTATTATATAAACGACAGTCTTACTATGTCAAGCGAAAACTTGGCCTCTCAAGGGATGGGCCGCCGTTGATTTTTTCAACCATGCTCAACGATGCTCAACCAGACTATGTGAGAAGCCCAAGCGTCATGGTAAATGTAGCAACCTCCAAAAATACTACGGTAAACCTTCATATATATAGCATATAGCTTTTATAAGTGTATATAACCATTAATATAACCTAAATATAGCCATAATATAGCCTATATAAGTGTAAACACCATTGAACACCTATATATATATATATATGGCCTATCCACAATTTTTGTTGGACGATTCGGAATCTGGGAATCCTTCGCCATGGTATTGGTGGTACTTGGTGACTTGGTATCCCGTTTGGTTGATGTTTCCCGTTAGTCCCTTCTGTTTACGAAAAACATACGTCGACATTTGGAGAGCCTCTATTTTTTTCATCGGAAAAGCATGCAGAGTTTGCAGCTAGGTTTGATGTTGGATGGCTCCAGGGTTGACATTGTAACGACCTCACTCCGACCTCACTAGACATTCATTGTTGGCGAATGATTATGTTTTTTCCAGCAGAATACCACGTGTATCCAAATATCAATTGGGTTTGATCTGCCAGAAATTACGCACGAAGGGCGAATAAAAGCAGTCCCATTTGAGGGAAGTAGTAAGTAGATAATGCAAATTAATGCAAATTAGATATGTCCCAGGTTTATCCAGGTTTTATGTTGAACACGGACCTAGCATCACTGAGGATCGAACAGAGATATCTCCATGTTTTTCTCAGTGAATTCCGCGTATGTCCATCATTTCTGCATCCTCCCCTGTTGCCATGTAAAGAAATCCCCTGTTGATTCCCAACAGCAGTGCCCCCCAATCGGTTTCAATCTCCCAGCAGAAGCCTGCAAGAATGGAACCTATACAAGTTTTACTGCTGTCGTGTTGCCCAAATCGTTCCTGAATTCAGCATGTCTATATTTTTCTAAAATCAATTCTATGGTGGAATCAATTCACCATGTTGATCCATTTTTCGCCACCTGCCAGGTGGGGGTCTCTTGATTTTAACAAAGGTGCAACTCCTTCACTCACTCACTCCCTCACTACTGTACCTTCTTCCTCGCCGGAACCGATCACCATATCGCCAGCTCCGGATGCAGTGGGCCACGCCTGGCCCCGAACACACGCCAAAGAGAATGCCAGACATAATGCTAGATAGAATGCCAGAAAAAATGTCAGAAATAATGTTAGGATGCCAGAGAAAATGTCAGAATATTTGCCAGAAACTATGTCAGAATAGATCTCAGATAGAATGAATGCCAGGTAGACTGCCAGAAGGAATGTCAGATAGAATGTCAGAAAGAGTGTCAGATAGAATGTCTGAGTCAAGGAATATATATATATATGTATATTATATATATAACATATTTAATATATACATATATATATATATACATACATATATATATATATATATGCCGTGCATGCTTCCCGATTACATGTCAGAAACTATGCCGGAATAATTTGTTAGGGTGGGGATCACTCGAAGTAAAGTAATTTGCTGTTTAAGTCATTTGTGATCCATGTTCGACGTCGAGGACGAAGCCTGGATCTATGCCAAACGCCTGGAAGTCGTGAACGGTTTGCTGGAGGCGATGGGAATGGCGATGGGAATGGCGATGGGAATGGCGATGGGAAGGCCAGGAAGGGAGTCGAAATCCAGAATGTATACCAGAAATACCATCCGGATTTTGAACCCTAGGGGCTATACCATCCAGATTCTTGATCAGTAGGCAAAGATTCTGTAATGAAGGGGGTCTAAGTCGAGGATTATGGGGATTGTGTTTTTACGCATGATGGGAACCCCTATGGGCCAACCAGTATAGGGGGATGACAGACGGCTTTGAACTCTGTTGAATTGCATGAAGGAAAACGCAAAGCCGTAGATTTGACGTGTTTTCTGGGAAAAAAAACATGTGAATGCCGTGGTTTCCTATAGATTCTCCCTTGAAAACCACCCCAGTGAGGTATGGAGAATTCTGTGGCTTTACCATGATCTCGTCCACCGTGACCAAATATTTACTTTCAGGATTGTTCATGTATATATTGGTATAGATGGGTGTGTTGGTGAATTTCAACAGTAAAGATTAGGCAAATTAAAGGGTGAACAACCACCAGCAAGCTCCATGTGAATCGTGCATAAGTCATCCACTGGTGCAGAGGCGATGCTTGGTAGAATGGCCACCCAGCGTCCGCAACTATCCATATAGGGGGGGTTCTTCACATGGGGCATCACCGAAACCATAGGTTTCAATACGAAAATGGTTATCCTTGACTTGGATGATGACTGGGGATATCCCGATTTTAGAAAATTCCCATGGGTGGATTGATTGTAGTCATAGCAACAACTTGTTCGCACCATTTTTCAGGAGGAGTCTCGTCCCACGAGATGTAATAGCATGTAATAACCAAAGATAACCTTCATATTGCTACAGATCTAATATATATATAATAATAATAATAGTAATAGTAATAACAACAATAATAGTAATAACTATTGTATATAATAAAATTATTATTTTACTATTATTATTATATGCACACGGTTATGTACGCATATACATACATATATATATGCAATACAAGGCCCAGGCTATCCAAAACTTTATAAGGATGAATAACTATCCAAAAACACAAACTCAAACACGTGTCAATAAGTTACAGTAATAGTTCAAAGATAGATACCATCGAAAACCAGAACAAGCATATTTTACTATAAACCGTAGACCATGACAAAATTATGCAATCATACCAGAATCATCCCTTCCCCCTAAACCCCTGCCCCCCCACTCATAAATAATAAGATTAATAAGGGTCATTTACACAGAACTCCCGGCTGCCAGGGCTGGATTTCCAGGGACACTGTGGAGCTGTGTCGAAAGGCGAATGACGTGGTGATCGCTGCCACGTTGGGATCCGAGAACTCAAGAACTACGGCTATCAGTGGTGGGATGTGTTCTGGGGTTTCTAACAACCATACCCTCCGGATCCCTCCAAGAATTGAACAGTTTGCTATAGAAGCCATGGCCCTTTATAGTTGATTTACCATGTTTTCCCTATCAAAAAATGTTATTTTCCATAGCTATGTCAGTTTACCAGAGGGCAATCTGCAAGAATGGAGGTAGAATGTGGGTAAAATTATCCGCAATGATGTCAAATTCACCACACTCTGGAAGAACGGGGATTTGTCATGTGGGTATAAGATCATCATCCATTTCATAGAGCAGGATTGAATCCACTAACTCTGATTTCCAGGACCCTTCATTCTTAGGGTCACTAGGGTTTTGAACAAAATCCGGCGGGATGCCCATCAAGCCCCGTTCATGGGTTTGAGCAGATATGTCATGTGTGATTGAGTCAGTGGTTGAGTGAGCTAGAGCTATGGCCCGTATGCAATGTGGTGCTGGTTTATTTGCAAGCATTTGCTGCAACAACATTAATCCATGTATCGAGGATTATAGAGGTAAAGAGAAGTTTCCTCCACATTTTTTGTTGGTTTGAAAATCATATGAAATTGTGTTGTCTGCTCCAAACGTGTCATGTTCAACGCGAAAAACCATCCGGTTTTTGGGTGTCGTTTTCTTATCCTTGATCCCCAGGAAGCTAGCCACAGAAACTTTACAAGGCAATCAAACAAGGCAATGCCAAATCATCCAGTCATAGATGATTCCCATTAAAACCTCAATTTGGCTGGGGATTTCCCAGCTAGCTATGTTTGATGACACCGGACGGTATTTAAGATCATAGTTCGTTGACACGTTGACTCGTCTGTACTTCCAAGTAAAGTAATCCCCTCATTATTTATTATTCATAAGTATGTAGATACCCCACAAGAAACCATAAATTATTATTGGAATTAGTTGTTATCTTGGGGCCTTGGAGCTGATGTTATCGGTGGTATTAATATTGAATATATTGGATATGCATATATCCATATATATCCCATTTACTGATAATTGAAACATGTTGAATGTGTATTGATACGCGTTAAGACATATATTAAAGTTCTGAAAGACTATGGAACTATCTTGATGGCCCATATGGGAAACCCAATCATAAACCTACCATGACTGGGGATGTTAAAATAAAACCACCCATTTTTGGTTATTTTGAGGATGATTTATTACTGGGTTTGCCACATTTTAACTAGAATAGGTTATCTATCTATCTTTCAATCATAATTATACACATACATATATACACATATATATATATATATCAAAATGTTGCTATCTATCAAAAAGATGTATAAATTGTAAATCATCAAACGCATCTAAAAACAATGTGTTAAACACCGTTTTTGACGTTTGGCCCCCCATCTTTTCTTCATGGAACCATCTCAACGCTGCCAAGGTCTGGTAGCACAGAACAGCTTCAGTACTCGGAGGGCGATCGGCTGAAGGTCGAGTAGAAAATGTTGCAACCTTTTCGTATATTATTGGTCTATACCCGCTGGTAAGCTAATATAGCTATGGAAAATCGCCAATTCTATTGGATAAATCAACTATAAATTGGCCATGCTCAATAGCTATCTAAGATATGTTAGATTACCAGAGGGTAACAGAAGAAACTAAACATGTGAGTGAAGCAATCATAAACCCATTTATGGTGATTATGGGGATGGTTACTATTGTGTTACCAACATTTTGACAGATGGGTATGTAACTGATAGTGAGTCCTAAGGGGATTTGATTGCAATTTAAACAACGACAAACACGCGGAGCTATGGTTGATATAGTCGATTTATATTGGCTAAGTTGGTTTATCATTAGTTTTGCGGCAAGACCCTGAGGTTTGCCCGGACTCGCAACGAGCGTCCGGGCAAGCCAAGAGAACGATGATGACGATGATGATGACGATGATGATGACGATGATCATGACGATGATGATGACGATGATGACGATGATGACGATGATGATGATGATGGTGATGGAAATGGTGATGATGATTTTGATGATGACAATGATGAAGACAATGGTGACGACGACGACGATCACGATGATAATGATGATGATGGTGATGATGATGATGATGATGACGATGATGATGATGTTGATGATGATGGTGATAATGGTGATGATGATTATGATGATGACGACGTTGATGGTGATGATGTTCATGATGATGATGATGATGATCATTATCATGATGACGATGCTTTTGATGATGATGATGATGATCATGATAAATTTGATGATGATGATGGTGATTTTGATGATGATGATGATCATTATCATTATCATGATGACGATGCTTTCGATGATGATGATAATGATTATGATTATGATCTTGATTTTGATGATGATGAGGATAATGATGATGACTATGATCTTGATTTTGATTATGATGATGATGATGGTGATGGTGATGATGATGATGATGATGACGACGACGACGATGGCGACGGCGATGACGATAATGACATGATGGCGATGATGACATGATGGTTTTGACGACGATGATGATGGTGTTTGTGATGATGATGATGATGATGATGACGATGATGATGATGACGACGATGATGATGCTGATGATTATGATGATGATGATTATGATGATGATGATGATGACGATGTTAATGACGATGTTAATGACGATGGTGATAACGACGATGATGATGTTAACATCTTATTGAAACCCTACAAGAAACCCTTTTGATTGTACGGTTTATTGTTCCATGAGGGGCGGGGGACTTCGATATCTTCTTGAGACCCTAGAAGAAACCCTAATGACTGTATGATTAATTGTTCCATGGAACCGGGGTATTTTGGTATCTTCTTGAAACCCAATAAGAAATCCTAATGATTGTATGGTTGCTTGTTCCATGGGGCCGGGGGACTTTGATATCTTCTCGACACCCTATAAGAAAGCCTAATGACATCCAATGACTGTATGCTTAATTCCATCGTATGATATGTAGAAGTGACATGTTCTGATTATAAGATGTGTAGAAGCAACATGTTCTGGTCAACCCCAGCAACATGATTCAACATAAAATCCTTCCCGTTGTTTGACGTTGTACAGAACGCCCTAGTATTTACGCTATTTGGGGTTTGGGCAAACCTCGGGATCTGTGTGTAGTTTTACTATGGTTCATTGATATTCAATTGGACCATGTCATAACTAGTTTTTTTGACCTACCCTATTATATAAAATATCTGTTGCTAGTAAAATAGGCTATAACGTCATTATAACGTTCATTTTACTCGGTGGAATGATTAGTTTTTGTTTTTTTTTTGTGTGTGTGTGTTCAATGTTTGTGATATTTTTGGTTATCCAACGTGACATGGGTATTATGTGAGAATGTTTTTTTTCTTAAAATGTATTTTTGTCATTATATATATTATATGTTATCAAATGTTACTATAGGATATGTTGATAACCATGATTGATATCCAGATTGAAACTGAACAAAAACTCATGTTTCAAGATAGAATTTATTTTTGTGACCCGGAAGGTGGTAATGAATCTCAAGCACTGATTCATGGATTCCCTAGTCTAAGGCGAGTTGAAGGCTTACATTTGTTGATTTCATGGCACACTTTTGAGCATCTTTGCGCCCAGATCTGCGAGTGCAGTTTGTCGCATGTATCGTACAGCGTGTATTGCATGATAGACCCCAAAGAAAGGATTACTAGGTGGTAACTGTGCGCATTGATGAAGGGATGACGAGGAGCCTGTGTGCATTGGTTTCTGATCAGGGGCAGCCTTGATCCGCATAGCTACCCTTTGCCATTGACCCTGTGATTTTGGACTGGATTATTTAGATGGATTTAGCATAATTTTTAGGGGTGATTGGCTCTATATATATATATATATATATCATCCATTATCATCCTACCTAAGAGTTTATCATCATCTTGTCTTTATATTCAAAACTGTATTTTTAGGGTATACGGTATACCTGGAAAAAAACCATATAGCCAACTGTTTCAGTGTCACCAGCAAAAACCATCAACTTGCGCCTCGTAGCGCCAGGTCAAACAATGGGGACGCCCAGAGAATGACCGTGAACAGAATCAGTTGGGACGCCCAGTGAGGGTCGGGGCCGAAGATCAACTCCTTTTTTTGGTCGGATGTCCCTTTTCCATTACAGCAAGTAGTTTGATTTTGATGTGACAACTTACTACCAAAAAGTACTACTTAGAAATATTTTTTGGTTGACTATATTATTTTTATGGGTAAACTGAGTCCAGGTATCTTTGAAACTGGCATGTCCTCTGGTTGTTTAATGTTTTTTGTTGTCATTGGAGGTTTTTTGTTGGAGGGAAAGAAGGGATTAACCATGCTGTATGCAATATTGACCATGGGATGGTATATAGGGTAACTACTAATATACCCTCTGATAAAGCTATTGAAAATTGCCATTTATAGTGGATTTTCCCATTGAAAATTGTGATTTTCCATAGTTATGTTAGTTTACCAGAGGGTAACTATTCAATCTTCAAACATGAAAAATAAAACCTCAATGGTCTCCAGCAAACCATGCGTTTCTGTACCTTCAGATATAAGGGTCTGCATGGGTAGACCCTGCAGTTCTTCCCGAACCAATTCTTGGAGGATGGGTGGGTGGCCCAGAATTGGCTGAAGGGAAACTCCGGGAAACTCCGGGAAACTCGTGGTTTGTGCCCCCTTGAACCAGTCCATTGAGGGTTCAATCCATGGCCCAGGATTTTCGTGGAGAACCAGAATGGTGAAGCAGGCTCGGGCTGTATCTATTTTTCAGGCAACTCAATGGTACCTGTAGAGACTAAAACATGCAGTGGTATTCGGAACTGGAAGCACAGAGTTTGCCCGCCGTTCCTGCTTGTTTAACCTTCTAATTGTAAAAATTAGACATACATAACGAGTATTAACCATTATTATATCCCATTATTATCAACATTATGGTATTGTATTATTTATATATATAGATATCCATTATAATGTGATTTTCCATGGCTATGTTAAATAACCATATGGTACATGTGAATAATGTGGTCATGGCGTAACTCGCTATGCTATTCCGATTGTCACTTTGGATTCCAGGGTTCCGTGTTCCGTTCGCAGGTTGGATCCCATTGACGGAAATCAAAAGACTGCAAAGCTCCGTGGGTGCCCCAGGACTTTCTGTTTGTTGGTTGATGTTGGTTGATAGGAAGCCCCAAAAAAGAATTAAAGAGATGCAATAAAACAGTTGTTTAAAAAAAAAAACCTGCCTTGCTGGGATGTTATACTTGTTTGCATCGTTCTTTCGAGTTTCCAAATATGGATTTATATAGATAAGAATTTATGCACTTGTATATGATAAGGCGTAAGTAGCCTAGTTACAAACCATGAGTTGCAACTTAGGGTACCATGTCGGCCATCATCCAGTACCTTGATGGACCATTGTTGGCGAATCTGAGTAAGGTTTTAGGGTTTGCTCTTTAGCAGATCAACAGACCATCAAGATTTGCCAGATTTGCCCCTAGAATGATGCAGAAAAGATTGGTAACATCCAATCCCAAATTAGCTGGGTAAACTTCACCTCTTTCTATCTATCCAATCTTAAAATGCGTATATATAGTTTGGATGTCAAGGTTACAACATCGTCCACATATTTGAGATAACCTCCAAGTGTTGCGTGTTCCACTCCAAATGTTTTACATCCAAGTAGTTGTTTGTTATATCTCCATGTATAATCATATAATCATGTATATATATATATATACAGATATATGGATATATATATATATATGTAGATAAATATAACATATAACATATATTATAGAACATATATTATATAACATATAGAACATGTTCAACTCCGAATCCATTGATGATTGGAAGGTCGAGGAGACGCAGAGGCGCGACTCGGAGGCTTTTTGTGTCCAATCGATCTCTGGGTTTCCGTGGGGCACCCAAAATTGATGTTTTTTTTTACCGGTATATCCTACTAAAATGGATGATTTGGATTGATCTGCGGGCACTTCCATTTTAGGACACCCGCATCTCTGTGCACAACCAGACCTGTTATGAGTAAAACATGGTTTAAAACTGTTGCCACAAGTCCCAACCAAAGTTCTGGAAGTCATAGCTAGTTCATGGCAAAAATATCTCAGGACTACCAAACATAGGGATTTTTACCAGGATTAACTGAGACAGACCTCACATTCAGTGGTAGCCTGTTAGCCTTCAATTGGATTTAACGACCATTTGTGGCGCTGTTGCTCCTGGCTCCTGATTGAACATTCATCCTTTGAACATGAGAACAATGGGACTGGTAGTGGTTCATGGAACTTGTCACTCTTGCTGTAAGACGTTTTAAGACGTTTTGATCTCATGTTCAGATTGTCAATGTGTGTCCATCTAGGTGTCAAATTCAAATTGCTAGCTCCTTGACCCATAGATGTCAACCATATTCAACCATATTCAATCATCCGTCTTCAGGATAACTATGTGAAACTAGCACATATCCGATGTCCATTAGAGACATTCCAGTCATTTTAGGCTTTGGCTTCGCAGTGTTTTCCGGGTACATCACCGATACTGTATGTCCAGGCTGTCCCATGAGGCTCCGCAGCCATGAAGTCTCAGGACCAATCCTCAATGGATCGTATCCGGAGGTACCATTGATTTGGATGTCAGAGGTATCGAAAAAAGATCTTCATATCCTCAAATCCATTCAAATCCGTTCAAATCCGTTCAAATCCGTTCAAATCGCCCACTACCTCTGGACATCGTTAAAAAAGAATTCGGTCTTTTCCAATTCAAACCCTAGGCTGAAGCAGATGTTACTGGTCCAGCATTTACATCGCCTCGGATTCCAATCTGCTGCCAACGATGATGTCCATTCCAGAACTTGGCATTCGTTTTTTTGACCCTTCTAAGATGACCCACAAAAAACAACTATCACCATTCCAAAAAGCTGCACAGCGAGCACCCAGAGAGCACCGGCGCCCCCGACGCTGTGGCGTAAGTTCACAGTCCTTTGGGGATCCCGGGGCCATGGGCAGTGCGGTCCGGGACCTAGACTGCTTTGGCTCTGAGGATTGAGCAGTGCTGCAAGGTGCTGCCACATGTGTATATATATATATACACACACACACACGCAATTTACATACATACAATATATACACATATAATCATATTATATATATATGTATTCACATGTCTATATATATAATTATATATATTTACATATATATATATATATCTACACATATATATATATACAGCGCAGTTTGGGATCTTGGAATTTTCATGAAACCAGTTTAGTATATACAGCAACATTTTATAAGCAATGGTGTTTTATAAGCGAGTTGAGTTGGCCAAATGATGCCAAGTGTAGTTTTATATGACAGGTTCATACCATGTGAGGCCCCCCAGTTATAAGTTGGTTTATAAGCCCCAGTAACTATAGTTATTATAAGTACCATAAACCATAGTTATTGGAGTTATAAACCAACTTAGCTATCTTGGGGGCCTCACATTGTACCATGAGGTAGTCAAACATGGGCTGCAAGAGAGTTCGATGATTTTCCCAGCGAATTGTCCCAGCAGCCATGGAGCCATGGATCTCAGGCAGCCATTGCAGCCATCTGAATGGAGAACCACAAGATCCTTCAGGCGCAGCCGGCGCAGCAGTAGATCTCAGTGATCTTAGACGTGTTTTCTTTGGGAACTCTTTGAATAGATGTAACTAGAAGGCCAAGGCAGAGTGCTTCATGACGTTTTGTCCCGCACCAACTGTGCTGAGGAACACCCCTTGCGGCACTTGGGCCGATGTCTGACGCAAAATACGGAGTTTTTACAGGTCGTCCAGGCCGGAAGCTTGGGAAGATTTGAAGAGTTTCTTTTACCCCGCTCAAGAAGAAGCAAGCATGTTTCAAGGATTTTCAAGGATATATTCTCAAGATTTGCCATGATGTAGGGATGATCTTCTATGAAGGTAGACAAATTGAACCAGTGGAAAAATAAAAGCCTGTCATTACTTTTTTTGTATATACTGACGCTGCGTAAGGTAATTGCAAAAGAAGTTGAAGATTTCTCAGCAACTCTGAGTCCAAATCATCCATCCGTGCCATTTGCTGAAAAAACAAAAACGTATGTTTTTGTATGTTTTTGTTGTTTCGATCCGTGCACTGCTGCTTCAACAATATTAATGTTTTCGATGTGAATCAAATGTCGCCCAAAATACGAGCTGTGAAACTGATTTGTGTGTGAACATATGTATATCTAATTATAATTATATATACTTACTTACACATGTCTACATATAGAGCGAGATACCTAGAAACACATGTGTTACCCGGTAGCCATTCATCCATGTCGTCATTTGCATCTCATATGTTCTGTTCGCAGGATCTTTATCTTTGTTCTATCCCATTGCTGATGCCCCCATGGTGAACCCCCGGGAACTGATTGATGAAATTTAACCGTGCTGTAGGCTGTAGGTTTATAACTCCAATAACTGTGGTTTTTGATACGCAAATAACTATAGTTAATGGGATTTATAAACCAACTTATAACTGGGGGGCCCCACATTGTAGGGTATTGTTTTGCTTCAGTTCTAAGGTTAGCCCTTGATTCCGGCAATGAACATCTCTCCTAAGCCAACAGTATCGGTCTGCAGTTTTTTTGGCTGCAATGGCTAACGCTGACGCGGAGTTGCTTGCCGTGCGGCAGACGACTGTTTCCCTCGTACAGGACCTGCGGCCGAGGTCATCTTCATTGCAACAGATGATCGATCAAGCTTTGATTTGCAGCGAAGAGAGGTCGATATGCTCTTTATGCAGAATACTGTGAACGTGGTAATGCAGCAAGCAGGTACTGATGCCCCAGCGGCAGCGCCCTCGTTGAGAGATGATTGACATTGATTTACTTGAATTATATAGAAATAGTTGAAATAGTCATTGTCCATTTCCATGGCTGGTTGGTGGTTTGGAACATCTTTTATTTTCCATTTCATATATGGGTTGTCATCCTTCCCATTGACGAACTCATGTTTTTTCAAGATGGTTAAAACCACCAACCAGATGGCTACATGGCCACACGGGTGGCCAGGGAGCAACCTGTGTCCACAAATTGAAGGAGCTCGCTGAGCGATGGTGAAACACCCAACTTCTCCAGACTTCATACCAAGGTCAGAACACCAAAACTAGGAGAGTATGTATATATATATAATATAATATATATATATAGTGATATATATATATACATATTCATAAGCATCCTGAAGAATATAGTTTTTTATTACAGATATGTCCATTTTAGCAAGGCTTTTGTCGAAATTGCCATATTGTATCTACTCGAGGATGCCTGTAAATATACATATTATAATGTATATATAATTTTCCACTCCACGATGCTTTGAAATATGTGTATATATATATTATATAATATCCCACACCCCCGAGGGCGCAATGTCAGATTTCTGCTTCCCTTCACCAAAATGCAGGTGGCGCAAGCGCGAAAGAAGGCGGCCCTGCGGCGGAGTCCTTTTGTCAATAAAGTAACCGCTCCGAAAACCCACGAGTTCAACATAAAAGGTTTTATGTATATGTACGTATATGTATGTATATATATATCATATTATATATATATATCATATATATATATATCATATATATATATCATATATATATATATATCATATATATATATATATATCATATATATATATATATATCATAATATATATATATATGATATATATAGATATATGATATATATGTATATGGGTATAGGTCAAATTGGCTACCCAAATAATTGGATTGTTAATACTCAACTAGACTAATAACATTTGTAGTCTCTTAGGTCTTAGGTCTTCAATTTTGACCCACATCCGTATATATCTATCTACATACTGTACAAAAAAAAACAACATATATCTATATACATACATATCTTCCCTATTGAAATGGCTATTGGATTGGTATACCGCCATTGACCAACCCAATGGGTTTTGGTGAACAAAAAAACAAGGAAAAGGTCATGGGCATGTGGCCCGGGCTTGACCAGCATCTTTCGGCATGTTTATTCCTGTTTTTATTTTGGCGATGTCTTGTGCAGCCAGTCACGTAGGTTGGATATGAAGTGTAGGTAGCCCCTTTTATCCAGCCGATGTAAGATTTGTCCAGACTTTCTGCGCGTACATTTCTTCTCCATACTTCTGATTTGGATTGGATTGAGTGACTCTTTTCCCTTTTGTTGGGCCAGATTCGGCCAGATTCATAGTTTTCTGACCCGCACAGATTGACTGGCGCAGTCTCGCCAGCGACGTCTCAGCTTCAAAGAAAGCAAGTCCTTGACTGTTGTTTCTTCAATCCCATAGATTGTACTGAAATCACACCAAACACAGTCCGGTATTTTAATATGATCCACATCTTGGTGAGTTGTTCCTTGATATTCCCCGGGATGACCTAGGAGTAGCCTTATCGATCTCAAAATCGGTTTGTGGCATCCCCAAACCTTGTTGGGGATGCTCAAAACCTCGGCAGTGAAAATGGATCTCCAACGGCTCCCAGGGTCACCCTGTTCCTTGGAGGTTAAAAATGCAGCATGGCTGTTGCATTTTTTTAAGGATTGTACTAAAAACACAACCCATAATATAAGTCCATAATCATTTATTTTGAAGTGGAGGAACGGGAAGATTGCCTGGTAGTTTCCTCAAAACATTCATTTACCATTTACATGAATTACATCCCTGCTTATTATCCCCCTATAATCTATACAAGTTCATTATAGCCACTTATTTGCAATGTTGCTCCAAGCCGCTAAATGATAGCCACATAGTGGTAAAATATTGGTCCTTTTCAGCATAGTTCCTTTGAAGTGGAGCCACGTACAGTTTAACTTAACCCTTGTAAATCCATTATACGAACCACATGTGCGAGTTATATCCACTATAAATCCACTAAAATTGACTATTATCCATTGCAATCACAGATTTTTTGTTCGTTTGAAGTCGTTTTCATGTGAGAACTGTTGCAGGCAGATCCTGTGCAAAGCAGCGAGACCGAATGGGATTTAGCCACTGTGATGCAGTTGGAATGGAGTAGACGGGCCGGTGCCTACTTTGTCCAACCAAAGGTTGATGGCTAGAATTGGCTCCAACCAGTGGTTAGGAGGGAGCAAGTCCGACCTTTTTTTAGGAGCGGTAGCCATCTTCTGAATCAGATTCAATGGGGAGCCAAGGAGCTACTAAGAGTTTCCCAGCCACATGATAGATAAATGAGCTGGTAGTTATTTGATGCTATTCTTGTTCAATGGCTTTGAATTGTGTTAGCATAGGGTTATGGTTGGAACGCTGGAAAAAGGGTACCTGGGTACCTAATGATTTACACATGGAGATCGGAACACGATGGGGAGACAAGCAAGTCCTGAATTATGCCGGGCCGGATGGGCTTGATGCGTTCGGCAAATGTGTGGTATACAGTATACATCCTATCGGAGTTTCAGTATTGGGTTTACGACACGACATGAAATACCCTCTGGTAATTTAACATAGCTATGGACAATCACCATTTTGAATAGGAAAATCCACTATAAATGGCCATTTTCAATAGCTATGTTAGTTTAGCAGAGGGTAATACAAACAAAAAAACGTCCAGAATGTCTGCAGAGCAAAAAGATGTCGGTTGGTTTCTGAAGCTATAGCGAAGACCTTGGATGCCATGCGATGCCTCTCAAGTCATCAGGGTACACACAAAACAAGTTCTTTGTTTTCAACTATAAATAACATCAATCATACCATTTTGTCCGTGTACTTATTTAATATATATGGGTTTGTCTGAAAATAGTGTACCCCTACACCCAATGGTTAATGATCATTATCCCTACTAAATGGCTATAATTGGGGGTATACCCCATTTTCAGACATACCCATATACATACATATATACACAATATGTGTAGCCATTCCCATGTTCAAAAGGAGTCCATAACCTTGGTTTGTTGTGCCTTCAACCTGTCTGACTGGAGACTTCCCAGATACTTCGGGGTGCAGTGAGAAGGTTACAAATGGGTATAACATGGTATAACCATGGTTAAAAAAGCCCTAAAGTTGGGAATATAAGCCATTATCAACCCCTACAAGTTGGGATAAAACCTATAACTATGATTATATATCCACTTATAACTGGAACTGTACTTTCGAGGATGAAACCCACTTGCTGAAATTGCCAGTCATGTGGTTGCTCATTCACAGCGCTACGCTAGTGGCAAACCATGGCAAACCAATCACCATGGCTACGCAGTTGGCACGGTCTCTCTGGGTGCTTCAATCCAGCCCAAGGGCTGACCAGTACCGCCGGGGGAGATGACAAGCTCAATGGTAGTGTTTACTGGGGGAACATTTCTGAACCCCTTGGGGTGATGTTCATTTTTTCGACCGGAGTCTCATAGAGTTCCATAAAGATTTACCGGATTTATTGTACTATCATTAAGTTATTATATATATATATCAGTATATACATATATATATATATATCAGTTCGAACTATAGTTACTTATATGATTTAAGGGAATCTAACGAATTTATTGTGCACGGCTTCAGCATTCCCGATAGAAAATCCCATTGCTAAAGCCGCAATTTTTAGTGACCCCTGTTGAGATTGGAGCGTTGTGGTTCCTGCAATATACTTGTATGTCCATATATATATATACACAATGTGAGGCCCCCAAGATAGCGTTCAGTTGGTTTATAACTCCAATAACTATGGTTTATGGTACGCAAATAACTATAGTTACTGGGGCGAATCTAAACCAACTTATAACTGGGGGGCCTCACATTGTATATATATACACATTTCTAAGCATCTTGGATACACATTTTGTATATAGTAATTTACCCATATATATATATATAAATGTATATACACACGTAGCCATCCAACTCAACATTTTCATCGCCATGTTTATCCTCCGAGGACTTGTCCAGCCTGGACTTGTTCAGTTGGCTGTCCGAGGCGCGACAATGTTGCTGAAATTTCCAGTTTTTCTAGGGAAAATGGTATGAAAAATGGGCCATTTTTTAGTTGAATGACCAAAGTCAATTGGTGATGTTAGCTATCTTGAATATTCCATTAATGGAGTTGTTATTGTAGATAGTAGCTGTAATTGAAGTTAGAGTTATCAATCACTCGCAGTATTAGTTGTCTCCCCAGAAGTGGCTAGCCTCTTGTGATGACTGACACTTTTCTGTGGAAAATCACCAGTGAAAGAAAACTATATTCTAGGTTGTCATGGAACTAAGTGGGGCATTTTTTACCAAAAGCTGTGTCATTTGTGTCAATTTACCAGAGGCTCATCCTTGGTGGGACAACAAAATATCCAAGTGTCCAGATTTGTTGGGTCAATGAATATGGGGGCAGAAGCCAAGAATACCCATATTCATAAACGGTTTACCAACAGCACGGTTCGTCCCACAAAGGTTTCAATAAACATCACACATATATAATATATATATATATATCTTGTTGGTGGTTTCAAATATTCTTGTTAAATTTTCCATGATATATGGGATAATCCTTCCCATTGACTAATATTTTCCAAGATGGTTAAAAACCACCAACCAGATATACATATTACACATATTACATATTATATTTATGTGGTTCATGGTCATACCACCACTATTGGTAATTCCGTGCCATGAGTATGTTTCTGTTCGCCCCTATGAATGGATTAATGACCATTCCCCTCAGAGGGATCACTTTAAACACCAGGATAGTGGGGATTACCACAATTCAGCAACAAATCGGCAAGTTTATGCAAACATCAAGGTATGTGTATTTGTGATTATTGATATATATATATATATATGTGCAATATATACATATATCATAATACATATAATAATAAATATATATATATATTAATATATATATATATATTAATATAATATATATATATGTAATAATATGTATACATAATAATATAAATAATATATATATATATATAATGATATGTATGTATATATTTTTATACTTATATATATAATAATATACATAATAATGTATATAACACTATATATATACATTATCAATATATAATATGAATTACAGTAAATAATAATAATAATATATATAATATGATATATGCAATAATTTAATATAATAATATAATAATAATACTATACTAATAAACATATATATATATATATTATAATATGTATATATATATAATAGTAATATAGATATGTGTATATGTTTACAGTTTTTGGTTTATATACATATAACCAATTTGTTTCACCAAATAGTGCATGTAGATAGATTGTTCTTTAATCCGCAAATTGAGGTCTAGTCTCTAGACGAAGACACGTGATCTGAACTATGAAACGCTCTTGTGCAACAGAACATGACGCCTCTTAGCTGGTCGACCATCTCTGGCTTTGGGCCTAAGTAAACCCAAATGAAATGAGCGTCTTTAGTAATCATCATTGCCATGTTTAAATCTTTGTTGAAACCAAATTGCGCTTGACCTAGCTTTTGTCGTTCTTTTTGTAGTAAACCCTCCAATTCTCATAGCTAATCTTGCAGAAATTCCATTTGGCAAACATTGGTGTGTCTACAACACTGATCTTAACAAGTAAGTCTCATCGAAAAACACATAGAAACTGATAGAAGCTGTAATTTTCCTCTAGTTTTTTTTTTCACTTCAGAAACTTAAATGTACAACTTCCCATGGTTCTCCCATGGTTCTCCCATGCCAGGCCCAAGCCGAGCCAGAGCCTGCTGCGGCGGCTTCGTCGACGTCGCAATCGCCCTTGGCTACGCAATCGCAGGATGGTGGATGGTGAAGGTTTGTCTTGATATGGCATATTAAGATCATGATTGGCATAGTATTTTTGTTTTTTACTGTTGTTATTTTGATTATAGTACTACGTACGTTTATATTCCTTATAATAAAAAGGATTGGCATAGTATGTTAAAAAAAAAAATGATTATTATATACGATATTCCTTATCATAAACAAAAAAAAACAGTGATCACATACCTATTAGTGTTGTTGTTGTTGTTGTTGTAGCTGTTGTCGTTCTTGTGGTTGTTAGGGCTATACGCCTATGACGTCACAATGGATTTAGAGTGGCCAAGAACATCCATCCAATCAACTTAATAGACCGTTGGCGATTTGGTTAAAACCACGCAGAGGGAGGCCCCGCAGCCCACAAAAGTTGCTTTATAGCACCACCCAACTATATATATATATATATATACTGGTATACATATATATATGATATATGCATACATATCCAGTATAAACCACACTTGATCTACTTATATATATATTGGTGTATACATACATATAATGTATATGTATACATATCCAGTATAAACCACACTTGATCTACTTTATAGAGGTCCTTCCTGTACAACCCTTATGAACAGGGATATCTTGCTGGAAGCACCTCTTGGGCAATGTCATGAATTACTTCTTAGCCAAAAAAAGCCACGGTACGTTTGTCTTAAAATCGGGGAATCCCAAGGGGATGTTGGCTTTTCACATGTTCAAAAACCATTTGTCCCATCACTTTCCCATAGCTTTCCCGTTTCGCAAAGCAGTGGGGAACCGTTTTTTTGTCCCATTCCGCTTCGCCAGGAGGCGATTGAGCATTTCAGGCTTTTCCGAGGGCTTTGGAGGCGCCAGTCTCAGGGACGGCCTCACGAGTATACTAAAGGCTATATGCACCTTTTACATATATATATATATATATGTATATATGTATGTATATGTATATGTATATGTATATGTATATCTGGAAGAATGATAATCTATATTCTGTTGGTTATATTCCGATTATATTCCCAATATATTTCCATTATATTCTCATTATATTCCCTTTCATTGTTAAATCTCATTATATTCCCCTACATATTCCCCATGTGTATATATATATATGTATATGATAACAAGTGACAAAACATATATATATATATATATGGGTAAATTATAACGACCTCACTGCGACCTCACTGGAATCATGGTTAATAAGGGAACTTATCCCAAACTTGCCTTATTTCAGACTAGTGAATTATTTCAATTTGCCCATATATGTATATATATAGACATACATATTATGTCTATATATATATATAGACATATATATATATAGACATATATATAGATAGACATATATAAATATATATATTCATATATATATATATTTATATATATACATATATATATATACATACATACATACATACATACATACATACATATATTTTTACATATTATATGTACATCTACCGAAAACACGTCTGAGTTTTAGCCGCCCCGGAGGCTTTTGGAACTTCACGACCTGCCGAGGGCCATGGAAGCCTTGTTGCAGGTGGTACAATATGCTGGGCAACAGAGGCGCGTGGCTCGTTGGGAAGTCCTTGGACAGCATCTGTTGAAAATGGTGATTTTCCATAGTTATGTAAACGTTTACCAGAGGGTAAAGCAACAAACATCACTGGAAGATCATCTCCAAATTGAAAATGATGGAACAGATTGGTATTCCGTTTCTGCCATATTCTCATATGAACTCTATGGTATATTTACCAACATCAATTTCTCACAACCCAGTTCATAGCACTTCGTAGCGTACAAACAAGGCCCAGTTCGATGATCCCACTGGCCATATCTGTCCACTGGCGCCAAGTTGGACGTAGGATCCACTGGAAATCAGGGGGATCACGTCATCACGTCGTCTCGTACAGGTTGTTCCATTTTTGGGTGACCAAAACTGGAACTAGGATCCTACACTCCGTTGATATTAATCTAATCAACCACGGTCTTGGAACCAGCGAACCAACTGTTGATGTTGAATTGGTATCTACTTTATTACTGTATTCATTTTTCACCCAAAGACTTATTTTCATTGGATCAACGGATTGATTTACGAACTTAGATGTGGGAGGTAAACCCTGCAAATCCAGGAGACAATACCTCGTTTACCATTTTATTCCAGAAAGATGAGGCGAATGCGTTCTTGAGACATGTTCCTGAATGGTGTTTTGCTTAAATGTAGATCTGAAATGGCCAACAATAGGTTTTACGAATACCATATATGTTCTCACAATTAGATATGAATTAGCTTCTGAAGTTGTGTCATGTGCTTTATATAGTGGCCGAAGTGTTCTTCTATAAGATTCCCAAATCCAGATATAGAATGTCCAGCAGTTATAATTACAGTCAGTTCAGGTCAATTATAGCAGTAAATCAACCTGCTGAAACCGCTGGCAACATTGGACGTTGTACTGTTGGTGCGGCCGCATAGTTGGCTAAGTTGGTTCATAAGTCTCATGATTTGATTTGTCGTGGACATGTTTGGACATATCAAGATTTATTTTTATGGTTTAATGATGTGTGATTGGATTATTTACGCCAACAAACATCACCGGGAGGACTCAAATCATCTCAAATCCCATTAAATCCTATTAGATACCATTAAATCCTATTAGATACCATTAAATCCCATAAGAGCCCATTAAAATCCCATAAAATCCCATTAAAATCCCATTAAAATCCCACTAAAATCCCATTAAATTCCCATTAAAATCCCATAAAATCCCATTAAAATCCCATTAAAATCCCATAAAATCCCATAAAATCCCATAAAATCCCATAAAATCCCATTAAAATCCCATAAAATCCCATTAAAATCCCATTAAAATCCCATTAAAATCCCATTAAAATCCCATTAAAATCCCACGAAATCCTGGTATTTTTCTCCACAGCCTGCCTGCAGGTACTCCTTGGCGCTGCTCCAGCGGGAAGTGGAGTCGCTCTTGCTCGAGGCGGAGCGAGAACTTCGCGAAAAAAGTTCTCCCCCGGGAAGGAAAACCATGGGAAACGGGAAACCTACAGTAGCAACTGGCTGGTCAATAACTATGGAAAACTAACATAACTATGGAAAGATCCACCATTTTTTCGTGGGAAAACTCACTATTTCAATGGCCATTTTGAAAAATAGACATAATAGCAACTGGTTGGTGGTTTGGAACCATGGAATTTTAAATGACGAACTCCATATCTTGGGAATTTCATCATCACTGACAAACTCCCATCATTTTTCAGAGGGGTAGGTTGAAACCACCAACCAGTAATAGATGAGGTAACCAACCATAATATGGGAATACACAGGAATTCATAGAAATGAATAGGAATAATTCCGACAAAAATAGATGGGATAACCAATAAAGATAGAAACATGATGTGATAATACATGGGAATTAATTATATATATATATATATGGGAAATGATGTTTTACCCTGCTCTAAACATACAAAAAAAAATGTGGAGAAGCCACGACTTGTAGATCATGTTGAGGGGAAACCTGTGGGTTTGCCACAGGCACCGCTGAAAAAAAAGGGTGGAGCGCAGCAGATTTCGAAGCGGGAACAACAACGGGTAAATCGACAGCTGTAGAGTACACTATCTACTGGTATACATCAGATGTAACATATACTGTTGGACATACACTTTTACGGATAGTTGTTTCAATTCAAACTTCATTAGGAATAGTTCCCAGGTCCCATATGCTGCATGCATGAAATATTGACCAACATTTGAGACATTTTGAAGGTAAATCTTGATAAATGTTCCAGCCACATGGATCATATGGGGTTTATACCCAATGATTTGTAGTATCAGCCACGGTGTGTTTCTGATGATTATGCACTTTTCCATGGCTCTGGAGTATCACCTGCGCTCCAAGATCAAAAAGGGTAAGCTGCGATCCTTTTCTCAGACTTTGAAGGGAACATTTACAGGAACCCGCCCCAGATATGGCAAGAATGGAAGAATATGGTATCCTCTGGTAATTTATAACGTAGCTATGGAAAATGACCATAGAAATTGAAATAGTGGATTTACCCATCAAAAAATGGTGATTTTCCATAGCTATGTAAACGTTTACCAGAGGGTATCCTGAGGATTTTCCCCTAAACCAAGCCAAGTATAGTTGGCTTTCATGAACGTTGATTCATGGGTCAATCATGAATGAACAGCAGAACCATATCCTGCGTTTTCCCAATTTTTCCCGAGATGTAGCCAGAGTTTATTTTCCGGTACAAACAGCGGCATACACCCCAGGCCCCCCCAAAGGTTTTTGTTCAATCGCAAAGTAGTTTGTTTTGTGCAAAAACCAGACATTTCAATATCCCACAAAGGAAAAAAACAATTGCTGCTTGATACACCTGATTCGAATATAGAACGCAGAAAAAAAATCTGAAGGTATAATATTGGTATCAGATATGTTTACAATGTGGGGCCCCCTAGATAGCTAAGTTGGTTTATAACTCCAATAACTATGGTTTATTGTACTTATAACTATAGTTAATGGGGCTTATAAACCAACTTATTACTGCGGGGAACAACATTGTACATATCCAACATAAAAAACAAAAAAAAATGACTGATCCACTTCGCTTCAATATCCGACTCCAAACAGAAGGATGATTTCTTCACAGCCCAGGCGGAGTCACGAAGTTATGCGGCGCCATGGGTTGTTTGCTTGGAGGTGGTTAACTCAGGTGGTCCAGTTGGTTGGCCAAGTGCTCAGGTGGTCCAAGGTGCCACTTTGAGTGCAATTGATGTATATATATATATATCATTATGTATTATATATATATATATCATTATGTATTATATATATATATATATTAATTAGTATAATAGAGAATATAGGTGCACAAAGATGTATTTGCATAAGGCATAATATTCATGATGTTGCATGTTTTGGTGGCTGTTTAATCAAGTTGAATCGCATAAGAACTGGTGAGCATCCACTGTCGATGGGTCTGTCGGTTGAAAACGGGTTGATCATAGCTGGAGGTCCAGAAAATTCTACAGATCCATGGATCGGTTTCAGGGTAAAGTTCCAGGGAACCCTATTTTTGTCCATGAAAAATATATATATATAGACTATAGACTATAAAAAGTTTCCTGATCTTGTTTCCATCAACCATTTCTAGGAACCAACATGATTGGCACCCCACATTTTCAGATTTTTTCATCAATTTTCCAGAACCAGAGTTTTTCATGGGAGTGGTGTGCCAAACCTGGGGGAATGGGACTTCCATCATTAAGCTAGGCCTCGATGGATATGACGAACACTCGTTTGGGATTGAAACCGCTAACCAGCTGGTCTCTCACAAGTGCTGAACACCTAATTTCTGTTTGCCCAGCAGAGTTTTGCATACCAGGTTACATCCATTGTACATGTACATATATATAATGTATCATATATATATATATATATACATGTCATGTCTTTCTTAATCTTGCAATGATCATGGTTCACCCCCCGGCGCTCTCCAGCATCGTTTAAGACAACGGGTCGACGTGAGTCCCGTTCCTGTCTCAGGCCGAGAAAGCCTCGGATGTGACTGAGAGACACCTGGTGACCGATCGACACCTGGTGACCGTTGCGGTGATGGACCATAACTTCCGAAAAAAACATGGAATACTTAAATAAATCTATGTCTGAATACGACCTCTGCTAATTTGGATTGGTGTATGAAGAATGATATATATATATATATTATATTTATAATATATATATATATATACTATATAAAAATTAATTTAATACATATATATATATACAATACACAACAACATTTTCGAAAAAATAATGTTACTTACAACTGGGGTCCATCTTTGGGCTCTGCGTTGCCAATCTCAGGACAGGGGGTGAGTAGTGCCTGCAGCACTACAAGCACTGCAGGAGCGGCGGAGCGGGACCCGCAAGAGCCATTGGATTTGATTGTTGACCCTCCGCTAAACAAACATGAAGCTATCCAAAATTACAGGTTTCAATAGGTACATGATCTATTTTACATTGGCCATCTATACTATGGCAAATTGTTAGTTTTCCGGAGGGTAAGTTCCTTTTTCCAGTGACTGGAGTAGCCATAGCAATTCATGGTGATCCACGTCTTCGCCGCAGATATGCTCTGTCCTGGCAATAGAAGATCTCCAAGTTGTTCAGAAGAATATAGGGATATCATGACATCATGTCTCACTTGGACAAAATGACATTGTCATTAATTAGATATCATTTGATTATTAGAGCTCTCTCTCTCTCTACATTGAAATATATATATATATATTATTGTTATATATATATAATTATATATATGTGATATTTATTGGACATGATCATCATGTTCAAGTGCCACAAATCTAGGATTTTCCGTGGATCATCGAACTCGACGCTCTGCGCGCATCAGGACCCGGTAGTGCGGACGGCGCCGAAGCCGGCCATTTTTTCTCACAGGCGGGGAGCCAGGCCAGGGCCATGGTGACTACTAGCTGTTTCTTCCAAACAAACCTGGTTGGTGGTTTCGAACATTTTTTATTTTTCCATATATTGGGAATCACCATCCCAACTGACGAACTCATATTTTTCACAGGGGTAGGGCTCAACCACCAACCAGAAACCATGAAGAACAAAAAAAACAGGTTGGATTTCCTTTTGAAAATGAAGAATTTCAGGTTAGTTGGAGTTTTCCCATCTTTGCACCCATGTTTGGTGCAAAACGCAGTACACGTACTACTTCTGGATTTGCTGGAAGCGATTTTGTTCCTCCAATCTGGTTCATCTAGCATTCGGGAAATTTGGGCAACCAGGTTTTTGCCTTTGTTTTTCAGAGCTTTTTCAAAACATCGGTTTGGTTTATTTTTTGGGGGGCGCCGGGGAAGCAAAATCCCCCCAGCTCGGGGGACACCAGCTTTCTTCATTTCACCGGTGAATCCTTCTCCGGCTCCAGGAGACTGCCGGCGGTTCTTGCAGTGACTCCGATCTCAGTGCCCCCTTCGCACCGTTTCGCACCGTGGGGGTTCTTCGTCGTTTAACGTTTCACGGTCAGCTGAGAGAGAATCCAACACTTAAAATGGCATCGTTAGAGTTTAGATGGTCGAAGAGTATTCTTTTGGGATTTGACTTACTTGTTGGATCTAGCTGGTTGGTGGTTTGGAAATGTTTGGAACATGAATCTTATGACTTTCCATTCAGTTGGCAATGTCATCATCCCAACTGACGAACTCCATCATTTTTCAGAGGGCTAGGTTGAAACCACCAAGCAGATTATTATGAACCATCATTAACCATATATAATAACCATTAATATTAACAGTAAATTAACCAACCAGCTATTTGAATGACGTACGTGTCTCGGTAAGTGAAGAAATCCCTGTTTTTTTTTTGCCGTTGCGACACTTGGGATCTCTTGGGTCTCCCAGCCACCAACTTCAGAGGGAAACAACCCCAATCGGAAAAAAAAAATGGTGAATGGCTATACTGGGTAATGAATTAAGTATTTTTTTTCCAACTTGGAGATCAAAAAATGCATGTTCCATCAATATATAAACCATCATTTGATGGATTCATGAAATCAAAGTTCATGAAAACGATCAATGTCCATCAATTTGCCAGTTGTTGGTCTATTTGCCCAAGTTTTTCTTGCCATTTTTTCCACCAGACGAAAAAGAGCCCGTTCCAGGTCTCGGTCTCGACGGAGAGTGCCTCTCAGCCGAGGATGAAGCGCTAGATCCACAGGACAGCGAGGTGTGAGGCATCCCAAGATATCACTAAAGATGGAGGTGATATATGGGGATTTCCTAAAATGGGGTTACCCAATAGCTGGATGGTTTTTCATGGACAATCCTATGAAAAAATGGAGGATTTGGGGGTACCATCATTTTAGGAAACCATATATAAATATATATTTATATATAATTATATACGTATATATATATACATATGTATTCAATATTCAATATATCTCCAGTATATCACTAAAGCTATATGATCCACGGACATGGATATCTTGGTGATATATTTGGGACATACAAAGGGATAATGTATATATAATGTATATGCAATTTTTGAGGATAGCAACCAATTTTTATGGGGATATACTGTATGTTGATATTTAAGGGCCATATATCGGGATTCACCTCTGGTAAACGAACATAGCTATGGAAAATCACAATGTTTAATAGGTAAATCAACTATAAATGGACCATTTTCCAGTTCGCTATGTTAATTTACCAGAGGGTAATGCTTGAAGCAATCATTGGATAAACATCCAATCTCGCCCGGTCTCCAAGTCAAACGTGGCTGGGCAATCTGACAGACACCTTTGGGTCTGGGAAAACCATCGAACTAAACGATATTAAGCAATGGCTTGTCAGTTGCCATGTTTGATTACTGGAGTCAATGGATTGGTTTAAGGGAAAATCTACAGGAAACCATAGATGTTTCCATTAAATATGGGGCTTTCCTGTAAATTTTCCCCTAATCCAATCCATTGATGGAGGGTAAACTAGATTTGTTTTTTTGGACTTTGATTTTTGGTGAGAAAATCATCTCCAAATGCTGCATGGAATATGTGCCAACATTTTCTGCACAGATGACCCAGTCATGTAGGTAAATATGCCAGCACCTTGGCGTATATGGATACAATTGGGATATTCAGGGATGTTTGAACAATGATATGTATTGATGTATACATATATATAATTGTAATACGGATTAAGTATGATATGATGGGGACGCTATTGTACTATTCGCCGAGTTCCGGAGCGACATTTAGGTAATATATATTTGCATTCATTCATACAACACTTCGCAGCGTTGAACATCCTTCGGCTGGGGGGACGTGAGAATCCTCAACGGCCAGCATCCTGAGGATCTATGAATCCAGTTTGTTGTTTCCACGCTGGATATGAGTTGTTACTTGTTTAAGAGGCTCATTTGGGTGTCATTCAACAACGGTTTATTAGTCGGGGGTCGTATAATTATTGAGTTCATCGCGGAAGCCTTACAGGATGGTGCCCCCCAGTTATAAGTTGGTTTATAAACCCCATTAACTATAGTTATATCTGCCATAAACCATATTTATGGGAGTTATAAACCAACTTAGCTAACTATGGGGCACCACCTTGTAGATATAGGATATCTATGGATATCTGCAAACATGGACCTTGGACATCATACCATGGAAAATCTCAATATTCATACCATTGAAGTCAGTCAGGAGTACGGCTATGAAGCTGAGGCCCATCCACTGATATTGGTTTATAGATCCATATAGACAAACAAGTTATGTCATAAGTATATCTTCCTATAAAACCCAAAAAAGCAAAACATCAAACATGGCTGGGAAATCATTTATATATAAACGAACATTGCAATGTGAAAATCGTTGAACTGAATAGGGCATAAATCGTTTGTAAACTAATAGATGGACATTAAAATGTGACAATCATTGCACTGTATGTTTGATTACTAGAGGGTAACCCCGTACATCTCCGTACTAACAATGGCATTTGACTGGTTAACGCCTGGTAGGGAAAAAGGACGTGGATCCGTTTTCTGGCTTTGAATGGAGTCTTACATTCAACTACTCCGTTTGTTTTTAGTGATTCAGGGGGCAGTGTCCCATCCAAGACTAGCAATGTTTATCATTTACTTGTCACTGCGACTGTTTTTGTTTGATGGTCTTACATCGTACGATATGTATTCTGTATGTATATTGTGTATATGTAGATAATGATTTTGTTTCCTCTCTCTCTCTATATATTTTTTCTTTATAAATATACATCATAAAGAGTCACAGAGTACATGTAAATGATACTCTCTCTCTCTCTATTCTATCTATTCTTTCTCCATGCACATATATGTATATATACAGAAACAGATCCATTAATCATTAATTCACCATACATGTCCTTGATTACATCATTACATCATTATATATATCCTTGTTGGAACCTGGCAGGTTTTGTTGGATAATACATAAATATCCTATAAAATCCTGGATAAAATCCTGGATATCCTATAAAATCACCATGTTTCTTGGAAAAAATGGCCGTTTTGGCAGGACCTTCACGCCTGGGAGTTGCAGTTCCTCTGCGTGGCCGCGGCGGAAGATTTATGGCCCGGTCCCTGCGGTCATGGGTGGAGTCATGGGGCAGCCCTCTGGTAAACTCACAAAAAAGATGGAAAAACAACTACTCTCTGGTAAACTAACATATAACTATAGAAAATCACCATGTTTCATGGGAAAATTCACTATAAATGGTGATGTTCCATATGTTAAATTACCAGAGGGTACGTATAAATGGGTCATGTTCTATAGTCATAGTTAGCTTCTGGTTGGTTTACCAGAGGGTTTTATATATATTGGTTAATGATAAATATCGTTAATTCATGGTTAATGATGATGAATAATGGGGATAATATCAAATAAGTTTGACATGGTTAATGTGGGAAATCCCATGCCATAAACCGAAAAAACACCCAGAAAAAAAAGGTGATTTAGGGATGGTTTATGAAATGGGGTTTCCCTATAAAAGTTGGGAGCAGTTGGAGCTTCGAATTGGGTCTCAGCACGTGAGAGTTTTGGCAGATGTTGATTTATTTTTGGCACTTCTTTGATTTATTTGTGGTTGAGCAATAGCTACGTTCTAGATCCCCTGTTGTTTGATGATTAGTTTGCGGGGTTGTACTACTATACTACCCAATTTACTGGGAATTGTGATGTTTTTTTTTGTGTTTATTACTGAATTAGGTTGCTTAGTTTGTTTTTAAAGGATTCACCGCAAATCTTTCAAATCGATCATTGATTAACGCGAAGTAAAGAAGTATAGCCCGCCCAGATGCTGTCCTACATGTGCCCGGGAAGTATCATGATTTGACTTGATATATGTATCCAATGTCTAATGAAAGTTTATAGAAAACAGTATACACATTGGTTTACTTGGAAGCTAAACGTTGCTAAACAAAAATAGGTGAGAATATCGCACACTGATATTTGGCAATATAGGTAGGGTCAAAAACAATGTGCCCAAACCCCCACGATGTGACTAGGGAGTTGGAGTCCCAAACGTGGATCACGGGGGAAAAACAATGTATGGGACACCCAAAATTTGGCGCAAAATGGGCGTGTCTGAACATGGCATATACCCCAAACACAGCATATGTTTTGAAGATATTTTAATTAAGAGGAAAAATTATCTGGTTGGTGGTTTCAAACATGTGTTTTTTCCATTTCATATATGGGTTGTCATCCTTCCCATTGACGAACTCACTCCATCATTTTTCAAGATGGTGAAATTGCACCACCAAGCAGATATACATTTATAATCATTTATATATACAAATACTTATATAGCATCATATAGCAAATTCTTTGAAAACTGAACTTACATTGATGAGCCATTTATTTTCCCATTTATAGTAATGATTTTCCCATATGAACACGAATCTATTCAGAAAGTGGATTTCCCAGCCATGATTTCCCAATGACCCCGCGTTGTGCCTTGAGGCGTGCGTTGCGCTCTCAGGTGCGCGAAGAAAAGAGATGGGACGGCCCCCTGGGCCCCCCTAAAATCATGCGTAAGTAAGTCATATTCGATTCTGGCTGGTGCTTTGAAACCATGGAAATTTATGACTTTCCATTCAGTTGGGAATGTCATGATCCCAACTGGCTTTCATATTTTTCAGAGGGGTAGGTCAACCACCAACCAGGATTGTCTTTGAAACCCATATGTTAAGTGGATACATAGTTGGGAATCTCCTAAGCCTATTTGGAAAATCCTTGAAATGAATAGAAACCAAAAACTCAAAAGATTGAAATCCTTGTTTTGGGGTTGAAGGTTACCTCTCATTTTGGGAAAGATGGATATACTTATATACTTCGCAAAAACAAATCTAATCGATGTAACCCACCAGAAATGCAACTGTTTTTCTAAGGAAGAGGGGTGAGCCCATGCGTTTTCGCTGCAAATTTTTGTTGGGGTTCAGAGGAGCCAACCCAAGAGTGCTGTCCGTTCATAATCAATCAAAAATTCTGGATAGCACATTTACAGCATAAATTCCGGACATATCATCTATATCGAACTCATTGATTTTCCCAGCTAGTTAAAAATCTCCATGGCTAGGAAACGGGCACTTCCCAGCTGCCATCCCATATATTATTATATAATCATACATATAATCTCCATGTTTGGTTCATTTCCCCCCATCTCATATAATTGCATAATCTATACAATCTCCATTTTTGGTGGTTCATTTTCCCCATATTGTTTCCCATGTTTTTCATTGTTTCACAGAAGCAGGACTTGGAGCGTGCCATTTCAGTGGTGCTCTCGTTACGCGAGGAGGCACAGCGGCCAGCAGTTTTAGTCTATTTCATGGATATATCACCATGGATATAATGTGATATATCATGATACATCCATGGTTCGGGGTGCTTATGAAGAACATAAACCATATTGTATTATATAATGATGCTTACTTATTTTTTTTAGGTGGTTAATAACCATAGTTGCAGCCCATGTATATTTTTTATATCTGGCATTGCTCCTAGAGTCTTAGAGGACTTTCCAACCTGCTTTAGCTCCAAAAGGTGTGCTGACTGCATGGGAATGATATGGCCGCTGGGAAATCCCCGAACTTTTTGGGCTTTTAGCTTGGAAAAATCTCCACAAAGAGGATTTTTCATGCAAAGGTGAGTCCTTTTGAAAGACTTGGCCTCAGTCTAGGTCTGCAAGTCCTGGATCCCAGATGACTGAAACATGCCTTTTCCCCTGAAAAATGAAACAGTCGTGAACATGTCACTTCCACATTCAGAAACCATCAGCCTCGGTATTTTAGCTGAACATTTTTTTTTGCTAGTTAAATCTGATTTCTGTTGATTATATCCATCATATCCATCTGGTCTCTTTGTTTCAATCCCAGTTGATTTTAATGATATGCGCAACAGCCACAACATGCACTCAGCTCCGTTGGCTGCAGCGCAGATTTTGCAAGTTCCACTCAGTGGGGATGCCAAGTGGAGGCAGAGAGGCCTCAGGCAATATGTCTTGGGGTCATGGTAGCCATATCAATGTGTATCCATGTGTATGTTAGGTATTAACGGTGATATCATGGGATATATATATATATGTGTGTGTGTTCATATATATATATATATACACATGAATTGGGATATTGACAGTGTTTTAGTATGTTTTGATTAATTGATAGGACACGAACAGGATATCTGAGTGGGATTTGAATCTGTGCAAATTCTAGCCACAACACCACGACCTCACCATGACAGGTAGCAACGACTCTAAAGTCACTGTTGTTTAGATTGGTGAATATGTATTAATTTTGGTTCCCTGAGAACTATCAGTACCTTTAGCAGAATGGCTTGTTTTATGTCCATGTTTTTTTTTTCTGTGGACAAACGTCCACAATCTTGTGTTTGTGTTCTTATGAGACCGATATTCATCAAACAAATCTAATGTCACTGGAAACATGCATACATACCGGCAGAAGATACTGTAACGGGTCCTGACAGCATATAACCATAAAACATATCTAACGTTTGAGTACAAAATCAATTTCATTTCAAGGACCATTCAAGACCTTTTAACAGAGATCACATTTTGAGCAAGCACCATATGCATCCATGTGCGACATATTATAAGTACATTACATACCAAACATATGCCATCTTTGGGCGTTCCTCAACTCATTTGGGTGCCGCAAGAAATGGGTTTCCCCTTTGGAAGGACCCATAAACTTGGATGATTGTGAAAGGGGGTTCCTGAGAGCCCACCGTTTTGTGGTTATTACTCCCTTAATTAACAATGTTAAAAACCGTCGATAAGCAAAACAAATGCAATCATTTCAAGATCCCATGGGTGATAGTGCAATTTCATGCAATTTCACATGTACATAGATTTAAAATTATTTACTGAGTATATATATATATATATGTATCATTATATATGCATATATTGAAATTATATAGTATGTATTTTATATCCAAACAAAACAACTATTTTTGTTGGTATATGATTATTTAACATTCCCAGTAGATAACCATCCGGCGCCAGGTCCATGTGCTGACGCCACAGACAAAAAACGTTGGTGAAGCCGTTGGTACAGATAGAACTCGCTGGTGAGAAGAAAGTGTGACCCTCCAGTAAGTGGAATCCCAAAATATCTATGTGTATATATATAATTATAATCCCAAACAGTCAGGTACGTCATATATCCCCAAATATATATATATATATATACATATATATATATACCCTCTGGTAAATTAACATAGACCCTGAAAACGAAAACACCATAAAACACCTAATTCCCTAATTTTTAGTGGAAACTAGTCTTTTAACCCGTGTCTGCCAGGGTCTATGAACATTTACTGGAGGGTAATAAATGTTAAGGCAAGGGAAATAATCCCCATTTTTAGGCCTTGTTTCAGCTTTGTGACCATATGAAATATTTGTTACCTATTGAAATAAAACGAACATAGATATGTCACATCGACCATTTGCAATCGTTTCCAAGGGAAACCATGGAATTGTCCATAGCTGTTTATATGCTTGCTAGAAGGTACAAGCAAACAAAAACCGTTTGGGAGAATGATCCACATAATTTTCAGCTGCGACTGGTAGACTATTTTGCTCACCTGAGATATAGTCATAGGTGCTTTCAATCGTTTCGTTCCATCCATGGAATTTACAGGGACAATGATGGGACCCCGATTCTTTGGAGGCCTGTGGATGGAAGAAATCCTGCACCACCTGGGATGGTAGAAAACCTATAAATAATGGGAGAAACCACCTAATCCTCTCTCCCTATTACGAAAATGGGGGGCGGACCCCCCAAATGGTAAACACGGTGATCTATTTTGATTATATTAGGGGGTATTTTGTACTAGGGTGCCCCTAATATTCCGATGAAAACCCTAATAAAGATAAAAAAAAACTCGATTTCAATTTTGATTAAATCCCTTTTCAAAATCTATATAAAATATTGCCAAAAACTGGATTTCGAAGCTTTCCCCTAATATTCCAATGAAAATCTTAATAATAAAAATACAAGATAAAACTTGTGAGATGGGACCCTAATAAAAAACCTCCAGGTATCATTCTATTTTCATTAATAGGGGGTTTAACCCATTGTTTCACCATCCTGTTTCCTATTGTTTCTCAATTACCACAATTAAGAATCCAATTGTGACCAACCAAAAAAAAACGGAAGTGCCACACCAATCCTTTCTTTTTGGGGGGGAGGGGGGGAGTTCTAGTAATAGGAAGGAGGCATTATTAACTGGTTTTCAGATTTCTTCCATTAACAGTATTTGTGTGATGATGGTCCAAAACCCACAGGATCCATGTATGGTATATATGCTAACATTGGGGGTATATTGATGGTAAATGTTACCATATATATCATACATGGATCCTATGGGAAATGAACCATATTCTTCGCGCGACTTGAAACCACCAGTACTCATGTTTGAGATCAACGGGGCAGGATGAACTTCATGGAGAAACATATCAGGCTTGGCACTGGAAACTACGGGGTTGGATACTGCTGAGCTTACAAGTTTGTTTGCTTCTGGCAAGATATTGAGTAGATTTGCCATATGTTCCATAGAATAGTTTCTAAAAAAACGCCATGGTGCAATATTTCTCAACGTTTACCACCAAAAATATGTAGAACATTTGGAATATAGTGTATATATATATTATCATATCATATGCTACAATATGTATCCACATTTGGGTCATTCCACATACGGAAAATTATTGGACAATAGTTGGTAAATACCTACATATATATATATATACATACCCATATATATATATATGTATATATATAGCTATATATTATATCAGTTATCCTTATATTATATATATAGTATATTCATTATCCTTAAATATCATATATTATATCCATATATCCATTTATATAGCTATATAGTGTATCCATTATCCTTAAATATTTCATATTATATCCACATATCCATTTATATAGCGATATAGTATATCCATTATCCTTCAATATTATATATAATATCCATATATCCATATATATATATATAGCTATATAGTATATCCATTATCCTAGAATAGTATATTTTATATCCACATATCCAAATATATATATATATATATATAGCTATATCGTATATCCATTATCCTTAAATATTTCATATTATATCCAAATATCCATTTATATAGCTATATAGTATATCCATTATCCTTAAATATTATATGTTATATCCATATATCCATTTATATAGCTATATAGTATATCCATTATCCTTAAATATTAAATATTATATCCATACATCATTATATATATATATATGGATATATAGATATATACACACATTATAAGCTGCCGTAAATGTTGGTAATTCGGCACCAGCGGCTTCGCCACTATGACCTGGCGCGAACGAACTCGATCTGTCGGATCCGGCGCCTCTGGTGGATCTATGGTGATTTGTTGGGAAAAATACGGTGGTTTCATGGGATGGATACCATGAAATAAATGGTGATTCGATGGTGATTTACCCTCTGGTAAACAGTTTGCCATTAAAAAATGCCATGGAAATAGTGGATTTAGCCATTAAAGATGGAGATTTTCCGTAGTTATGTAGAGGTTTACCAGAGGGTATTACAACAATAATAAACAGTAATAATAAGAATTGTCAAATAGGGGTAGCAATTAACAATAACCCATAGGATCCATGTATGCGATATATGGTAACATTTACCATTAATATACCCCCAATGTTAGCATATATACCATACATGGATCCTATGGGTAATGATTCTAACATGTTATTATTTATTCTTGTTATGATATACCGCTGAAGATCCCCATCTTCGTCCCAGACTTTCTAGGCTGGGAGGGCAGTGTCAGACTTCGATGACTTGCAAGTCGGTGAGCAACTTACTTGTGCTAAACCTGGGTTTGTTTAAGAATATTTGGCTCATTTTCCAATGGAAAATCCACCATTTGGGGAATCTATAGTGAGACCCCTTACTTGTGCTTAGTTCGTAGGGAATTTTCGGGAATGATCCACCGGCTAACTATCAATAATCCCAGCAACCCCCAGCAACCCATCCAGCAACCCTACGTAAAACGCACCAGTAAGGCAAATTCATGGCCGATTCACCCCAAAGTTTTCATCTCATTGCATGTTGGGTCGTTTTAGTATGTTTCAACCTCCATGGAAATATGGAAATATTATACCCATGAACATATCCTCTATAAAATGAGAGGGGTCAAGGCAAGCTATATTTTGTTTTATGTACCTCCAGCTGCAGCCCTTCAGGGGGTCACACACCCCATTTTATAGTGATTTTAATGTTGTAGCTGAAATCTGTCGAGATTTGTTCAGTTTTTTGCAGTGCAGCCATGATCCAGGTTGTTCCTATCCGCAGCCAGTGATCATTTGATTTAAAGATGCCTCGGGTGGGGGCACAACCTCCGAAAGGGAGCCCAGCCCTGTGCCATGTGAAGACATGCTTACGGAAGATGGGCAACCCATCTCTTTGTATTTCTTGATTTTGCTTAAATGCCTCCAAATGCCAGCCCTCGCCTTGCAATTCGCCATTTTGGAATAGCGTGGGCTGCTTGTATGATTTCCAAGGGCAACCACTATAAAATGGCTGGCCTCAACCTTTCAACCCACCATGAAATTGGTGATTGAGCCAGCACTTGCCATCCTTTTGGGTTGAAATTCTTTGGAAAGCTGGGAATTCAACCCAATCACCAATTTCATATTGAGTTGGTGGGTTGAAGCTAGCCATTTTATAGTGGCTGGGTTTGGGAAATTGTGCAAGTAGCCCACATTAAAACACAGTAGCCCATTGAAAGGCCATGGCTAGATAGAACTGGCCTTTGGTGGCATTGGAACCAAACTAAAGGAATGCAAAAAAATGGAGATGCTGGCAAGCCTTGCTTGGAAGACTTGGAGCCCAATCCAGCCACCAATTTCATGTTGGGTTGGTGGGTTGAGTGAGGCCAGACATTTTATTGTGGCTGCGCCGTGGACATGTTACAAGTAGCCTGCGCTATTCCAAAATTGCCCATTGAAAGGCCAGGACTGGCATTTGGTGGCATTGGAAACATCAAGGAATGCAAAAGGATGACAAATTTCAAGGCCAGCCATTTTATAGCGGTTGCCCTTGGAAACCATGCAAGTAGCCCACATTATTCCAAAATGGCCCATTGAGCGGCCAGGGCTGGCATTTGGATGCATTGGAAGCAAAATCAAGGAATGCAAAAGCAAGCGCCAATTTCATGGTGGGTTGAAAGGTTGAGGCCAACCTTTTTTGGTGGCAGCACTTGGAAATCATACAAGTAGCCCATGCTATTCCAAAATGGCCCATTGAAAGGTCAGGGTTGGCACTGGGCGGCATTGGAAACAAAGTAAGTGAAGAAATGAGAAGACGTTTTGAATCTAATTGAGGTGCTGAAATCTGTCGACTTGTGCCTTGACCCCATTTGGAAAGGGAACGAGTCATTTTATAGAGATTTTATGGGGCAATTTCCAGATGTTCTGGGGGCAGGCCCCCTCAAAATATGGTGTTTTATGTGTTGTTTTGGGTTGGGGCCACTCATTTTATAAGCAGCGCCTAGTCATTTCATAGTGAAAACAATTTTATGTTTATAAAACGACTGACAAGACCCCCCCGGTGTATGTTCATAGGCTGAAATATTGAGGGTAGTCCTGCCTCACTGTTGAGTCCCAACATCTGATTGTTATTTGATCAAACTAGTCGACGATTTATTGACTTAGCAGCAATTGATTGATATGCAACAGATATTTCATATATTTACCATGGTTTCATATGCCAGGTGACAATTGCCTTACAACCAATTGCCCATTGGATGATTGGATGGTGACAAATTCCTGTCCTGACATGCCACTGCCGTGGTTTTTCATCTCGTCGAGGATCATGGGACCCCTGCGAAACAGTTGAAGATGAGGAGGAAAACCTCGTAAGACGGTGTTTTTTTTTTGCACCCATTCGTTTTTTTGTTGTTTTTGTTTTCACGTATTCCATACTTCGATCTTTTGTTTCTGGAATTAATAAAAGATAAACAGTGCGTATCCCACTAAAAGTTAGATCTATCATCTAGCGCTTGTGACTGGATCGCAGGAGATCATTTTAGAAGCATTGTGGCTGTAGTTTTAGCTTTCACAGGAGCAGTGGGAAATCAAGAGGCACAGTTCAAGCGGAAGCTCCATGATACTTTCCATGATTTGCATACCTGCACCCAGCTCATTCATGTGGGGTATTTCATAATTGTATTTACGCACTAACTAGCCACAAGACCTGTCGTTCATGTCACCATTTAGGATGTCCACATCCCAGCCTTGGTGTAAGACAACACAGCAGCAGGCTTTGTTTTCAAACTTGATAATTACCAAGCAGCTGGTTTCTTGTGCGCTTGTCCTTAAATCAATCCATGGAAAAAGCCTGGCAATGTTTGAGGGCAAGTAATAGCAACCTCAAAAGTCATGCTTGCGAAAAGGAATCCACATCACTTGTGGGCAGCTGATGTGAAAACTATTGCCCATTCACTTTTGTTCCTGCTTCACAGTTTTATTCAGAAATCGTGCATGTACAGTCTTTTTAGATAGTTGTGCTGACAGATTTGAGGGTATTTAAGGTATCTCCTCTTTTGCCCATGATGTTGTTCTTTCCACTGCTCCAACATATGTTGCAACGGATCCACGTTGCGAAGCAACACCTCGGAATATCGCGGACACTTCCTCTGCTTCCGCATCCAGCGATCTGAATGGGACTGGGAGGTGGGAAAATCCCAGAAATCTTCAGCCTCAAGTAAACAATGTATAATCATACAATGAATGAGCATATGGCAATATACCTTGATGGTAAAGATACGGTCAAACGCGAGTCATTGTCGTAATGTAATGATGATGAGCGGGGCAGGATGCCCCCCACCAAAAAAAAACAACCTAAATGGTAATGATTTGTATGTTTCAGGGGTCATGGGGAAAAATCTGGCATGTAATGATGAGGAACAATCAGGATAACCCCCCCCATGGGTAAGAATCTGGCATCCGTGGCTACCGTCCTGGCCCACAGAGCTTCTCGGCAGAATCCCACCGCTGCGCGGGAGAGACCGGCCCGGCTGGCGTGAGCCAATCCAACAAGAGCTGCCAAGCCTTCATTCCCTTTGGGCCGCGATTGTATGTTACTGCGGCACGGCGAAGTGCCAATGTTGCCACAGATATGGATGAACATTGAATCAGCATGATGCGTTAGATGGTTGTTAAAACAAGACAGAGACCCCACTTTGTATGCAATCATGGTAAACTTTGCATGCATCTATATTTTATCCGTATGGTTTGATCAATATTCCAACATGATTATATGATCATGTTTTTCGGATTAACATGTATTAATAGTAATCTTAAGATATATTGTACATGTTGTGGCCATTGATTTTTCGGGCAAGCGATGGCGTCGGCGTCAGCGCGTAAAGATACTTAATGGATAAAAAAATGCCTGGATAAATTTAAATTATCTTGAAACAATCCAGTGCTGGAATGAGTACCCAAACAAAACCAAAAACGTAGCATGGTTATCTCCACATCCGGACAAAGGGAAGCTCTTAATATGTAAATCCATGGGTTAATCATCATCCCTTTCAGACGTGGCACAAAAAAAACAATTTGGAGAAACTAAAGACTTGTCTCATGAATCCGTTCAATTTGGGGTGGGATGAAGACCCAATGATGTTTGCGATTTAAATGGACATTAAATGGTGGTTGATTGGTGGCTAGTGGGAGGGTTGTACATCTTTGCCTGGGTTTGGTGATCATTATATACGTAGTGCATGAACTGGGAACCCCCTCAATTGCCCAATAGCAGGAAATGAACACTGCTCATCTGATCTTTCCTGGACATGTCGCCAACGTGGAAAAAACAGACCGGATACAAAACATGAAACGAAAACAATATCAATTTCAAGGCCTTAACTGAAATCAATTTTGGATGTTGTTAATCCTTTCCTCTACTGCCATTGACACACCTGGGTTGGTCCATGTTGAATGTGTTTATTTGGAAAACCCATGTCAGGGGATTAGTTAAAATTTCCGACTGTATTAGACTTCAGAAGTTTACACCATTCGATACGGAAACAACTGACAATCATACATCCAACCGCAGAGGACTGCTGATCCCTGATGACAAATGTAGACAAATACATCCAGATTTGGTTCATGGTGAGTTTCCAGACGGGCCCTCTGAAAAATTCTTCAAGTCCGAGGCATTGGAGTAGAATTCCAACCAATGACAGGGCACAGGGTATGGTTTCAAACAAACGCCATAAACTTGAATTTGGGATCCATTTGTCATGTTTTGCTACATTTTGAACAAAACTGGACTGAGGTCAGTATTTTTGTTGCCCACCTTCCGAAAAAACAGCTGTCTCGAATCCAAGCTTGGGATAGCCATGCGTTTGCTTAAAATGCTGGATGTGGAGAAATGTTGTGCCCCGTCGCAGATGTTGTGGCCGCATTAATGGCATTCGCTGTGGGGCAAAAGACCTGGGAGACCTGGGATGGGCAGCCGAGGGCTGGATGCTGTGAGAAACACATTTTTTACATCTCTAGCTGTGCAAAAAAAAAAGTTGAACGATGAACCTAAAACTGGTGGGTAGCCTGTAAAACAGGTCATGTTCACCCTATAAACCATCCAAAGTCACAAAGACTCCAGTTTCCATGACTGGTAGGAAGGACATGATAGGCCAACCTATAGCATTTGTTTGGGCTAATGACAATAATTCCCACATTAAAAAAAAACAATATGTTTTATGTTAGTGGGTTTATAAACTCCATTGACTAGAGGTTTTCTTAAAAACATATCTAGAGTAAAGTCTAGTTATAAAAGTTACAAATCAACTTAATATGTATAGATATAGGTATAGAGAGAGAAGGGGGCTATCCTCTATGACAGCATCCGTCCCTGAACCGGTTTCACGAGCAAAAAGAACATATTGCCATAGGTCAAAACTCTATACCCTTGGTGAACCCCAAAATAGCTGGTAAATGGATCTTCATCCCTCCAAATAGTGGTACCTATATATACATACAATATACATAGGTATTGAGTATTGACCCATACCCATGTAAGACAACCTGTTTTCCTAAAGATTTTCCTGGGAAAGTCAGCAATATGGAGACATTTGCTGGTGAAATTCTTATATAATCTTATATATTTGTTTGCTACGTCCCTATTTTGATCTTTAAGTCCCAGTTTTCTGAGTGCTCAACCAAATTCGATTTCTGTGGTCCAATAAAATCCAAGCATTTTGATGGTTGCATCTCCATGTTTGATGTTCAAATTATGTGTTGAGTTTAACATTGAAAATCCCAAGGTAGACACAGAAACCGAAACACGGAATCCCAAGAAAGACGGAATCCCAAGGGAACCTGTAGACATCATCTTAACAATGATTCCTGTAGATGAAGCCTGCGGAAATCAGGGTCTGGCGCCAAGTGCTTTGTGAGCAAGACCTGGTTGCCTCGCCTTGCCTTCAGGAGTCGTGACGGAAAGCGCCTTCAGGAGTGTTAAGGTTGAAAAAAAAATACGTTTGGGGGTTGATGGGGTTGGGGTCTCAAATTCCATGAGATCCCACGACAAATCCATCCAAATCCAGTAAATCCTCATGTTCAGCTGGTTGAACCGCATGAAATCCAATTGAATCCATTTCAAACGATTATATAAATCCTAAGAAAAACTGGGGGACACCACCTTTCAGCCGATGACACTTGCAAGGAGAAAGCATCCGCTGGATACGCTGTCTACGAGAAGTTGGAGGTGCAGAGCAGGTGAAGGGTTGGATTAGGCAGTGAACCAAGAAAAAGTATAGGTAGAATGGGATATTATGGGAATAATAAAATATAAAACTATCGACCCATCGAATTTTAACGTAATTCAACCGTCAACCATTAGAGATAAATTGATTTGATCGAATTTTCCATGGATTTCCAGAATGAGAATTTCACCATGAAATATTTAAATATGGAGATTTCACAACGGATTAGATGTATAGTTGAAAAGAGTTGATATATCTTGGCTAAATTGGTTTCTAGCTAGTTTAACTATAGGATTTATGGACGTTTATGGTAAATCTAACTAGTTAGTTCTTTGATTCAGGGGTTTACCCCCAAATTGTGAAACGACAAACAATTAGAATCAGTCGTTTTTCCCTGTCAGTAGACTGGGGGAATGAATATCTCGGTTAACAATAGTGGACTATGTATCCGCAGCTCATCCCAATTCCAACATGTTTACACTGCCCATATGCTCCATGGTGCTGGAATATTTACCTACATTTACCCCAAGAATGGCCCAGCCATGTAGCTAAATATTCCAGCACAATGGTTCGCATCTGGGATGGTTTATAATCCAACAATACTAACAAATTCTGGCCGGTGATTTCACATGTGCTTGTTTGAACATGTTGGGAACCGCCCACAAAAAATATGAATGAACCATGGTTTGCAAGCTCATTATGGCAGTTTTTGCTATGGTAAAGCCCAGTTGGAGAAAACTATTTGGCAACTGCTCCCTGGGCTGTATATTTATACTTAAGACAAACGCAAGGTCGGGCCCCCTGGTTATGTTTGTTGGTTTATAACCACCATTAACTATAGTATGCTATACTTATATCCCCTATAAACCTTGGTTGACCAACTTCGATAACTTAGCCACATTCTGGCGATTCAAGTTGGATTCAAGGGACGCAAGGCCTTCCGAAAGGGGCTGTCCGGAACAAAAGTTGTGGATACCGGACTATTGACACCAGAGATGTGTAATCACCAGTACTTGTACTTGTGTCTTGACTGTTTATCTCGCAATTCTTATTGGAGCATCTTTCGGAGCGCATCAATGCACGATACGATACATGTTTGCCGTTCTCTAGCTACATTTATGCAACATATAATATAGCTGTCATCACGCACCATATAATGTGATTTATAAACATGCCACGGTTCTATCAGCTCATTCAATCACCTTTTGTTTCTGATCAATGGGTTGGGGTAAACATGGGTAAACTCACTGTAAATGTCGAAAACCCATGAAAACCCAGCATTTTAAGATGGTTTTCCTAGGTAAACCATGGCCTTTCCCTTGGCTTTTCCACATCCAGGGTGAGCCGTCGCAGGTCAGCGTTCCAATTGGCTTGGTGGTCGAGGCAGCGTCGAAGTTTCGGGAGTGGGAGCATGGCATGGTATGGCTGCTGGCTGGATTGTTGAGTGGATAGCTTGAAACATGTTGATATATGTTCATAAATGTATACATCAATGGGATTTTAAATGGTCCATGTATAAAATATCGAGTTTTTCTTTCGGCCGTACATGCTCCGTCTTTGTGTACCCAAATTATTCTGAGGGCTGGTCAACGCGCCAGATTCTGGCTCATCTTAAAACAAAAGACGTTTGATATGCCACTTACATATGATATACTACGTGTTTTTAGGTGTATCTATTATATAATATTATATTATATTAGGCATGTTTAGGGAATGTCTCAATAATATTCATTCAATCTATTTCAACCTTTTGTTTGAAATCTCATGATCCTCAGACCCAAACATCATTTCATACTGGGCATCTCAAGTTATCAATTTAGCCAAATTGTAGCAACCTGGCAACGACCAAGTTCCATGAATTCACAAAGTGGTGCCACATAGATACAAGTTGTTTCTTTTTAAAACCCTGTCTGCTAGTCTACGGTATCTGTAGAATTTATGGTTTCAGACAGAACAATTCTTGGTTAGCCATGGTTACTCTACATAGAAATCAACTTAGCTGGGCACCACTGTGTAGAAATGGACCATTCGGCCCAGCAAGTCTGGCGAGCAAGGTGAGCCATCTGCCCAGTTTGCACGAGCCAAGTTTTACGACATGAACATGAGTATGATATCCGCTGTCCACATTATGTGCGTCTTTAGAGGGTTTGCGTATATTATATTTATATCCTGCATCCTCACGCAGACTGTTTTAGCCCGAAGCTGTTTTGTTGACTGTTGGGTCTGTGAACATAATGGGTTGACCCCAATGAAAAATACCAAGTTGAATCATTTTGCACAATCACATTTTACAAGACTATCTTGAGGTTGTCCAAACCCCCATCACACCAAATCACGCCCGCATCACGCCCGATTCCTTTTCACCAAAATGCTTTACAAGAAACATATGTTCCATTTTGGATTTTTTCATTGTGTTTTTTTTTTGCCTCTGGTTTTCCAACCCAAAATTGGCTAAAACTGCTCGAATATGAAAATCAGCCCGCAAGCTATTTTTTTTGCCCGAAAACCCATTCAGGCTAGAATTCTGACTCAGGCTGAAATTACAGCCGGCATGAGATCCTAGGTATACATATGTATGCATTTTTATACGTGTATATCAATATACGCATATATACGTGTCTACATGTGTATACATATTGTTTCATGATATGTACTTATATATAATTATCTATATATATATATTCACAGTATATTATATTATTATTATATATACATACATTTGTACACACCAACTCACAACCACGGTGTCAGCAAGTTCCACAACGTGATCACAGGTCTTGGAGCTCAAGGAGGATTGGGCGAAGGTGCATAGCCGTTGTGTGTGTGTGCCAGATCGTTGGCTAAGTTGATGTAATGTATATATTTTTCCATATACACCATTACATACCCATATGCTCCATGGATATGTACTTACACTTGGGTAAGTTGATGGGTCAGTGTCAAGTTTGTGAATTATCATAATTTAGCCACATAAATGTGTAGATCTTATATATATATATATATACATACATACATATACATTCATTAGACACTATACAAGGTGATGCGCCCATTAAAACATCAACAAGGTAACAAGGGTCATCACCAAATTGTCAAAAAGAACACCCGGTACAACTTTGAAGTTCCCCATTGATGTTGCCAACGTGTCTATCAAATCTCGAAAGCCGATTTATGTAGAGCAGAAAATTGGTGGGCAGGTTTGTCAAATCCAATGGCTCTTCGTTGATGAAGTTGGTAATGGGAGGTGACATGTGCATCTTGCTTGGACCCAGGAGTGGTTAAAAAAGAATGGTTTATGATTGCCAAGTTGATTTGTATCTAAGTTAACTGTTGGGTTTTTGGTGATTATCAACTATGAGTACAATGTGGGGCCCCCTAGATAGCTAAGTTGGTTTATAACTCCAATAACTATGGTTTATAGTACTTATAACTATAGTTACTGGGGCTTATAAACCAACTTATAACTGGGGGGCCTCACATTGTATAATTAGATCATGTTCTAGACCAACTTGCAAGTGGGGGCGCCGCCTTGTAGCTGTTGATGTTTCCCTCCAAAAAAATCGGGGATTGAATCCAGCTACTAATATCTACTAGTAAATCAACTAGCTAGCTGTTGTTTATATATATATATATATGTTGTGTATGTTGTGTATGCTGTGTATATATATAGTTTATAAGGTTTCTTTAACTGTCATTACATCTATTGACAGCATGTTTATTTTATGTATGTATTCCCTAGTGTAATCATGCCACGGTAACACGGGGATGTGCATATATATATATATACTGTACACACATGTGTACGTACGACATGAACGCATATTATATGTGCTTACATGCAAAGCATATCAGCACATGTGCACAAGGTTTACTTGGGAAGGCTTGTGCATATTGAGCATTTGCAGCACACGATGAAATCCAATACCAATGTATATATATATATGTGAACCAACTTTTTAGAACAGCATCAGCTGGTTGATGACTGTATATATATATCTATACATATAATTAATTGTATATACATACAATTATACATACAATGTGAGGCCCCCCAGTTATAAGTTGGTTTATAAGCCCCAGTAACTATAGTTATAAGTACCATAAACCATTAGTTTTTGGAGTTATAAACCAACTTAGCTATCTTGGGGGCCTCACATTGTATATATACATATGTATATATACATATGTATATATATATATATATTCATCCATGAGCTGCTGAGGATCGGCCTGAAAACCAACATGTTTTCAACAACTTATCAAAACATTAACACAACATATCAAACCAACCATTTACTTTAACTTGGCATATGTGTTCCCAAAGTGTTTCATATGTTTGGGAATTACACTCCATCTCTCATAAAACTCGGCTGACTTTCCTGTGCATCAGCCCTTTTTTTTATTCCACTATATATGTCCGCCAGGCAAGAGTGGTTTGTTTCCAGTGGAGTTTTCCACCAGCCGACGACTTTGATCAATCCACATAGGGGTGATATGTACTGTTGCTGGTGGCTGGTGGCCCATTACCGACTCGGTTTCCGACTCGGTTAACCTGACACCTTACCGGGTAAACTAACATAGATGTGGAACAGCCACGCATGGAAACCATCCACATCTATGTTTGATTAGAGGGTATATATATATATATAGTTGGATGTTCGATGCTTCTTCAAACCAACAAACATTACTTGTTGGGGGCACCTGGGCACTATTTCACATCACCGTGATCTTTGGCTTCGAATCACCTGGCTGGGCGGTCAACTGCCGTCACCTGCTTACCTCAAGAACTGACTTGTTTTTCAGGAGGATTTCTTTGATTGGTTCAATATATATATATATATTTATATATTTATACATATACATTGCTGGAATTGTTTCATATATAGCACAAATTATGACATGTGGATTCTTTGTCCTGGTGCTCACTTGGATTCGTGGTTTTGGATTCGGCGTAAATCATCAGGACTCGGGGAGTTGTGGCAAGTTTTCCTGTTTGTTAGCTCCCCCCAAAAAATAGGGGATTCACTGCAAAAAGTCTTGCCCTTGCCATTGTGACCCAAATCTTCAAAATCAGGAATAAATTGCTAAATCTCATGTTGTTATATTATATAAATAAGTTAATGTTAGTTTTGCTGATTCACAATACACATCGATTGAAACACCTGGGTAATTCCAATGGTTTATCGTCCAAAAATGGGTTCTGCCATGTTCTGCCCCCGTCACCAGCAGGTGCTGTTGCGACAGCATATCTGTGGATGGATGAAGAGCGAAAATCTCAGTAGTGAGCCCGCTGAGGCCGAGGGTACCGTGATATCTGCGGTGGACCTGGGGTACCTGGGGTCTTTACATAAACTGTAGATAGTTTGGTAAGTTTAGCACCTATGTCAATATGTTTTCCATGTTTTTCCCCACCTGCCAGGTGAGGGTTGTTAGATTTTATGTCAGTTGCCTGGTCCTCCTCCTCCTCGTCCTCCTCCTCCTCCTCTCGTTGTCCTCCTCCTCTCGTTGTCCTCCTCGTCCTCCTGCTCAACTGCGACTCGCGATCCACAGTGTTCGCTGTCGGACCTCAACCACGACCACCCACGCCCAGTGTTCCCTGCCGGACCTCAACCACGACCATCCACGCCCAGTGTTCCCTGCCGGACCTCAACCACGACCATCCCCGCCAGTGTTCCCTGCCGGACCTCACCACGACCATCCACGCCCAGTGTTCCCTGCCGGACCTCAACCGCGAGTATCCCCGCCCAGTGTTCCCTGCCGGACCTCAACCACGACCATCCACGCCCAGTGTTCCCTGCCGGACCTCAACCGCGAGTATCCACGCCAAAAGATATGCCACATAGAGTGCCAGAAGATCCAGATAGAATATTAGAAGATATGCCAGATAGAATGCCGGAAGGTATGCCAGATAGAATGCCAGATAGAATGTCAGCTAGAATGCCAGAAGATATGCCAGATAAAGTGCCAGAATGTTTGCCAGATAGAATGCCAGCAGATTTGCCAGATAATATGCCAGAAGATATGCTAGATAGAATGCCAGATGGAATGCCGCAATGCCAGAAGATTTGCCAGATAATATGCCAGAAGATATGCCAGATAGAATGCCAGATGGAATGCCAGAAGATATGCCAGAACATATGCCAGAAGATATGCCAGAAGATATGCCAGAACATCTTCCAGAAGATATGCCAGAACATCTGCCAGAAGATATGCCAGGTAGAATGCCAGAAGATATGCCAGATAGAATGCCAGATCGAATGCCAGAAAATATGTCAGATAGAATGCCAGAAGATTTGCCAGTAACAAAATGTATAAATGTCATGGTGGGGATCACACGAAGTAAAGTAATTATATATTAAATTATATTTAAAACATACCATGTATTATTCGCAACTGCCAACTGTTCGCAGGCGAACAGTCATTGGCAATGGAAGCAGCCCACAGCATGGCAGACCTCATGAGACCTCCTTTGCAGTGGTGAATGGATGAAGATTTCCACCAAAGGTAATAGGTCATAGGTAACTTGATAACTTGACCCATCCCCACATCATCCCACGTCCATTGTTGGTGGTGAGTTCTCTGGCTTCCCAAGTTGTTTGGATTGTTAAATTTGATGTTTTCCTCCAAGCCCGCGTGCCTGATGTGTTGTCAGTCTTCCACTCGTGGCAGCGAAAAACACAGGGGTTGGGGTCCCTTGGGGTCCCTTGGGGTCAGCTGACCAACATGGAGAGAAAGTGGACCCCTGGCCTCACTGTTTGAGCCGTACCCAAATGGCTACTTCTGTGGCTTCCATGGGCTGAGACTTTTATCCAGCCAGCTGTGCAATATTTGTGCAGTTGTTTCCTTTCCAAGAAGTGTTGCCAGAATTGCCAGCATTTACCAGCTCCAAATGTAGTACTGTTTGCCTAAGGTAGGCCGATACAAAAAATAACGTGAGATACAACAGGTACCACAATCAGCACAGCTTCCATACAGGCGGTAAGTACCTGATGTGTTTCTTCACCGTTTACACTTGGGCCCAAGACTTGTTTCATAGAGAATCATACATTATGATAAATGTGAATGTGTCTGAAAGTTTCGCGCTGTACAGCCATCGTAATAAACAACCTGATTATATTATGTTATGTTATAAACTGATTATATCGATATGGCGTTAACTGATTGCTATGGTTAGAGAAAGCCATTGTTTTCCATATCAATGCCCAGAATATATAGATATATATATGGTCCCGTGTCTCGTGTTCACGCCCCCCCCCTCCCCCCATATGGTATGGGGGGTTTACCCCCCACCTCCCACACTCCCCCACCCTCCACCCCCCTACCCCCCCCACCACATCTAGAGGGGGGGAGGGATACATAGACATATGCATATACACATCATTACATATACATACTGTATACTACATTTGCACATACACATACTACATACGTATACACACACATGTGTGTATGTATATATATATACACACACACTTCTTACATATACGGTAATGACATTTAAATATGTGGAGGGCGGGCCAGACCGCAAGGCCACGGAGGTAGTATGAAATACCAGTTCGTATATTTAAATGTAGTTACGGTATGTTTAAATGAATTGGATTCCGTGTGTTTAAATGGCCGGGCGGGCCAAGGAAAACCTTCCCGGAGGTAGTCCACAATACCTGTTCGTATATTTAAAAATCCGTAGATTATTTAAATGTAGTTACCGTATGTATGTATATATATATACAAGTAACATATACATATAGGGACCATCACCATCTCGGGGGGGCGGGGACCACCAAACACTGGGCCATATGTATTTAAATATATATACAGGCATTTCTTTAATTTTTATTATACAATATTATATTATAATTGTTTTATTTTATTATATTATTTTTTATTGCACTGTATTATAGTATATATATATATCATATTATATTTTATTATAATATATTTTATTATGATAGATTTTCTTACATTGTATTCTATTCTTTTATATAATATGATATTTAGTTCCATATCAGTGCCCCATATTGTATATATTTATAATACCATGTATTATACCACTGCCCCAACATATGTAACATATGTCTAGGATATCGACAAAACATCCTGGCAGGAGCCGCCTCCACCACCCCAGGGAGTTGGGATCCTCTGATGTCCGAAGGGGCCGAAGGGGGGATACCCCAAGCTCGCTGGATGGTTTATTTCTGGATGGTTAGATATAGGGGTTTCCATAGTCATCGGGGTACCCTAAAAATATCTAAAAATGGATGGTTTATATGGAAAAACCATCTATAAATGGATGATAACTGGGAGTAGCCCTAAAATATGGAAAACCTCCATATGAATATGCCATAGAATAGTGAAGATGTTTGGAGATATGGTTTATATATGTCATTAATATGTCCATATTCTAAACTCGGCTGTTTGTCAGCCATTTTGACTAAGTGGGATGCAAACCCTAAGATAAATGTACTGCTTGGTTTATTGGGGATTATTATAAGTAAAAACGGGATACCTATTGCCCAACCTGTGTGTAGTGGGATAGGGTTTTTAACGCCAGTTCAAGACAATTGTTGGTTGATGCGTGTAAGGGGTCATACTATCCAAGTCTATCATCACTTAGTATGGGAATCCCGTTCGTAACCAACCAGTATTTCATGAAATGACGTTCTTGAAGTTGTTTCCAAATTTGGAAACCCCAAATCCCATTGCAGATCATGATCATGTTTAATAGGATTATTTTCCATTATAAACCAACCATTTTGGGGATCCCTCATTTATGGAGGAAACCTCCAGATATATTCAGATTAAGCTTCGGGGCCCATCGCCCATGTTGAGAGACACCCGAAAACCAGACTGGTGGCGCCCACGCAAAAATGGCGCCACATGGCAGTCTAGAGAGCCGATTGCATCAGCTATTGTGATTGAAAAAATCACAATATGGTTGGTTAATGTTGGTTACATCCCATATTATCCCCATTTGTCCCAGTTAAATCTCAATTTTCAGATAGACCCATATGTTTTTATATGTGTTTTATTGTGTTTTGCTTTCCACAGAACAAAGAAACCTCAGATGCCTCCAATTTTTGGGACTCCGCACTCCGCACGGCTCCACACTGTGACAGGAGTCGAAGCTGAACGCCACTGCGTCTCGGCAACAGGGGATTTGTAGGTGAAGTGAAGTCGTATCCTTTGGTTTTTTATGTCGCCAACTGGACAGTTTAAAGTCACCATGTTTTAAATAAGTAAATCATCATAAATCATCATAAATCATCTATTTTCTATGGACAACTTTCCATAGCAAACTGAGAAATAGCCACAGGGTACAGCAATAGTTCTCGATAGTATACTGGGATATCAGGTGAAATGTAGTGAGGAAGATCGTAGGAGAATATCGCCAGCAATAATGTTTTCTATGGATAGAATATGATAGAATAGTCATAGATAATATCATTATATCTACAGTAGATCAATCTAATGCTGGATAAATGATGTTGCGGCCTCACGCCGCGACCTCAAGACTGGGATGACGCTTAGAATTGGACAGTTCTATCCTAAGAGGATTCGTCTTATTGCAGATTCGTGAACTATAGCATGTTCTCCATACTGTTTGAAGAAGATGTTCTATGATTTTCCAATATTATCCAAGTGTTCTTTTCTTAAGATGATTGAACTACTACTCCAAAGATCATCTAGAGTTACGAATTCAAAGCCATGGGTTCCTGCAAGGGAAAAAGGCGGAGGTTTCGTTTCCACATTGGGCTATCAAGTTCCTGCCTTTTATTTGTGAGTCTACCTCCAAAAGGGCGATATGCCCAATCAAATATATCAAATCCATCGTTTGGGTGATTTTTTGTGCTTGCAAAAATGAACTTTCTATATTGATGTATTATGATCGTACAAATTTACGTGTTTTCCAATGTTGTTGAATATGATATGCGTCACATATGTTACTGTTTTGCACCAGCCTTCCGAATTTGTGCTTGCACAAAAGTTACGTTTTTGTTTTTCTTGCTAAACACCAAAGAAAAGGGTGGCCGTCGAACTAGTTCGAGATATCCACTATACATACATAAGTCCAATCGTTAGCGGGACCCTCCCTGCGGCTTTACAGGGTCTATGTTTGTTTAGATGAGAGTAATTTTGGGCCAACACAAACACCTTAAGCATTTTATGGGAAGTTTGACTGGGATACAATCAGGATCAATCAGGTACATTATATCATCACTATCATGTCTGGATCGTTCCCGAACATGAAGGATATCCAGGGGTGGGCTTTACACATCTTTTTGGACAAAGCATGG